GCGCTCAGCCGTGAGAGCAACTCGAAATGCGACAGCAATATCGTGCTGCATGTGAATCAAAACACAAGCGGGAAAGTAGTATATCTCAGGGGCTATTTCCACAGAGTTTATGCATTGTCGTTGCCAAATCTGATACGCAAAAAGGAATAAAATGGTACGGAAGAAGGAAGAGACACGACATCACGGTTCTGGTAGATCTGGGAGTCCTTCGGGAGTCTGAAGCCAAGAAACAGAAGTACACCGTCCGAAGTAGTCGCAATTGCACTGCTGAGGCCCGGGACAACTTGACTTTGTAAGTAGTAGTCTTTTGAACCAGAGTCACTACGACTTACTGAACTGCCTCTCCTGTGAAGATGTATGCCCATAGCTTTTCCATCACCCGTCCACTAACATCATCAGGCAGTGTGGAATACAGAATCCATTGCCGGATCCGCTCATAGTCCTCCTTTGGTCGTCTGTGAATAGCCTCTTTCGTGACAGCAAATTGCGCACAACACTGAGAAGCAATAGTCTCCGGAAGAGGTTCACCGGGGAATAGTACATCCCAAGATCGTTCAATCTCATACTCGGTGGCCTCCCTATTGACACCTGGTCCCCAGACCAAAGCATCATGCGCAATTGGGCGAATCTCGCTCGGGCAGCTCGGGTACCAGTCGCATCGAAAGGAGATATATCCGTTGTCTTGAAGAGCAGGAAGCCGCATGCTTTCGATAAGATCAACTATATCGCCTTCTTGATGCCAGCTTGTGCGATGACCATGAGTAAAGGCAGCGTACTTAGGTAGCTGATCGTAGTTACTGATGATCCAAGACAGGTAAACCATAGCCTCGTGGCCCTTGTTTGCCGGGATGAAGAGTTCTGCAGGTGGTGAGTGGTCATCGACGTTGTACGGATATAGTTTCCAGCTACTCTGAGTTAGTCCTTGTTATCCAAGAAAGGAGGTGAAAGTCAATACACATTGTGTCTTTCTCTACGGATCTCCGACATCCAAGTGAGGTTGGTCGTGTTTCGAGCGGCTGCAATGACAGCACCGATCTGGGTCGGGGCGGCATTTAATGCTGAATTCGTTGTCCTACCACCAGTATAGTCGATCTGGCCGCTGAAATCTGCTTCTTGTTCCCTTGCACCGGGAATGATGCGGTCTTTGACATTGAAAAGGTGAATCAGCCCAAGGAGAACGACAATGGAGGTGGAAATAAGAAAGATGCTGAGCCTCTTCCTTTGAAAGGCTGGTGCCTTGTATGAATTCATGAGAGCAGACGTTTGAGAACTGACGTTGCGGCTGAAAGGGTGGAGCAGCGGGTGACAATAATGTGTGACTGGACGAAATTGGTTTATGATGAGAAGGTGGCTGAAGGGGAAAGTGTTCTGTTGGCTCGAGTTGCAACGGAAGTCTAACAATCCATGCGAGATATTTCAAGTATGTTGGACATGAACTATTATTGCCTCTCCCAGCTGTACGGGCCCATTCCCACGCGGCTGACAATTAAATTCTCCGTTACAACCATGCTGCAAGGAGACGGCTTACAACGATATCCCAGGCAGCAGTTTGATATGCAAAGATCGTTAGCGTCGTCGTACATCCACGCCCTGAGAACCTTCCAGCTGAGAACCAGGCATACATGGTTTGCTTGTGAAACCTGAGCTTTGTGACTAGTCGAATTATGAATAGTCGCATCTGCTCATCTTGTGAGGCTGGTTAATCTCCGCCCCCAACGTCTGAATGCCTTGTACAACGGCATTGACGGCTTAAGTACTCGAAAGACCGCAGCACAAAACTCTAGAACGTGATCGACTTTTAATATATTCCCACCGTCTCAGTCTGCCACCAATTTGCATCACCTCACTGATATTCCCCGCAGAATGATCGTTATTCTTATATTCTTTGTCTATCTCTTTGTACATGCAACCTACAGCCTTGATTGCTACGGAATTGATGGGTACTCATATCACAACAACAAAATATGTGACGGGTCTCAAGCATGCTGCGGGATTGATGCTGAATGTCTCCCTAATCGGCTTTGTAAGAACCCCGGGGAGAACAGCAATACAACCTTCGTGCGAGGGCCATGCGCCCTTGATTCATGGGATTCCACCTCATGCGCAACGGTCTGCCTGACAGGTAAGTTCTCTGTCCCTCATTTATTATTCGCATGTGTTCGTAGCAGGGACAGACAAGCATATTAACTTGGCGTAGATGAAAATGGCCAATTTCCAAGGGTATATCAATGCTCCGACGGTAGCTTCTGCTGCGACGAAAGTAGTTGTTGCAAAAGCACAGAACGTTTTTGGCTTGGAAAAGATGGAGAAATACTTACTGCAAGCCCGACTGCAACTTCCGAGCACCCACCAGTATCATCGACGCTTTCCGAAACAATCGGCTCGACGCCAACTTCACCCGCAGCTACTACAGAATCACCTTCTGTATCACCCTTAAGTAGTCCCAACAGCCTTTCTACCGAGTCGATAATCGGTCTCGGCATTGGAATACCAGTTGCTCTCGCTGTACTCGCCTCACTCGCCTTTCTTCTCTATCGACAGCAATTTTCGCCTAGTCCGGGAGTAATTTCAGAGGAAACACTATCGGAGCAGTGGTTGGATCACAGAAAGCTCTGTGTGTCTCACGGGCTTCAGCACGGTTCCGGAAGCCCTCCATCCAATATCAGATTGCAGGGGGCCGAGTCGCATACGTTCTACGAATTATCCACAGATCGGTCGCGCACACAAGAGCTGGATACCCTACCGCGAAGGTAGGACGCTCAAAGGAGAAGACTGACCAGCAAAATTTTCCGTCTATGCGCACACTTTGCACGACATTCAAAATGCAGGGGCACCGTTGAGGTCGAAATCTGCATGGTGTACGACGTTACAGTTTCTGGAGGAAGGAATTACTTGGAGTTACCGCAAAACGCGCTTGACTTTGTTTCTGTTTCTGTTTGAAGCTACCCATTTATCTCGCCTACCTAGCTGCTTACTCGCTTGCTCTAATATTATTTCACCTTCAAACTAAGTAGATATTTTCTTCATGTTAATCTTTTCTATCGGTCGACAGAGTCGGGTCTTAACATGTTATACTTCTAGCAAGGACCTCCTTGCGGCTTACCGACAACAAGGAACCGCTCAATCAAAAGCCCAGGACCAGCATACCCCAATCCATATATTAATCCAAGTAGCGTGACGGATCTTTGCCCTTGTGATCTTAGGGCGGCCTCTTGGTATCACGCAACTTGGCGGCTGTGAAACGCGATAGCCATTGTTCCGACGATGAAAGAAAATGCTCTACCTACACAGCCACCTCTACTACGCCGTGTTACTACCCTCCCATCATTTTACATTCGGTTGCGGCGAGGGGTCCATTGAATACAGTGCTGAGCCTCATACGCTCATTCGATAAATCCGGTGATCCTGTTAGTGCATACTTGCCTGTGGTGCAACATTGTGAAACGAAAGGGGCGTCATGGCCATGGTTTAAGCGACGTGGGTGGGTGGGCCGGCGATGGGGCCGTCCACACGTTTCCCAGCCATCTCAGAGAATAGAACTAGGGCTCCCTGGCTTAGACTCTTGTTGTTGGACAAACCCCTGCAACTTCAAGATCGGTCAGTCACAATGTAGAGCACGGTTGATCAAAGCCATCGGGAACAGGTTGTAGACTACCCTACCACTCAAATTCTACAGAATACTCCTGTAAGTGACATAGAGCGTACGTGTTTCCTAATCTTGGCTATCGCTTATCGCCGATCTGCGTTGACTGTCGGGTTGGGCCTCATGCGATCCTGCAAGCATGAGGTCAATCAAACCCCTTGCATCAATCCTTACGTCAAGCACCCACCAGCGCTGATGCTGGGCAGTCTGACTGCTGCATCTAATAAGGACCTTTATTAAGCTGAAGTGAATAATGTCATACTCAATCACCCGAAAACGGCTATGCCTATTGAGCGGACTTGGAGACGTAGAGCTTTCGCTACCCCGGTAGTAGGTCGAATATAGGATGTTATATGTCTAGGGGAATACTAAGCAGGATTCTGGTTTTCGATGGAAAATGAAATGTTTCCTTTTTGGTAGTTCTGGGCCACCTTCTCACCGAAACTGTCTTTGGTATGTTTTGTACGTGGACTATAGAACACCACAAACGCTCTTCACTAGCCTCCATCCGCGCTTCCAGACCAAAACTAATAAATCCAAGCAAAGATATAGTAGCAGGTCAAGACAGATATGGACAATTTAAAAGCGGGATGCGGAACGATGTATCTGCTGGTGCGAACGCGTAGGAAGTATACCGTCGACCTCTTGTTAACGACAATCTGTAGGATGGGTTTTTAGGGTTCAAGCTAGTTATTGAACTCTGATCTGACGGCCTTGATGATGTATATTACAACAGGAGCGCTATAACATACGTTTATGGATGCCTGTCTTCTACACTCGGCAAATAAGAATGGTGGTTTCGCGGTCGAGCGGCGCGAGATACGAGACGTGTTTTTTTTTACTTATGATACTTACCGACAGAATTCGTCTTCGCTGATTGATCCTGTCTTTCTTCTACTTGTCGATTCCAACACATGCCAAGTACAACACTCAATTACAAGGAACGCGCGCATGCATAGTCAGATAATGGGGGATAAGCTCTAACCAATCAGAACCTCCGCACGCCGCAAACACCCGGCGAGGCCCATCCCAAGATTTACGTAGCCCGCCACCATCAATTTTTCAGATAATGATGTGCACACCGCAGATGGTGGCATGTTCCTTCTACTTTGGTGTCCGACAAAACTTATGACGCAATTATGGTGGGCCTTATAGTCAGCAAATGCGGCTGAGCGGTGCCGAACCTGTACATCACTACTATTAATAACCGCAGGATTTAACCGGAACACGAAAAACAGGACAACTGTTTATTGTGCAGCTATCACATGCTCTAGGACATTTAATATCATGTTCTGAGGTATGCTACTTGTCTTTCCTTCTTGCATCCACCATCGTATGCACGACTTCGCGATTAAAAATGAACCTCTCCAGACCCCCGGATCGGCCACTACAGCTCCACATCGACGGATCAGACAACCCGAACAGGGTCTACTCCAATAACGATGTAGTCAGCGGAGTAGTCAAGGTCGACACCCGTCAGAAGATCGAAAGCGTCTCCATCAGCTTCTCAGGAACCGCCACAGCCCGCCTAACACGCATCCACGCGAGCGGCATAGGAAGCGCGCACCAAACCTGCGAAGGCCGCAGCACGCTCTTCCGCTACCACGAGCGCCTCTTCGAAACGGGCAACAGCAACGCCGCGGCCATCGAATCCTACGCCGCCAACCGCGACGGGCCCTTCGTCTCCTTCCCCTTCCGCTTCCGCTTCCCCTCGACCGCCCAGTGCCACGACACGTCCTCCCGTCGCGGCATGAACAGCCTCGAGCCCAACCCGAACTTAGAACGCGATCCGGGCCACCCGCTACCCCCCTCCATGTCCGCCGAAGTCGACACGCACTACCAGTCCATCCAGTACCTCGTCGAAGCCCGCATGACCACCACCGCCCTCAAGATCTTCTCTGGCTCGAAAGAAGACAGGGAGATGATCCGCTTCGTCCCGTCGTGCCTCAACTCATCCGCCGCGGAGGCGCCGAACTTCATCGAGCGCGCCGTCACCCTCACGCGGCACAGCAAGCAACTCGACCCATCCTACGAACCGCACGGAAAGCTGCGCGAGAAGCTGAAGGAAGTCCTGCCCGCCTCGTCATCCGACCCGCACGCGTCTTTCACCGTCGTCACCCGCGCCCCCGCCACCACCCGCAGTGGCGCCCAGGAGCTGCCGATCTTTTTCAGCATCACGCACGGCGAGCGCAGCCCCGAGCTGCTGGCGCCGCCGGAGTTGTGTTTGAAGGGTTTCCGCGTCGCGCTGACTGCTGTCGACAAGGCACGTGTGAAGTATACGGGGTTGCAGGGCAGCGAGATCACGGGGCGGAGGATGCATGAAATCACGCTGGTCGAGCGGCGGTGGGGGGAGGCGGAGGACGGCCCGCCGCAGCTCGACGCGGGAGGCGAGGAGGTGGCGCTGGCGTCGTTGGCGGAGGAGGGGAAGGTGGTGGTGTCGAAGGGGGTGCGTCCGACGTTCAAGACGTATGGGCTGGCGCGGTCGTATGCGTTGCGGGTGAAGCTGTGGATCGAGTGTGCGGGGAAGACGTTTGAGGTGGAGGGGGCGGGGCATGAGATCTTGGTGCTGCCGTGGCCGGATTTGAGGGGGGAGGGAGAAGGCGCCGCGGTGGAGAGAGAGCAGGATGAGATGGAGGAAGGGGGCGCGCCGCCGCCGTATGAGGCGGTGCATGATGGACCGAGTCCGATGGGAGGCTTTTGAAATGTTTGGTGGTTGAGTAATCGATGTGTTACTAACCGTTGGAAGAGGGGTTGAAATTAAGTTGAAGCTATATGATGTCGAATATACCCAAACGCCACTCGCTATGCCGCTGTCTGACTTTTGGACCGCGTCATTCAAAGTCCTTACTCAAAAGACTAAGCTTTTAAAATGACAACTAACGACAATATGATAGAGGCTTTGCGCAAACAGGTATGATGTTCACTTCCTTACTTTCCGTTGCTGGAAAGTTGTAGAACTTGGCGAGAGGGGTTGAGAAGATTTGGAATTCATCCAAGCGAGTGCTAGTAGGGTGTTTCCGATTCGATATGACGTGGATTTGGGTTTTAGTCCAAAAAAGGGTTTGTCAGCGTAGGCGATGAATACTCGGAAAGGCTGTCTTTACGAGCAACACTTCCAGAATTCCCATCTACTGTACGGCAGTTGTTACATCAATCTTGTGGTAAGCACACGCTACGCAAACCTCGGTTACCCGAAAATTACTTGGCCGCAGGTGCCAAGAGGAGGATATATGAACTTCGGACACAGGGAGGCATATATAGACTCCACCATGAGGTCTCTGAGCACGGATTGCACACGGGTCGCTGCGTGGCAGCTGTCTGAGTAATGAACATCTATTTATAGAATGAATTGTAACAGTTTTGTTATACTGAAGTTGGAATTTCCTCAAGAAATACCGACTCGAGATGCCAAGACGCCATGGATGAACGGGTCGCACATGGGATAAATCCTCGGCCAGCGCCCCACCTTTGAAGCGCCCATCAGCTTATCGCAAGCGACGTGCAGGATTGCATCCTTGACAGCGGCCCTTCTATTCATCCGGAATAACCTGCGCATTCACTGTTTAAGAACCTCGTTGCAAGCAAACTTGGAGAGAACGAGCGATCAACTCGTCCTCTACAACACGATGTTCCTCGTTTCACTCCTCTTCTGGGCCGCGGTGAGTGCTGCACACCTAACGCTACAACCCCCAATGCTAACACAGACAACAGTGCCTCTGGATCGCGGGCAGGTGCTTCTACAACCTGTACCTCCACCCACTGCGCTCTTACCCGGGCCCCTGGCTCTGCCGCGCCTCCTCCTTGCCCCGGATCTGGCACCGCACCGTCGGCACCAACATCTCGCACGCCCATCACGCGCACGAGAAGTACGGCCCCGTCGTGCGCCTCAGCCCCGGCGAACTCAGCTACATCAACTACGACGCCTGGAACGGTTCGAATGCCCCCCCCCATCCACCCTTCCCCACGCGCCTCCATCTGACCCCGCAACGCAGATATTTACGGCCGCAACGACGGCAATGCCGCCCTGCCAAAAGACCCAACCTTCAACTCGCCATCGCCCGACTACCCACCGGGCCTCGTCCAGGTCACCGACGGCCCGCCGCACGCGCGCCAGCGCCGCATCTTCGCGCCGGCGTTCTCCAACACCTCGCTCATGAAGCAGGAGGCCATGCTGCGCGGCCACGTGCGCAAGATGGTCGCCAAGCTGCAGCGGGCGTGCGACAGCGCCTCGTCCTCGTCCTCCCCCTCCTCAGGCGCCGAACTCGACATCTCCTCCTTCTTCAACTTCCTCACCTTCGACGTCATGGCCGACCTGGCCTTCGGCGCGCCGCTGGGGCTGCTCGACGCGGGCCAGTACACGCCGTGGGTCAAGAACGTCTTCGCCGTCTTCCGCATCCTCTCGCTGCGCGCCATCATCTTGTACTACCTGCCGCAGCTGGAGGGCCTGATGACGCGCGTGCTGGCGCGGCCGGCCATGGTGGCGGCGCGGAAGGCGCACATCGACTACGCTGCCGGGTTGGTGGATCGGAGGCTAGACGCGGATGCCAACGCGCAGACCGAGGAGAGGCCGGATGTCTGGGCGCTGGTGGAGAAGAAGATGGATGTGTTGACGCGGGAGGAGATGCATATTAACGCCGCGACGTTCATGGCGGCGGGGACGGAGACGACGGCGACGGCGTTGTGTGGGGTTGTGTGGTTTCTTGCGAGGGACGGGGGCGCGATGGGGAAGGTGACGGAGGAGGTGAGGGGGTTGAGCGGGGGGGAGGAGGACTTGACGATGGATACGTTGGCGAGGTTGCCGTATCTCAATGCGGTTATTAATGAGGCGATGCGGTTGTATCCGCCCACGCCGGATATGCTGTATAGGCTTGTGCCAGAGGGGGGCGCGATGGTCTGCGGGAAGCTTGTGCCGGCTGGGGTGAGTTGACGCGCTGTCCTCAGTTTGTTGATGGTGTGTTTTTTGCTGACGTTGGCCCCTCTGGGCGTAGACGGTGGTCGGTATCCATCAGTGGCCCGCGTACCACTCGGCGCACAACTTTGCCCGCCCGGAGGAGTTCATTCCGGAGCGGTGGCTTCCCGAAGCTTCGGTCAAAGGGGAATTTGTGAATGATGAGAGGAGGATAGTGCAGCCGTTCTCGAGGGGGCCCAGGAGCTGTATTGGGAAGAAGTAAGTTTTTTACGACCTGCAGCTGATTTTCCTATGCTTACATCCCCGCAGTCTTGCCCTGCATGAGATGCGCTTGGCCCTGGCAAGCACTTTGCGGCAGTTCGATATCGTTGCCACCGATAACAGCAAGGATTGGATGCAGCGCCAGAAATGTCATGTTGTATGGGAAAAGCCTCCACTTATGATGAAGGTCAAACCTGTGGTGTAACTAAGGTAGTGAATGACGGTTTTTGTGGGAGCTGGACCGATCCACGATGTATATGCAAGCATTTGAAACTTGGTAATTTTCCAGTCCATAAAGTAGCAGCCATGGTTGCGATGCTTTCCTCCCGCTTCATGGGCATGGGAATGAGAATGAGTGGAGTTCCACTGACTAATCCATCTTGCACGAGATATCAGGCTCTGCTGCACCGGAGGATGAATGATGCTGCAAGGGACTCTTAGGGGCGTGAGGATCACACCAGCGCAGCATTCTTCCCTCCTGGAACGCCAACGGCCATAGCGACTAGCAAGAAAAGGGGAAAGAGAGAGAGATAGAGGAGCGAGGGAGTGTGAGTATGGGCGTATTGGAGGAAAGGGCGCACAAATGAAGCTTGCGCAAAGTCGAGGTGGTGTCGGCATGATGCGCGGCGGTCATTTGCAGGTCCTGTGATGTGATCTGGAGAACATTCACAATGCCCACCGCTACAGCTGGTTTGCCTACAAAGACCATGTGACCAAATGTACTCAGACCTCGGACTGGGCGTGTAGTATGACCCATGAATAAATCATCCAATTTGGTTCTTTCTTCGTTTCCCTTTGTGGTTGGCAGCTCAGGTTCGTAATCGGTTTTGATGGAGAAGGTCTTTATGCAGGGAGAAGCGTTGCCACCGGATTACGTACTTCTATTTTCGACTCCTGCATTCTTTAGCAAGCGAGGAGGAATATATGCGTACGATAGGGAATCAAGTCTCTTAAGTAAGGGGCCAATCCCCATGTATAAGTTAAGGAATGAGTCAACGGCAGAGAATGAAGAATTTGACAAAGCGAGGGAAGGAAAAGAAGGTAACGGAAGTGGAGATAATGAGTGAAGATACTTAAGGTGAAGCTTGCTCTCTTCATCTCACCTTTGATAACCTCAATACCTCGAAAAAATGGGAAGCCAAATTACCCATGAAGGCGCTGTTCATGAGATATATCCTGGCGGCGATATCATCTTCCTTTGTGGCCCGAGTAAGGTGAAGCTTCTAGTCCATTCGATTTTTTTAACCAATGCATCGAGAGTTTTTGGTGCCATGCTTGGCCCATTCTTCAGCGAAGGACAACCGCAGACTGATTCCGGACCTCGAGAAATTCCGTTGCCAGAAGACGACCCGTTCTCTATGCAAGTCATTTTCAACATCATTCACTCTCGACGCGAGGTCTCACATAAGAAGATATCGCCAAAGCAATTGTTATCCATTGCTTACGCGGCCGACAAGTATGACCTCGTTTCTACTTTGAAATACGCCTCTTCGTGTTGGTTTTCTTCAATCCAAACACCTGGAGACGGCTTTCATCTCGAGACATACTTGCACAGCATGAAAGCTGCGTATCTTCTCAAAAATGAAGCTGCTTTGCAAACGGCAATATCTGCGATTGTCCTCGGCTACACTGGGCCATTTCTCAGTCTCTGGTCACACTTTGATGATATCATGCCACGAGAAACCATATGTATGTTTTTCTATTCAGCTCTACAGGTCTGACAGGATAGCTAAGCCCTGGTTGCAGTCGTGCTGGAAGAGAAGCGCAACAAGATTCGCCTTGATATCATAAAGCTACTCTGGCCACGAGATGGCGTGCTCGACGACCGATATGGGAACCAAACCCTCCGATGGGTTTACATGCTTCAAGCGAATGGATTACTTCCGAACAACGTTGTCAGCTCCGACCTGACGAGGATTATCATAAGGATCCAGAATGCATGCAAGCCCGATGCGTTGATGGCATGTGGAGTTGCCATAACACCTCAATCACGACTGCGTTTTCTAGCACAGTTGAATGAGCTCACAAAGTCTGCTGGGATTTGTCTCGAGAGTCTCGGCAACCGTACCGGGAGAAACACTATATTGTCAAAAGCACCTTGGCAATCATGGTTATGTGTTTTGATCATTGTTATTGCTTTTGTATACCCCTACTTTCAATAAGTTGAACATTAGTAAATAGTGAGAAGATACTCATTCGGAATTACGAGTGCCAGACTACCTCTTGAGACAGCCGAGACCCGCGACCACCCAGATGTTGTGGCTATTTTTAGACAGTGGGCGGCTTTGGCCGTCCAATCTCTGTCACGGTCACAAGGGACGTTGACGGTTGACGTGTTGGATATTCGGTCTAGACATTATGATATGGTACTCTGTTCGTGCATGAACCCGTGGGGCAAGATATAACATGAAACCATGGTGTGTTTACAGCACCAGAGCAGCGGCAAAGACACCCATAGCACCAACAATCGGCACGGCAACCCGCCCAACAGCGCCGCCTGTCGACGACGCCGTCGCAGCCGAGCCGGTCCCGCTGCTGCTACCCGTTGCGGAAGAGGCTATTATCACCAGTCAGCCAGCATTCAAGAGTAAAAAAAAAAAAAGACAAAGGAAAAGAAAACAGCAAAACTCACAACCCTCGCTTGTCGCCGCCGCCGCACCGCTGCTGCTCCCCGTCGCCTCAGCCGTCGCGCTCGCGCTCGCGCCCGCCTTGGTCGCCGCCGCCGCCGCCGCCGCCAGCTTCTCCTGGCCGGCCGTCACGTACAGCGGGCTCCACGAGATGTCGGTCCCCGTGAACGTGGCCGTCTGCGTGCCGGGGAAATCCGCGTCCTTGCCGCCGATGACGGCCGTGCAGACGGCGCGCTCGGTGCTGGCGGTGATGTCGCAGTACTCGTCCATGGTGACGTCGGCGGCAGTCGCGCCTGATGAGGCGCTGTACTGGTAGCGCATGGTGGACGGGCCTGCGATGAGCGTCATGGCGTTGCCGGGGATGCCGCAGTCGGAGGAGTCGACGTCGACGTCGTCGTCGTCGTCGTCGTTGGTCGAGGCGGTGGTGGTGGTGGTGGTGGTGGAGGGCGAGCAGGCGATCAGGTAGGTCGCGGCGGTGGCGTCGGCGGCGATGACGGAGGCGACGGGCGTGTTGTCGAAGCCTAGGTTCATCCAGCTTCTCGTGAGCGTGCTGCTCGACTCGGCCGTGGCGCCGGCAGCGGCGGTGGCGGCGGTGAGGAGGGTGGCGGCGAGCTTGGGCATTTTTGTTTGTTGTGGTGGTGGTTGTGGTGCGCAGAGCGAATGAATGTGGTAGTGACCGAATTGGAAATTGACGCGACGGATGTCAAATGAAAGGCTGCGATCGGGGTAGAGAAGGAAAGTGGATAGAGGACGGATTCAGAGAAGCTTTTGACGTTCTGCTGTGCCGCAGTATTTGCTTGACCGCAATCTTCCTTCGTGGGCGCCACTTCAGGCAGCCGTACGCCCTGGGCACTTCTACTGCCGGGCGGCAGGCCGTTGCGTTGGATGAGCGGGGCCTCTTGTAAATTGAGACGGCGGTGGCGCGATATCCGTCGCTTGGCAGGGGCGAAGGATTCGCCTCCTTGCCGTGTTCCCGAGACCCCATGTGGCTGCTCCACTCACGTCCTAATCGATAAACCCAGTACTGCGTTACACTATTGCAGAAAACGACCGTGAGATCCGGCGATACTCAGGCTATATTGAGCAAAAACTGAAAGAATGCTTCGGGCCCTCTTTTCCGCAATCATCTTGAGAACCAGAGCTATCCAGGCATTGGCCCAGAGAACGTACAAGCGTTCTTTGGAAGAGAGAACATCTTCCACAGCGTTCACTAAAGAGCCGGAAGTTTCCTCTATCCATCATATGAAGGGGCCGAATAGAATACCCTAGGCCGGTGGACATTTGAGGGTAGCAGCAACTTCACACTTTTGCTTGTGATCTCGTGGGACTGCTCCGATCCCCAGGTTTCTGTCTTCCAACTTAGCCACGTTACCTACTCTATAGATGACTGCTAGACTTTGCTAATTCTTAGGAATTGCAGATTCCTCGAGTTTAAGATAACGACCGTCGACTGTGTTTTTAGAGATGCTCTTTCGAACCATTATTTAAGTCCTCAGAAACAAAGTTATATCGAACTGTGAATGCAAACTGGCCAATCTCTTTCATATTCTTTTTTCGTTTTTGGATCGTAAATCGTTAGGGCTAGTTTTATTTCCAATATTTCCTCTGGAGAATCCAGGTAAACAAATAATACGTTGAGAGAAAATGGAAACAACCCAATTCCTACGAAGAAAAACAAGGGATACACCTTTCCCATGGCACAACCCACTATCCCAGGCGAACGTCTTGCCAAACTGGATTAGCTGCATGAAACGCATCGATATGGACATGGCCAAGACCAATGCGATAGGCAATACCATCCTCCCATTCGACAAGGAGAACATGATAACAATTGAGGAACTTTACTTCGAACTTTCCTGTATCATACCTTTGGCAATAAAGGTCCCATTTTCTTGTTGGCCCGCAGTCTTGGCGTGGTACCGAGATGTTGTCCAAGAGTGTTTCATCCAAATCCAAAGGGTCGTCAGCAGGAAACGAAATTTCGCGTCGTGGGCTGCTGGTGAATCTTGACAGGGCGATGAGTCCAGTATTCCGTTCGATGGGTGGGCGATTTTTAAGGGAGACATCTAGACGAATGGTCCCGGCTTTGTGCTTTGTACTGTCGTACACGATCGCTTCTAACCATCGCCAGCTGCTATGCCGTTCTGGACTAAGCCACATCCCTCCTGGATCTCCCTCGTCTAGGTAGCTTTTCGTATCGATGGAAAGACAAAAGCCTTGGAATGTCAAGATGGTGGAGCCTTGAATGGGCGACATTGCATTGCCCTCATCCTGACCCAGTGCCACAGGGTGAGGGAAGTAGAGATCCGGTTTCGACGGATGGACATACACGAACTGAGGGTAACTAAGATCTGGTCGTAGGTTTAAGCACTTCCATCCAAGCTCACGCCAGTTTGCACACCGAAACTCTTGACTGGAAAGGAGGCGCTCGGGCCCATTTGCTGTTCTACATTTCCAGAGAATGGATGGAACAGTGAGATCAGTGATCGGGCTGTACTGAACTCCATGATCCCAACCAGCCCAGCTCCAGCTTGGGGTTGGAAGTCCTGGAATGTTCCGCCGGTGTTCACGTTTCCAATACTCGATGGTATCACTCCTCTCCTTCTGGGAGGTTTCTTTAGATAGTTCTCGGTATATTCGTGAAAAGTCAAACGGTGAATCGGTCGTCCATAGAAGTGCTTCATCAAGAACGGTGGCCGGGAGGTTGAAAAAATGCGTAGATGATGTTCCCCTGCTCAGAAGCTCCAGAATCCCTGAGAATGCCGAAAAAATGTCGGTCTCGTGAGTCATGGTGCGACGAGAGTATGCGCTGACACATCCTCGGTAGTCTTGCCATTGCGTACACATCTGATTGCACAGTCGTCCGATGGGGTCGATGCTTTGGGGGAACACCGGTGTCCTTTCCGGCGGCAGGTGGGCGTTAAGCTCCTCGAAGTACATCGTATGTCCGCACATGAATCGAAGCTGTTTCTCAGTCACGAATAGGAGACGGGAAGACATTTTTCTTTCTTGATACGTCCACGCAAGTTTGCTCCAAGGTGATAGGGTGACTGCTTCCAGACTGCTCTCGTACGAAACGTCTCGCGCAGATGCAAGCTCCATGCCTTGCACCTGTCTAATGTAAGTATCGCTTCGAGGAATGCTGATTCCAGGGAGGCCATCATTAGCAGATGACCCATACGCATCCACGATAGTGACAGCCGCATCTCTGTAGATAGACCCGATCTTGTTTTGGAGGGCTGCCTTTGCAGCCGCATCGTCCTGACGAACGCAAAGTGAAGCCACCCAGAGGTACCGTAGTCCGATGTGCCTTGTGAGCTCTGCCGCATCCTTGATGGTCCTTGGTATCTGCAATGCATCGCTGAAGAGGCCATTGGGTTTTTCCAGTATCTCCTTGGTGCTTGTCTCGTAGCAGACATGTTTCACCTCACCCGGCACATAGCTAAGAGCGGCGTATTTGCAATTTCCACTCACGCTTTTTACACAGCCATCCACCAAGTCCATCAGCAGAAAGTCGTGGACCGCTATCTCCTGAGGTTCCGCACCATGGCTTGATTCGCATGCTGCAAGCCAGTCGCATCCAGAATCAGTCCCAACAAGCTTTGCAGGGATCCTTCGTCCATCTCCTGGACGTGTCCCAATTCGGTAAATGACTGGACGATGGTGCAAAACTTCACAAGGTTCATAGCTATAGGCATCGAGCCCCAAGTATCCAAGTGGCTTTGGGAAGTTATAAGGTCCGAATCCCAGGCCGCTGCGGAGAGAGAGTGCGCCATCGAAATTCTGATAAACCGGGCGCAGAAGTTGGTACCCATGTGTGATTAGACTGCAAAACGAACAAGAGGTTTGTTGGCCATGGTATTGAGGTGTTCCAATGTAGATGTTTTCATCCGGATCAGACTTGTCAACGAGTTGCCTGAAGTCAATATGCCGACACAGTTCGCACAGGTATCCAGGGTCAGCTTGAGATAGGCCGGGTGGATTCTCGATCCACCATTTCTCGTGACATTCAGGTACGACGGCTTTCCAGGACTCAGAGGCATTGTCCCATTTGTGGTTCTGGTATGTGATTGGTTTCCTGGGCTTGTGGTTATGGTCCGCGTTTTCGTGGTGTACCTTAAGGCCTGAGCTCAGTTTCACTTCAGGTTCGTGTGATTGGGAACTTGATGCAGCTAGTTCTTTGGAGTCCTTGGCACAGCCAGGATTCCCATGATCGAAGGTATTTTGACGCGCAGCTTCCCCTTCTGACATCTTGACCAATCCCGTCTTTCGCTACGCTAATAGTAAGCGAAGAGTTAAGACCATAATTAGAATAAAAAGGCAATTACCAAGTGAAAATTCCCAAATGCTATCCGAGATAGGCGTCAACGCTCATAGAGCGATCTTGCTTGCTATGCAACTGGGTGTCACCCATGGATATCATCCAGAAGAAATTTGAGCAACGGCAGGGGGTAGCTTCAGCACCAGAAGAAGACAGTCAAGAGCTTATGCACAAATAACTGGCAACATCTGGTCCTCTGCGGGGTTTCAGCTACAAGAGAAAATTTTTTCATCATCTGACAGGGCTGTGCAGCCCATCTATTCCTGATCTGTAGGATCCCCGCTTGTCAAGGTTTGCTGCGCCGCAGAGATGCGGCCGACGGATGCCACCACCACAACAGACAAGAAAAGGGGGCACTCGCATGTCTCGCCCACGCGCTTACTGATAAAATGTTGCACTGTGTCCTGCAGGAGCCTTGTATTTAGATGAGGAACCTGAGCTGGTTATAAAGCGACTAATCCGGGGAACTCCCCCTCAACCATAGCGCCAGTCTTTCCGGTGCATTCAACTTGATGGATCTCTAGCATCTATCGCGACATGGAATTATATCATGTTAAATGTTCCGACTTTTAAGCACGCATGTGAAAAATTTATCAGCCAATTCTTTGCGTTCTACCGCATTACTGCAAGCTGATACGGGCGTCCGTGCTTTAGTCCCTCTCAGCATCCTCCAACTGCACTACAGTAGCTTTTGGTAGGTTCTCTGGGTCTCCATTACTCTTAAGCACAGCCATGTCGTAGCTGAGGCTAGAGGTCTTGTAGCCTTTGAACTTCCAAGCCGGTATTCTTGCAGCAAAGAGCTCGTCCATCTCCTCAAGTGTACGGTCCTTCAGCTCTGGCATGCATAGCCAGACCCAGATCGCCCCAAGCGCAGAAAAGCCGCCCCAAACATAGCCCAAATTAGCACCGAGGCCAGCGTATGCCGGGTTCATCAAGTATGGTGTAGTAAACACAACTACAAAGCCAACAACGACATTCACGGCAGTCTAGAAGGAAGATTCAGTGAGACGGGCACGCACCGCATAAGAGGCATGTAGACTTACTGCGATACTCATCGTCTTCTCGCGTAACGATGAGGATCCAACTTCTGCTGCAGTGATGTACGCCGCTGGGCCCAGAGTCATGTGCAGAATGGCGGCGTAAATGATGAATGAAGCCACCATTCCATGGGTGTCGCTGGCAGATCTGTCCGGCTTTGCACCAAGAGCTCCGATGAGGCAGAGGAAGACTGCCTGGAAAATGCAGCCGTAGAACGTGACACTCCGGCGCCCAAGAGAATCAAAGATTATCATGCCGATGATGGCCGTGACCATGGAAACACCATTGTTGATTGCCTGAGCCGAGAATATGAGTAAATTTGGTTCATCAACAGAGTATGAGACTACTAACCGCGTACGCAAAGGCCATCTTTGCGAGGCCAACCTGTTTGTAGAAGGTCGGCCCGTAACTGCTCGAGAATGTCACACCTGTCAGTTGTTGCAGGGCCATTATCCCAGTGGCGATCCTGATGAGAACTTATTAGTACGCGCCTTGATGAATTACTGTGCACTTGACCGAGCTTACCATGTGCGGCGAAGGTTTGTGCCCTTGAATAGACTACTCCACGGTTCCTTCTTTCTCACGCCTTCGACCTGTTGTGTAAAGTCCTCCCTCATGGTAGCGAGTTCAATGTTGACAAGTCCATCTTGGACATCCTTCGCGGGGCGAAGTTTCTCCAAAATTGCAAGAGCTTCATCTTCCCGGTCTCTGGAAAGGAGCCATCGCGGAGATTCTGACAGGTCAGCACATTAAGTAAATGTAGAAGTATAGCATCATACCTGGAGTGAAGGGCAATCCAACTATGATGATGACGGCGGGCAAGGCCTGCAGGCCTGAAGCAACCATCCACCCGGCTTGAGTAGCAATCTTGGCCATTTCGTTATTGACGATGCCGGCAATCAAGGAGCCGAAAGTCAAAAACAGTTGGAGAGATCCAACAAAGAAGCCACGCAGGGGTGCGGGCGATACTTCCGATTGGTAGGTCGGAGTAACGTTTTCGACAAGGCCTACGGCTGTGTAGATAAGGATGCGCCCGACGGTAAATTGTGCGACAGTCTTGCTCGTTACTTGAACTGGAACGCATTGTAAGTATTGCAGACTTAATCATACAGAAGATTCAGCATACCGATCACACCGACAATCTGTGTGAAGCAGGTCAAAAACATGGTTTTCTTATGGCCAAGTTTTTCGGTCATTGTTCCCACAATGAGGGTTCCAGCCAGTTTTCCCAGAAGTGCAAGACTATCAAAGTATATCAGTGAAGTGTGCGGTGATTGTATTCAGCGGCAATTGCATTACCTATTCATCAAAGACGCGACTTTGGGAGTAAGCGCGCAGGACCCATCAGAATCGCAGGTTCCGAATTGTTTTGCAAACGGTGCAAATGCCTGAACACCCGCAAACGATGCGCCATCGCTGGAGAACGTCGTCAACCACGGTGCTTGCTTTCGACGAGCCGTAGAAAAACTTACTATCCTTGAGACAAGTTAGCCTCTCATCATGAGTTGGTCATTGTCATCTTGACTAAGGCAAACATACCAAAAAATACGCTGCCCAATGAATAGACAGAGCAAGTAAAAATGAGGCGTGCCGTGACGGAACTCCAAGCACTTCCGCTCACGAATATCGTTCCTCTACCTCCCATAGTGTCGATCACCAATTGAACCGTCTATGGCAACCGAGATGAGAGATTCGAGGACGAGATCTGGGGTGTCGATCCGAGAATGAGGACCGGGAAAGAATTCCGGGGAAAACAACTTATATGGGCCTCCATTTGTTGCATGCATCCAGCTAGTGCAAAGATTTTGCAATCGGCAATCCTTCAGTGAGACCGACGCCATTTCTCTGGGGAATGCTTATTACCCGGTCCTGAAGCTTGCTCGCAAAGATGGTTATGATTGGCCAGGACCCCTAATTCCGGGGATGTGGGGCATGCGGGGTTGGACGGACCCATAACGGCAGGCAAGTTTTGGTCCGATCGGATGGAAAAGACAAATGCCGAGTAGAAAAAGACTAAGCATCCTCAGGCAATGATCATCTGCCGAGGGATTAAATGAAAGTTGCTAGGATCCTCGTCTCTTCAAAATGGCAAAGCTGCCGAGTTTGCTACGAACTTCCCCAGCTTTGACATTCGGAACACAGACCATTGCATCGACAACGTTCATTACTAAAATTGTAGATTGCCATTTCAAACAAATATGACCTTCGAGTTCGACGTCATCGTTTATGGCTCAACGTCTGGAGCTGTCGCCGCAGCTATACAAAGTGCGAAACTTGGTCGTCACGTGGCCCTGGTCTCACCTCACAGCCATATCGGTAGGCATTCCAATATACCTGTATTGCATATCATCCGAAAACTAATAGAAGTATTAGGTGGTATTCAAATCGAAGGCCTTGGGGCAAGCGATATTGACAATCAAGCCGAGTTCCAGAATTCTGGAACAGTCGGAGGGCTGGCACTAGAGCTTCATCGCCGCATCAGCTCTTACTACGGTAGACTTGAACGTCTTGATGAGGTTGTCCAAAAAGGGATTAAGGATCCCACTGTATGGCGGTTTGAATCAAGCGTGGCTGAAGCAGTCATAAAGAAATGGCTAAGTGAATACAGCACCCTACACATCATTTACGTATGATTATCTCCTGGCATCCTGCAAATAACAAACCGAAGCCTAATTTAATTCTATATACAGGGGCGGCTTGCCACAGAGAATGCTGTTGAGAAACAAGGCAATACGTTGCAGCGAATCAGGCTTTCCGACGGCAAAGTCCTTACAGGCCGGGTGAGTTTTTAGAAGATCCGTTCGATCGAATACATGATTGAACCGAGACCAGGCATTCATTGAAGCATCATACGAAGGGGATTTGTTGGCTGCCGCTGGAGTGTCCACGGTAATCGGTCGTGAAGCATCCAGCGCCCACGGAGAAAGCCTGGCCGGTGTGCGAGCGGAGACGCCATACCGGCAATTCAATATACCGATTGACCCCTACCGTATTCCCCAGGATCCCTCCAGCGGACTACTTTTTGGAGTCTCTCCTGAGCCATTTGGAGAGCCGGGGCAGGGAGATGCTCACCTCGCAGCATATTCGTTCCGCATCCCGTTGACGAAGGATGCGTCTAACCAAAAGCCAATCACTAAGCCCGATGGATACAACCCAGATCACTACGAGCTCCACAGGCGCTTTGCCAAAGCGGGAGGGGAATGGTATACGCCTACAGCTCGTTTGCCGAATGGGAAGACGGATTTGATCGGATCAGAAGCCGTTCTGGCAACTGACCTGCTTGGGATGAACGACGGCTGGCCAACGGGCGACTTCGAGGCTCGACAGAAGATCCTTCAGGAAACGACGACTTTCACGAAAGGCCTGCTGTATTTCTTCACAAGCGACCCGAGTCTGCCCCAGGACGTGAGAGATGAATGGAGCAAATGGGGCTATTGCGCCGATGAATTTCCAGACAACGACCATTTCCCCCGCCAACTATACGTGCGGGATGCACGGCGGATGGTATCTGACTACGTCATCACTCAACACACGGCTTCGCAAGGTGGCGATGAGCCAGTCGACGACCCTGTCACTGTGGCTTGCTGGCCTACTGATACTCACTGCGCGCGCCGTATTGTCCGTGACGGCCATGTCCACAACGAAGGTTTCATCTTCAAGGATGGACATCTTTGGCGACCATTTGGGGTCTCATATCGATCCCTGGTACCTCGAAAGTCGGAAGCTCGGAATCTCATTACGGCAACATGTCCTTCATCGACACATGTTGGTTACGGTATGTGTGCTCTGTGAAAAGTTTCTTCTGCATAGACGCTAACGCAAACATCAAAGGGGCGGTACGTCTGGAGCATCAGTTCTATGCTCTAGGTCAAACCTGCGCCCATTCGTGTGACCTGCTCTTGAGAAACCCACAAGACATCCAGGACATTCCTTATGCAGAACTTAAGCAGCGGCTGGAAGCGGATGGGCTTACTCTGGACGCGAGTCATATTGCTATGCCTGATATACCGTAGAGGTCACCCGAGTGTGTACATCTGGTTCATCAGCCGCGATATCAGCGGATTAATATGTTGTAGAAATTGGATCGTGGGTTACCATGGAAATAATTTTCCACTTATCTATGCTACTATTCTAGACAATTTGGCAAATTTCACTGCTATTAAATATTCTCTCATTTCCTCTAGGCGATTGTTTGGAAGGCACATAGAAGAAATCGACGATGGATTGCTTCGGAATATTTGACAATCAAGACGACGGGCCTGTCGAAACATAAGTTGCGATCGCTATCTTAGAGCGGGTCATATCAAGCTTACAGTAATCTCGTCTATTGGTCGATTTTTTCATTGACCGTGAGATCGTCCACGAAAAAGGAAAAACAGTATGAATGACGGGATCTAATCTACGCAATGGAAAAGTCCTCGCTGTGTTTGAGTTTGATTTCCTTGGGTGAACACTCGGACCCGCATTGACCGTCATTGCCGTGTGATTCGCATTTCTGAAGAGCTCCTGTCCCGCTTAAAATCTCGTAATGACAGGAACGCAGCTGCAAAATAACGCAATAGCACTCAGAGACACTCACCAAAACCTCTTCTGTCTGGTATTCCGAGAAACCTTGGAAGGGTTTGTAGTGTAGCTGGGAAGTGACTCCATTATCCACCTTAAGGCCCTTCCAGGTGCCGCAATCGATTAGCCTAACGAAGCCACTGATCACACGCTTTCCACGGATAATCAGACGGTTGCTGCCTGATTCTGTATCTTGCACAAAAGCTTCGTTGCCAACATGGATAGGCTTCCGCGGAGTACCATCCAGCCAGTCATATACCCAAGAAGAGCCTTCCGAACTAAAGCTCGGGAAAACAATGCCGAACCGTCTTACAAAGTAAGTTGCCAGATCTTCGAATGTTTTCTTGCTCGAAAGCCCATAGTCTGGGACCATTTGAGGATGGCTGTCCTTCTCCACTATGCCGAGCAAGGCGAACACTTTGTCCCGTGGATCCGACGCTTTTCCACCTTGGGTGGCACAGAACATCCATGGAAGTCTTTCGATCGGTTGGGCCCCTCTGAGGCCGTAATGGAGCAGCATTTCAGGGAATGAGACGTTGTCCGATTGTGCGTGTTTGTCGTTCGAATGGTACGTTCGATGGTGGTATGTATCGCAAAAATCGGCAAACATTCGCCATGACACCATTTTGTCGCCACACATAAGGACAGCGCGACGGGCCAGCATGATTTCTTGCAATACCCAAAGTCTTTTGAACCATTCTCGTCGAAGCATCGAGTTCGCTTGTTTGACTTGAGCGCTGGAAATTTGCGCCTCTATCTTGTTGTTCAAAAAGTTGATGAACTCGTCACTATCGCGAGTGGCTTCGCCCAGGTAAACTACGACACGCGAAGCCGTACTGTAGATCTTGGACATGATGGACACTTGCTGATTCCTCTCCTCAAGCATTGATTGGTTGATGCAGATGGCGTCGATCCATAAGACTCTAGTCTCGCTTTCTAGACGAAGGTGTCGTAAGGCAGCCTCACAATTCCGAGTAATAGGAATTCTCTTATCTTCAGGCTCGCATGAAATGGCCCCGGTGAGACTTTTGTCGCCATTCTCATCTGCCCATGTGTACGACAAGGCTTCGTAGTCTGGTGCTTCAGCCAGATCGACGTGGATTATGTCGCAGCGGAGGCTGCTGTAGAATGATCCTGGAGGTAAGACGACAAGTCGAATATCGTTCCTCCCTTCGAGTTTGTCGTAATGGTAAAGATCTGTTCTCAGTTCAGTCCTGGTGAGAGCGCCTGAGATTATTTTCCGATGGCTTAGGCTCGGAGTGGTATTGGAGGACATTTTTGGGGAAATGAGCCTGTAGAGCGCAGCGCATAATGTGGGCACGGTTGTTGTGAAGAAGAAATGGCACAAGAAAAAAAAAAAAACCGTCAGCAGAACGCAGGGCTGACGTGGCATATTGCCAAGGCTGAGGTGGCTCAGCTTATGCTGCATACCCAATCAGAGCTACTCGCCAAGTCCCATAATTGGAGAAAGTCTCCGATCCGCAGAAACGCATGATATCAATCCTGCTAGCAAATTATTGCCTTTGATAATGGTCGCGAGACTCGCAGCTTGAATGCTACCAACATGTATACGGGGCATAGCCTGTCGTGATCTGCTTGTGATGCTTTAAAGGGGTGTCTCCATGTAGCCAGATCTATGTTCGCGCATTCTACCTGGCCACCCGGCTACTGAGTATGCACACCATACTTGCGTGTTTAGCGCGCTGGGATGTACTGCCACCACGTTGAAGTAGTTGGCGTAAGAGAACTGCCCCACAATCGTGTCACGAATGGCTTAGATAGGTAGCATACTGTGAGGCGAAGGGAAGTGCACCCGTCTCCGTACCCTCAATGTCTTCATTTTTGGCTGGGCCGGAAAGGAGACCTAGCTTGTCTACACTTAGCTACTCACTGTAGCAGAGGTCTCCTGGATTCCATCCAAATCCCCAATCCTTTACAAACAGGTTGCTCGTGTGGCGCCCTTGCTAATGGTGCCCCGATCTCCTGCGGCGCAGGCGAGCTTCCCGGTCGCATAAAATATCCAAAACAATTAAAAGTGATATTTAGAGACTGAATCCCAGTATGATACTCCCTAACCACTAGAGACTATTCAGTTCCATCGGTATGATTGCTTGAATGCGACAATGAGGTGATCTGCACGTCCAGTTACCAAGCACGCTCTTGTATATCTTGTCAGTCGTCTGAGAGTATTACCTCATCTCCTTTCACAGTGCTGGATGTACAAGTCTCCCCACGTCTGCGGCAACGGCGGTAGGTCAGCCTCACGTGTCCCAACAAATTTTCTTCCCGTCTGTGCTGCGGTATCTGAATCGCATGGGCCTTGACACATGGGCTGAGATGTGCAGAATACCAGTGACAGTTGAATGCATGAAAGTCCTGAAAAGCAGCCCAGACGCTGTTATTGATGGCATTTTATGGGACTCCGTTCCACTTGTCGCGTTTCGCACGTGCTTCATGGCGCTGGTCGTCCTATTTTTAAGGGCCCATGGGGAATATCATAAAATGCGGAGGCATTCGTGCTTGTCCTAAAAGGAAGGTCAGTCGATGTAACAATACGACAGATCTCTTTCAGCATAACATGTTTGTCACTGCTTGACAGATGTACACTAATTTCTATAGCAGCTCACAAACCACGAGGCCCGAGCGGACAGGCTTTCCCGCTCCGGTGGGATCATTTGACTGGGTGATGAGAGATATCAGGAGCTATAGAACAACATCTCTTCTCTATTGCTAGAGCAGATTTTACTAGACAGGGCTTGAGGGCGTCGAGAGCCTTGGCTACCAGACTTACTTCATGGGTGGCGTCCCGGACCCACTTCTCACTGGCCAGATTGAGGGCGATTTGGAGAAATCAAGGCCATGTACGTCCGTAGCAAGGGCTCTTTCCAGATCCAGACGAACTGCAACACTGTCACCTCTCATCCACCAATGCAATCATGGGCACGCCGAGTCCTCATACCAGTAAGAGCCGTAATATCCGTGTCACGAAGGGGTCAATGCGCGGGGATCCATGAGCAGCTCTCACACAGCAACCGACAACGGTAAAACATCTCTTCTCCTCATGTGGTACATGGGTACCACTGGAAATTTTGCGTCTCGTCTTTTGCCACATGGAAAGAATTGTTGAGAGTACACTCACACTCAGCAGTTACCGCTTCGTTGAGCCGAAAAAAGAAAATAAAAACTGGAGCTTTACCACATCGCGACACATCATATCGGCGGCACCACGGCAGCGCTCCCGGGCCCGTTTCATCGGATACATCGATCTGGAAAGGTTGCAAATCACGAAGCTTTCTTCCAATAGCAGGCGATCCTACCGTAGCCCTACCGTAGCCCTAAAAAAAAAACAAGCAAATTAATTGTGTTGACTCCTGCGTCGCAAAATTTGTAACATGAAGAAAAAGCAAAGCACTGGGATCAGTCGCATGCACCAGGTCAGCAACTTTCGAGTTGGTAACAGAAAGTTGCTATTCCGACGACGTCCTTCCTTTTACAATCGGAACTTTTCAAGTAACTCCACCAATCTCGAGTTGATTCTAGGTGACGCGCGTATGTGGCTAATCTTTATAGAAAAATAGGGAAGAACGGTGCACGCCCCTACACTTGCGTTGAGGGGTCATGTCACAGATCACACATTTACCCGGAGGCTCCACAATTTATCCAGAACAAAAAAGACTCGCGTGTTTAACTTGCTTATTGCCGGCTTCACTTTCACCCTTTCAAATAAAACAAGGGTGTACACAGTTCCGGTAAGTCGGTTGCGGGTAGTCAGATAGCCAAGCATCGGTTTCAGGCTATGCTGGTGATCGGACGTAAGTGCCTGACACAGCAAAAAGACAGCAATCTCGCTAGCCCTCATTGTGTGGAATGAGCAGAAGTCCGCTCTCTGTTGGCCTACCGTGACATGTATGCTTGCTGGAAACTTGATGCATCGTACGTTTCTTGGGGATTTTCTTGGTGTGAGAGTAATAGGAATCTGGTTACCCTGGGCGTTTCACCTACACGTGCTGGATATAAGCAATGACAATCCGCGATACCAGCATTCCCTGGAAGCGCAACTCTGTCTTTCTCAACATGATGTGGCCCGTGCTGCTCCTAGCGTTGAGCTTACTCCGGCGTGCCTCGGCAGCAGACCTCTCGTTCTCCAGCCTACCAAAATGCTCTGTAAGGCGATCGATCTAAGCAAATGCGGAAGATCTGCGACCATTGACGGTGTCACAGCTACCTTGCCTATTGGAGGCATTGTCAATCATCGACTGTTCCGCTCTTGACTTCACCTGCCAATGTCGCAAGAGTGGTCAGCTTGCAGATATCACTCAGTCTTGCTTACAAGCGAAGTGCAAAATGCAAGAAGTAATTGGTGAGCACATATATCAATGAAGTACAATACAGTCTACTAAGAAGGACTAGATCTTGCCAAGATTCAAAGCAAACTGTGCAATCACGCAGTTGATTCACGTCAAGGCTATCTGAGAAACGAAAAGATAATATCCGTGTCTCTTGCGCTATTCTTCGTGGCTATCAGAATGACCTCGAAGATTTTAATACAGAGAAGACTAGGATTAGATGACTGGATGATCCTTGTTGCGGCAGTAAGTGCACGGATTGCGCGGAGAGATCATGCCAGATGTACTAACTGGGACTAGCATCTTAGCATCGCGTCACTTGCTTGTCTATTGATCAGTAAGAAGCCATAGCGCTACAATCTCCACTCTAAATAATCGACGATCTTTAACAACGTCCACTGAAACCAGGTGTGAATTACGGCTTCGGACTTCATCTTTGGGGGTTTGATACGTCTTACCATTTTGCGCAAGCACTCAAATTCTGTACGTACTGTATCCTTGGAATCGTTAAATATACTGATACCATCAAGTTTACATCGAGCAAATCCTCTACGCAATTATAACCGGTATCACAAAACTGTCCATCCTGATCTTCTTCCTATCGATCTTCCAACAATCCCGTTCATTCAGGATTGCAGCCAAACTCGTTTTCGCCTCAATCGCATGTTCAACCACCGTCTACATCTTCGGACTTGCCTTTCAATGTATTCCCGTCCCATTGTCATGGGACAAGGACATCAAAGATGGCAAATGCCTCAACTTCAACAACTTGGCGTACTCAGGAGCGGCAATCACCATCGCCCAAGACGTCGCGACGCTCATTCTGCCGATTCCCCAGCTTCACACTCTGCAGGTTGACGTATACAAAAGAATTGGGCTGGCTATCATGTTCACTGTCGGCAGTCTGTATGTCAGAACTCTATTCTGTACACGTGTCACATACTAACTTTGTTCCCTACAAGTGGTTGCGTCGCATCTATGGTGCGGCTCAAATTCCTCATCGACTACGGCATATCGACCGGTGAGGCCGCAGATCCAACATGTAAGCTTCCAGCCAAAGAGCTACTCTTTCATCCAGCTGATCATGCTTTCACGACAGACACGACTGCTCCCGCTATCGCATGGAGTGGAATCGAGGCCGGAGCCGCCATCGTTTGCGCCTGTCTGCCGTCTACTCGCAATTTGTATCGACGGATAGCCTCCCAGCTCTTTCCAAGACTGTCACTCAGCCTCTCCTCTCTGAATCGGTTTCGCGTGAAGCAGGTCACGAGCATCACGCAGAACTCAAGACCTCGCAACGAATCGGAGATCGAGCTGAGCCGGACAGGGGCGGAACCTTAACCGTCCCGTGTGACACATCTGATCTGCGGGGAGGCCCGACGATTCCGGTGACGCCATTCTGTCCTTGGCGACGTCCGGGAGGTGTTCGGACGGGACGTGGGTGTGAAAGAAAGTGGAGAGAGAGAGAGAGCCGAGATGGGTACGAGAAATACTCGGCGGAGGACGGCGGCTGGCGCTGGCGGAGATGGCGGACGGCGCTCTCGACGTAACGGCTGTGGCGTGTGAAGGCGTCGGGGGATGTGCCGTGGCGTGCAAGGGAGATCGCCGGCTAAAGCTTGAACTTGAGGAGTTTTTGAACTCTTCAGCGGGTGTCTCGGTCAGTTCCTTGCAGCGACTCGAGGCTGTGGCGCGGAAAGCGGAGGTCGGGGTTCGGTTCGGTTGCGGGGAGAGGGGAAAGAGCGGGGTTACGGCTGCCAGCAGGGCGGAAAACTAACTGCATCGAGAGCTACAATAGCGAGAAGGCCGTTGGCACGCGTAACGCGATGCGTAATACGACCGACTATCATGACCTGGAAGTGTCAGTTTTCAATGCAAGGCTATTTAATTTTGGAACACCTGACTGTATCAAAGTTCTCAGGTCGGCACTTGGTGGTGCAGTATGACGCTTCGTTCAAAAGATTTGTCGCGAGGATATCGATTCGGCACAAGATTACCGAGTAACCCGGTACTGATCGTCCAATTGAGAAGGGGGTCGGCAGACCCGAATTGACATACCCGGCGTGATCGGCACTCCGGCGGGTGAGATTGAGGCTAAGATCTCGACAATAATCCGCAACCGTGGGATAAGCCGCTTTGATCACGCCAGGTGCCAGAATGGGCAAACTTTCCACTGTCGCCTTCTGCTTTTAGAGGCTGCAGCGGTGGATACGGTGGGATTGTGGGCTCCGTCCAGGGAATCCTTGAATTTCCATCCCACAAGCCCACAAAGCAATTCCCGGCACTTGTTGGCGGAGCGGAGAATGCACTCCCATGCAAGGAGATAAAGCTCGATGTTATTGCCATCATTGTCCGGCAAATCCGTCTATCTGTACCACTCGTTGTTCTTGAAACCTACCGGTATTCGTCATGTTGCTCCATCCGCGTTCTGTTTTGATAGGTGCTGTTGCACTCATCGCTTCCACGGCACCTTCATTGGCTGTTCACTTGACGGTATCCCAAGATAGCGGAAATGCAACATCCTCGCACATGTGGGGTTTGATGTTTGAGGTGAGACATTCAACCATAGTGGGTGGACAGGGACTGATGTGTCAGTGTAGGATATCAATCAATCAGGAGACGGCGGCCTTCATGGTCAGCTCATCCGCAACAACGGTTTCCAGGGGCCAGATCCGGATCTTAGCGCCTACGGATCTTTGAACGGCACTTCCCTCGCGATGGATGATACAGTTCCACTTACGGATGCGATCCCCCGGACTCTTCGTATTGATGTTGAAGCTGGGGCCGCTGGTGAGGCTGGCTTCATCAACTCTGGGTATTGGGGTGTGCCTGTTGATGGCAGCACTTATTCTCACTCAATTTACGTCCGTGGAGAGTATAGCGGTGATATGACCTTCTCTCTGATCGGAAACAGTAGTGGAACTGTCTTCGGCCAGAGCACATTCCATGTTGACAGCGTGTCTGACTCGTACACCCTTTTCGAGGCCACAGCGACGACCACAGAGACAAGCGAGACTGACATTTCATATCACTTGACGTTTGATGCTGGGCTTGTCTCTGGATCCTCGCTATGGTTCGCGCTTCCTCAGCTCTATCCCACCACCTGGAACAACAGGTACGGCCGGGTTTCTTCCTCTATTGCGCATGTTTTGCTGACATCTCGTAGAGAAAATGGGTTGAAACCGTGGATCGCTGAAACACTTGTCAATATCCAAGGGACATTTCTCCGATTTCCTGGAGGCAACAACCTGTATGTATTCAAGTACTGCAGACCAAACGCATTGCTAACAAGTCATTTAGTGAGGGCCCTAATGTAGAAAACCGTTGGAAGTGGAACGAAACTATTGGCCCACTCGAGAACCGACCAGGACATCGAGGTCCGTTTGCAAAGCACGAAATAAAGATATCCGTACTGACAGCTTGGTAGGCACGTGGGGCTACACCAACACAGACGCTTTAGGTAAGAACCTTTATCCCAGACGATTGATAAATCTGCTAATGTAGTACCAGGCCTGCACGAGTACCTCTACTGGTGCGAGGATATGGGTTTGGAACCGGTTCTCGCCATCTATGCCGGATACTCTCTCGACGGCACCGCCATCACTGGCGATGCACTGCAGCCTTACGTTCAAGAAGTCCTGAACGAACTCGAGGTGAGTTGTTGACCGGCTTCAGTGCATATTTCTTTTACATGTAGCTAACTCTGATAGTATGTTCTCGGCGACACAAGCACGACATACGGTGCTCTCCGCGCTTCAAATGGCCAAACGGACCCCTGGGACGTCAAATACGTTGAGATCGGCAATGAGGATTACTTTGCCTGTGACACGTATCCCGAACGCCTGGCTGTATTCCATGACGCCATCTCTCGGGCTTATCCAGACCTGCAGTTGATCGCCTCCACGGAGAACGCTACCTGCTTACCTGACCCCATTCCTGAAGGTATCATACTGGACTTGCACAATTACAATTCCCCAGACGGATTTGTAGATCTATTCGGCTTTTTCGACAACATTGACCGCAGCCATCTCTACATGGTTGGCGAATACGCTCGAGTCAATATTGACTGGCCCGACATGCAGGGATCTGTTGGAGAGGCTGTGTACATGATGGGAATGGAGCGTAACAGCGACCTGATCAGGTTTGCCGCTTACGCCCCGTTGCTTCGGCTGGTTGATAACCAACAGTGGCGAGTGCGTGTTCTCATATCAATTCCCAATGCATCCTGCTAACATAGACTCAGCCTGATTTAATCTCCTACCACCAAGCTCCTGACGCTATCTACCTTTCCACAAGCTACTACGTCCAGCAGCTGTTTGCCCAGAACGCCGGTGACACAACACATGCCGTCACCTCCGACACCGCCTTTGGGCCTTTGTACTGGAGCGCCACAAGTTCGGGTGACACGTACATCGTGAAGCTCGCAAACTACGGCCAAGACGTTCAAAATGTAACCATTGAGATTGCAGGAAAGACGACTGCCACCCTGTCCATCTTGGCAAACGATGACCCGTCAGCCGCCAACTCCGACACTGCTTCTCCTGTCAGTGCTCCCGTGGTATCGACAGTCACAGCAACTGACGGGGTCTTTTCTTTCTCCGCACCGGCCTGGGCTGTCATTGTCTTAGCAGCTGAGTAGAAGACGATGGTAAAGAGAGCGGCGCTTCACCGCATCGTGTCTGGACTGAATTGTTTCACGTTAAACTTTATGTCTAGACGATTTATCTGCAACTTGCAGATTACTTTCCTTGGCATCAGGGGGATCTTCCCCACCACGTTCTTTAGTAGCTAGTAGCATTGGCAGTCTAATCACCTCGCACTACTACTCAGATATTGCGTCGTCATTTATTCAAAGGAGGACCAATTCTTTCCACTGATTGTAGATTCAAACACAATGTTGTCTGCATTTCTGCGTCGTCCTTGCCAGGTTTCTCAAATGTGTACATCGGAGTGTGTCTGTCAATTACTGCCTGTCAACGTCAAATATGTACGTGCCGACACAGCGGACTAGATTTGTTGGTGGTATAGGGTCAACCAGTCCTTCAATATATTTTTAATATGGTGTTGGCTCCCCCTCGAAACTCCTCATAGACCATCGAATGGCCTCCCGATCATCGGATCACCTTCCGACTCTCTGGAAATTTGAGTTCCATCCAGCTCAAAATAGTTGATGGACCTGGACCAAATTCTATCTCTAAACCTACTGATCAATTCATCGTCAAGTTGCCCCTAAATTTTCCGGCAGTCTTCCGAATTTTTTAGTATACTTTGGTCTCAGTGATATGTGCGTGCACAGAGGATGAAGCAGATTTTGACATAATTTTGACCCGGCCCACCATGTCTGCTGGTCGGAGTATTCCGCGCGGCACCGCCTCTACCCACCGATCGACGACAATCCTGTCAATAATGTCTGTCGTGAGCCTAAGGCTAAAATCACGAAGATCATCGCTTAATACCGTCGCATATTCGGGGATGGCGGGAGGCGCTGCTCTTTTCGGGTACATCCCGCGCACCAATGCGCCTCTAGCGCCACGCGGTTCCAGCCCCTGACATATGCTTGAAACGGGCGCTAAATGGTATGATTGGCTGTTTGCGAATAGTTCGAGCTATCCACCAAGCAAATTGGTCCAAACATTTAGGAGCCGTTTACAGATTCCACAGTAATATAATCATCCCCAAAGCCGGGAAGAGATCCCACGCCGACAGTCTATCATTCATTTCACATTTTTATCGTTCCATTCTTTCTGACAAACGCCTTTCGAGTAGCACCAGGTCTACTTTATTTTTTCTTCATTCTGTCGCTCTCGCCATGAAGTTTTCCCCAGTTCTTGCAGTTGCCTTGTCGACCTGGTCCATTCCTTGTTCCGCCCATTACTTTTTTCCACATCTCATTGTCGACGGCAACTTTACCGGATACTTCGAGTATGTCCGTGAGACCACTCAAGGATATATGCCCCAAAAGGGGATGTACGAGAGCACCGACTTCCGCTGCAACACGGGCTCTCAGGACTTTGCATCCAAAACCCTCGTCTACGATGTCCAAGCCGGCGCTGAACTTGGATTCGGGACCGACTTCAACGCACTGATCGAGCATCCCGGACCCTTGAGCGTCTATTTGTCCCGGGCTCCTGGCGACGTCCGCGACTATGACGGCTCTGGCGACTGGTTCAAGATCTACGAGCTGGGCCCTCTTCCGGGCTGGACCGCCGACGGGTCCATCGAGTGGGGCGTCACCGGGCTCGGGAACTTCACTTTCACGCTGCCCAGCCAGACTCCTGCTGGCCAGTATCTCGTGCGGATCGAACACATCGCCCTGCACGGTGCCGGCGAGTTCGGCGGCGCGGAGTTCTACTACAACTGCGCCCAGATCAATGTCTTGGGTGAGAGCACGGCCACCCCGGAGCCGACCGTCAAGATCCCGGGCGTCTACAACGGTTCCGAGCCGGGGATTCTGTTCTACATGTACCGACCAGATTTGAACTACACCATTCCGGGCCCAGCTGTCTGGCCCTCCGCGAATGGGAACACGACGATCGAACAAGCAGCCACGACTACTGGATCAGGGTTTGCCACTCAAATGCCAGCTTCGACCACGCCTACTTCATCCGTGTTCGTGTCAGCTCCCTCCTCTTTTGTTGCCCCTTATCCCTTCAGCAACAACACGGCCGCCATAAATGCAACGAGCACTGACTCTTCGTATGAGCCGGTGACTACGGTCTTGCCCAGTTTCTCCGTCACCGCTGCTGATGCGGCCGCTGGAGTTCCACTCTTAGAGACCGTGGTGGTGACCCAGTACGTCACTTCACTCCAACAGTCTGGCTCCGGGATTCCAACGGCAACGGAGTGTCCTGACTATACTGTTACTGTTACTGAAAGCAGCATCGTCACGGTTACTGTAAACGTCGCAAATTAAGTGAAACGGGTCGAAGTATCTGGCACAAGACCATGGTCATACAGGCGCAATGGAAAGTCACAGTGGAAAAAGGGACCGCCCACCACAACCTCAACATCTTCATCTACACTGAGGTCGTAAATTTGTCAATGTCAACAGGTAGCAGGAGTTCGTTTTTATTCTCTTGAAATGATAGAATATGGCGAAAAGGCTTTTCAGGATCGTGACTCGACATTCCGCGGCGCAAGAGATAGATTTGGTGCAAATGGTGAGGGGGACACCATGGAGCCGGACTTAAATTCAATCGAATCAGCAAGCAGTTTGAATGGAAGATAAATCAAATAGTTATTACCCTGTGTCCGTATGACGCCCATTAACTGGAGCCATTTGACTGTCTTCATGTCGGGTAGAGTAATCTATAGGGCTTTATAGCTTCATACCAGTCTCTGTGTGTTTATGCTGCAGTTAACAATGGCGATACAGAAGAAGGGGTACTGGTGTACTCAGGACTCGGCATTGATTGCTTTTGGCCAAGATCGTACGTGAGTCGCAAACGAAGATGGGATGCAAATGGCCGTTAGTGATCGGATGAAGGGCGGGAATATGCGGCTCGGCGGTCAATGATGAACGATAGTCTGAGTATCCCAGCTAGACTTCAAAGGGGAAAGAAAGCATGCAGTGTACATGCACGATATAGGAACCCCAGCTAGAATGTAACAGCTAAGTACCATGCAGATTGAAATGAAGAAAATTTTGTTTGTATTGGATACTGTAGGTGGTTGTTTCGGGTGGTTTACTTCGTGTACACAATCTGCGCAGATCCAATTTCCTGTCCTTGTGAAACAACACGAAAGCGGAGAACACCCTCTTTTGTGGAAGGAAACACTTGAATTTCATAAGCCAGGTGGTAATGCATGACTCCCTTGTGAATCTTGGTCTCGAAAGCACTGAAGTTCAGAGAATTGAAGCGCAGACCTATCTGGCCAACACTTTGAACCCCTATCCCTCCGAGTTAGTGATCTGTATGAATAAATAATTCTACGAACTTGATTTATACGTACCTGCATAATAGCATCTTTCAGCCTGCTCCTCACTTTCGCTGCGGTACAGATTGACCGGCGGTGGGTTGTTTGCCTGTGCTGCTGTTTGCCACAATACTTGAGAGCTTCTGAAGAACACCCCCTCATCCATGTATTGGCCCTGTACGCGACTTAGCATAAGGAGAATGAGGGTATTATGACACGGAGTTGATCACCTTCGACATTGCCCATTCCATCCGGTGTAGGCACAAGTGCTGACCGTCGATCTCGTCAAACCAATAGTCCTGTTGTGGGTCGATCCCCGGTCGAAAGGTATGGGCGCTCTCGAAGCCGTAATGTTGTCTGCATTTTTTACGCTGCGGTTTGATATTCTCTAGCCCCCTCAAGGCTGCCCCTTTTACAATGGCGGCTTGGCTATTTGTAATTTAGTTGTACTCTATCAGCAACGGGTTACGGCGACTCACGGATGCTTCGGACATAGAACTTGAATCTGCCACTGCGCACACACCCGCTCAAGCTCGGTGTAAAGAAACTTTGAATCTCCAAAGCCCCCAACGAGAACGACTTTCTGTAAACGGGTATTAGCTCACTACTCAAGTGTGTCGTAAAGTACTGCTTACATGGACTCTCTCCCCAATGTTTGCTGCTTGCTGCGTTTGCTCCTGGATCAAGCCTATAATCCTCTCCACAGCTGGTTCAAAAAAGCTTTTCATAGTAGACCTTGGTACGTCAGCAAGCATTGGTGTATATGCAGTGCATTGGCTGAATTACCATTCAATCTTCACTGTGTTTTCCGAAGCATCGTATGACGGCGAATCCGGAACGTCATGCATGGATAGACCCAGCTCGAAATGTTCACAATTGTCGGAGCTGAATGCGCGCTTATGTGACTCAAATTCCTGCATCATCTTGCTCCCAGGACACTTGAGTCTGTCACGAAGCCCGTCGAAAGCTGGGCCAAACGTTTCCGACATCCAAGCCAGGAAGCGGCGATCAACGTATGTGGAGCCACATTTGCCACCTGACCCAACTACAAGCTCTTCGAACTGGAGGGTTGGATAAGTCTGCGTCACTTTGTAGGTTATTAAATCAACCGTCCCCCCGCCACAATCACATATGAGTATACCATCACCCGGTTTGACAATGACATTGGTCCCATGGACCGTGAGGTCTTTCAGGACAGCAACAGCCGCTGCCTCGGGCTCCTGAATCATGAATATTCGGTCTCCTGGTCGGCTTCCGAAGCCAGCGGCCCGGGCTGCCCTTCTCGTCGCATGATTGGCTTGATCTGACCAGATCGCTGGTGTGGTAAACCAAAACTCGATCGGGAGTTGTTGCACAACGCTGGGGGTCATACGACGTTCTAGTGTCCCGATCAAAAACTTGTACACGTGGGAAAGGAAGTCGGTAACAATTTGCTCGGGTGACTTGTGCGGGTGCTGCTTGACCTCCGGGAGCGTATCGTCGTAGTGCCTTTTCGCCTGGTCCTGGTCCAAGAGTAGCTTCATCCACGCCCAAGACACCATCTCAGGCTTGACCTGGAAGCCCCATTTGTCCCCTCTTGGGCTCCACGGAGAGTTCTCGTTTTGGTACGCGATAACGGTAGGGACTTTCCAGTTGTAGCTGCCTGTTGCCCCGCTTCCGCCCCATTCGTTGATGATGTCGATCTCCTGAATGGTCTGCTGGCTGACAGTGGTTACCCAGCTGACCCCTATCATGTCACATATTAACGATGTGTCTTCAGCATGGATGGGCTCCCGGTACCTGTGTATGTTGTGCCGAAGTCGACCCCGACGACGATGCGATGACCGTTCTGCTGGAGCCTCGTCATCTTCCTCTTTTAGGTACATACGCTTTGACGGCGTAGTCAGGTAAAGAAAAGAATTTTCTGATGTGCGAACTGTAGTAGGAAGATTGTGGGGAAATGTGCATGGCTCGAGAGAAGAAGGATTGTAAGTATTTGAGCGCTTGCAGCCGCAGTTACGCGTGTTTGAGAAGAACACGATCAGGCTGCATCAAAACAACGTGTCTAGCTGATGAGCGGGGTTGTTCCGTAAAAAGAGCCGCGGCAGCTCGGCGCGGTAGTACGACTCAGTCAACATTCTATCAGTCCACGACCCACAGCCTTGCCCCACACACGAAAGTACTACGTACACTGACTTCAGTGGCGACACGTTGCGAAGGTGGATAAGGTATATCTTAAAAGGGAATGATTAGCTCTACATCCTCCACAGTAGGCAGCAGTCTTCGGAATCTGGAGGAATTTGTTTACCGCGCCGCTCATTTTCGCAGGCAACAACCGTGGCACAGGGCGATCTAGATCATTATCTTTCGGCAGTTAACAAGGGCCTGCATGTAGAAGAGGAAAGCCAAAGGCGCATGAAATATTGAGTTGACTATGCCCTTCCCCCTCCAGATAGGAAACTTGTTGGTTTAGTGAATGCTGATTCTAGAGTTTTAGAGCGAGAAGGCGGAAGTAGCACTCAGACAACAGACTTGCAGAATTATGCGATATATCTGTAGCAAGACGGGAACGGGTAACGCCGCGGATGAGGCGTTCTGCGGCTGGGTGCGCAGAAGCGAGCGGCAGCCTGATGTCGATCGCGTACGAAACAAAGCTTTGGAACGAAGCCAGAGTACAGAGAATGCAGAGGTCCCTCAACATCTTGACTCTACATACCCGACAGATACTCTATACTCCCCTCCTGCACGGTTTGCCGGCCAAATGGACCCCTCTCTTGGGCCCCCGGGAGGAGAAGACGACCTGGTCATGGTGGATGCCGATACAAACAGCACCATGATGAACAAGGCATGTTTACTCACATGCTAACGCATGAGCGTGGTGATTTAACTGGACAATAGATACATCCGCGCGAGAGCTCCGTGAAAGCGATGCAGCACACGACTATGCGGTATGACGAGGCTGATGAGCAAAACGCCGATTTCGGTACAGGAAGAGATGCCGGAGCCAGGAAATACAGACGCACCGGGCGAGAAGGCCATCCTTACCCATCCAGGACAGATACAAAGGTACGTAGCGTGGCTCTAGTCTGAGAAAAAATAACCTTGCAGAGGCTGACTACCACAAAGACGCTGTTAGACCAACTCAGGCAGAAGGATGAGAAGATCAAGGGCCTCGAGCGCCAACATGAGGAAGACCAGGATTCATACCGGCAACTTCAGGAGAGTGTGCTGCAAACCCTTGAGCCGGCGGTGTGGGCACCTCCAGACGACAGTGACACCAGGGAGTGGCTCATGAGATTTGCAAGAGATGCAAAGAAATGGTCAAGAACGGAAGGTTTGACAATTTCAAGCGTCGATCAGATCGGCGAATCTCAGGCCGGAGAGATAGTGCGGCGCGGAATCCTTGAGAATGTCTTGAGTGTGCAACTTTCTGACGAGCGCATCGGCAAGGTCAAGGTTCACATCCTACTTGAAGCTCTATTGCAACAATTCGTCTCTTCCAAACTCCTGGATGACTGGTCTTTCTTTCTTTATCGCCGCCTTAGATTTCCAGGCACACTCGAAAGCGAGTTACCGGTAGGGATCGCCTCGGAGATCTTGTATCCTGTCAATGCGCTATTCAAGGAATTGGAGAAATGTAGGTTACTCAGACGTAATCGTGAAGCCTGCTGACTCTTCAAAGGTGACCCTAAAGGAGCGCATTCCGTACGCTCACAGATTCTCAGGATAATGTATCCACCAAAACCAACGGACAGCGGGACGAATCAGGAGTTCATGAGGAATCTCATCGATGATGCCATCAAAGCCCACTGTTCCGATCTGAGCAGAACCTTCCTACAACATGTCTCTCCACTTCTCAATCACCCTTACCCACCAGCTGTCGAAACGCAGCTCCAGACCATACTTGAGTCTATCGGCAAATTTGCGTACCAGCTATGGACACAGAAGACGTTATTCATGACTCGAGGGCTTCGTGGTGATGAACCCCTCCCGTCAAAATTTTACTCTAATTCAGAGGAGATGGATCACCATGATGTGCACTTGAACATCTCTCAGGATGATCCCACAGCACTCGACGGTTGGCAGGTTGCGTTGGTCGTGCAGCCTGCCGTAATCCGCAAAGGAGATCGGGAAGGGTTCGATCCAAACATCGTGACCATTCTCAAGAAGGCAGTTGTGTTCCTTGTCCCCAGTTCGTAGGATGTTGTGTTGCGGCTCAAAGGCTTTGGAGCTTAAGCCGGACTTGCAATTTTGCAGAGAATAACTCAAGGAAAGGACCATGACATTGATTTCCGAGCATTCCCAAGTCAATTTCTCAATATGTAATGATTGGATGCCTGCATATGGTATGGTCAGCAACCTGGTGAACCTTCGTTCTACGTGTAAAGTAATAAATCTTTGGGTGTCGAGTTCTTGGCTCTCAGTGCCTTTAACTGCATGTAAATCAGACTTTCTCCCCAAATTACGGTGCCTTGAATCAAAGTATAGCGGGAAGAAATGCTGCCATGAAGAAGCCCGAAAACATACAAGAACTAGAAATGGCAGAGGCCGCATTGTAGTCCAAATCATGCCCCATATACACTACAGGAAACCAATTGCATCGAAGGCAGGAGTGGAGGGAATACAGGAAAGACATACGCTCGTGACACGGCGTCCTACCATTGACAATCGCAATACCGCCAGCCGTGCCACCACGCCAACACCATATCGTACGCCATGCTATTCCGCCCTGTCAATGACTTGGCGACCGTCACGCTATCTTGTGACGACCCGGAATGCAATACTGTCGTCACTACTCACTATTCATACTCGGCTAACCTATACCGCTGTAAGATAAGCCTTTCATCTATACATGTTAAAGGCGTCGCCACTGATGACTTTCCCTGATACGGACCGACGCCGTTATGTGCACATGCCCACCCAGTTCGATCGAATCAGCACACTTGAGCAAAATAATTTGTGTTCAACTCCAACTATAAGAATTCTCATGGCTCTGACTCAAACTACGTCATCAACGGTCCCCCTGACCCGTGCTTTCATCAACCACAAAGTCATTACTACTCCTGTAAAAGGAACCGAAATCGCCCAGAAAATCCAGAATAGGCCAGATACCCGTACTTCACTTTTTTTATCCTTGTCGTCCAACCCGAAATCAAAAAAGTTGCTCCCAAAAAGCGTCGCAATCAATGTACTTGGAAGAAAGAGTAACGTCATGATAGCGATAGTGTTCATGGATCTGCTATCTCGTCCCATTCGTCGACTATCTCGTTGTGTAACAATATTGAAGGACTATGGAGTAGAATTAGTTCTTGGTGATCTCGCAGGGTTGTTTGTCGAGTCAAACATTCAAGCTTACCAGATTCGTGATATTAGAAATTCGTCCCTCAAGACTTGCCAGACGGAGTTGAGATGATCTGAACAACTGTGCAGCATGCCGTAGATCCCGCATAGCATTATTACCCATACCGGGTCCTGTTTCGTGCTCCATAACCTTAATCAAGGCCTGGACAATCTCCTTCGCTGCCTCGAATCCTTCTGAGATATATATGCAGTGCTTCGATATATTATGCAGTCGAGGAAAGTTGAACAGTGCCGCAGTGGACCCTTCAAACTTTTTCGCGGTTTGTAGGGTGTCCTAAATTTTGGTTGAAACAGGTAAGAATGAATTCGATATTCAATCCTGCGTGGCGTTACTTACCTCCTCCGTACTTCGAAAAACGTCCGCAAGCTTCCAGGCAACCACATCCATCTCCACAAAGAGAGCTTGAAATACCACCGCAAAGATTGACCAAGGCTGTTCAGAAAATTCGCGATCAGGTCTGAGCTCATCGAAACGATGTTCCAACGATTCAGAAATTCCAAAACACAGCAACGTTACCCCCTGACTGCCTCGTTGCTCAATGAGTACATACGAAGAATCAAACCAGCTTCTGTCACTGTAGATATCACTTCCCTGTATGTTCCATCGACCGGTTTGTCGATCCTCAACAATATTAACATTCTTGCAAACGAGCCGAAACCATGTTACTGCGGAACTATAGTCAGTTTTTGTCTGCTGATGCCTTTCGTTGAAACAACGTGGCTTACCATTTGTCTGGCTGTCAGTATGCACATGAGTCCCTACCGCGTGGTTGACCGCTTGCTGACGCTCCAACTCAAATTTTGGGGGAACTTTGAAGCGCTCAAGCAGATTCCTGAACGCCTGTTTTGGGTGCGGCTTCATCAGGTCGCGTGGAGCAGAGCTTGATCAGTTAGCGCATCCACGAATCTTGACAGCTCAAAGTGACGTACATAATACGTAAGGGTCCGCTCCACGGCTCCTGACACTCTGAAAGTATCTGCGTGGATGGAATGTCGACTCGCTTCTGGGGTGCAGAGTCAAGTTGGTTCCAAATCCAGAATGTCACACCGAAGTCCGCAGGCTGCATCATCGGTATGCCTACGGGAGCCTCTGCGACTCCAGACATTGATGACGACTGGTGGGCCGCTTTACATTGTTTGCCTCCGTAGCTGATGTTTGCTGAACGCGGAAGAATTGAGGAAGAGAATGCGCGGGGCTAGTGGTAACGTGGAAGCCCGCTAGAGATTAACTTTAGGCACCCACTGGCGCGAACTCAGACCACAGGTGCTACGTGACGCTGACGGTAGTGCAGAGTGGTGTTACGCAGCATAGACTCCTCGGCTTTTGCCTGTTCCGAGCCTTGGCCGCAGGATTCAGGGCAACCTTGCAGCTTGAGTGTATGACAGGTGGCGAGATGCATGCTTTCAGCTCATGCAGCCGGAGCAGATAAAAATAAACGGTGCTGCCTTCTGCAAAAGCTAGACTCAGCACAGGGCTTGCAAATATCTTATTGGAAGTATGGACTTTGATCGAACATTTGGCAGCCATAAAGGTAAAGGTCTCAGCGGGATTGAAATATTTATTCGCACATCTTTTAGTTGCGTATTTCATCGGCGTGACCGATCTCAGGGGCGTGAATATTTGTTCAAGCTTTGTAAGAGCGGGAAGGGAACACGCGCTAGCCTTGGATCTGTACAGTCCCCTCGCGCGGCCGGTGGCTAGCGCGAAGAATAGCAGGGGCTTAAACAGGGAATGACTGTGCCAATTTAGATGATGTGATAGGTCAAGCCCGCAGCGTCTACTGTTTTCGGGAGTTTACAGGCATCTAATAGATTAAAAAAACAAATCCACGCTAGCCACCGGCCGCGTGATGGGACTGTAATTGCGATCGTGATTGTACAACAGCGCTCATTCATGCAGTCAATGCAAAGAATGCTAAGTTGGGAACGGAAATTAACTCATCGATTTAGTCTATTTTCTGCCATGGGATATGGGAGCCCGGCAGAGCCGCTTCTTAATGCTTGCAAAGTGAAATGAGGCAAGTTACACCAGCCTTTGCCTAGTACTCAGCCTCATGCAAGGGAGATGCATGTGCTACGTCGAATAACTGACAGACGTCCTGAGCCCCTATCCTCCAAGATATCTCCAGACTCTAGTCGGCTGTACATTTAAGAGCCTCTTTCCAGCACTATTGAGTATTTATTTCTCTGGATTCCCGCTCAATCCTCCAAGGATCATCAAACCACCAAACTCAAATATTAGAACATTGTTGTTCGAGAAAAGTTCAAATGGATGTAAGAGATTCTTCATTATTATTTTCCACATTATCACCGAAGTATCGTCTTCCCAAATCATTAAAAAGTTAACAACAATCTTTAGAACGACAAACGTCACGGTAGTGGACACACCCCTCGTCCTTCTTCATCAGGCCCCAATACGGAGCGGCATGGAGCCAGCCACACACCTGGATCAAAGGCTGGCCCTAAGCAAAATCGAACTCAAGGTGCAACTCAAAGCGTAAGCCAACTACCTTCTTGAAGTAGAGAGACTCATCTCATATCCCCGTTTATGTTATAGTCAACAAGCACCTTGACTCGTCTTTCGAACATGGTAGGCATCTTTCGCTGAAGAGAAATATGGAGGGACACTAGAATCATAGGAAGAATCCAGATAGGAGTCTTGCTGAATGACTGGTTTATCCTCATGATTCGTACTGATGTGCAAATGCTGACACTGACTCTTATTGGAAAGAAGCCTGAAAACGCGAGACGAAAGTTTAGTCGTCACCACCCGCACGTTTACAGGGAAGCGACACTGGAGTATGACAACGAAGAGCAATACGTTCACATGGACACATTTCGTAGACAATATATCGGACCAGAAGACGATCGCTATATCAGTCCAGCAAGCGGTAGCATCAAGAAGCTAATCGTGCAGTCGACTCACAGCAATTCAGGGAATTCTACCTATCATCGCACCAAAATTGGTACTGATGGTAGCATTATGGTGAGTCTTGCGCACTGGGCACTCATACGCCCACATCCTACTATCCTTGGTTGGATATATGGGATTATCAAGTATATCCTGGCATGTAGTTTCATTGGCCCCTTCGTAAGTGGAGATGTGTCCTTTGCGAATTTGAGATGAAATGTTGATGAGTGCTCTAGTACTTTGTTTCTCCAGCAAGACCGAGAGCGCACTTGCATTATGCCCCATTCCACTATGCGCACTATACCTACGCAAAGGTACCACGAAACATTTTTGAAGAGCGTCCCGAACAAAGACATCACGTGGTACACCAGCCAACGGAATCTAATTCGCCGTATGTCGTACCTAGCACCTGGGTTCATCAATGACACTAACAACTGTTAGTCCTTCTCAGGGCAAAACGATGGCACCCAGGAACACGAGAGAGACTACCCCACGTCCCCTCTTCCCGAAATGGCTATGCTTCCTGGAAAACGCAGGCGAAAAAGATAGCCCAAATCACGGGGTCAAAGTTGCGCGCGTCGACCAGCCTGATACTTGGCCTCATGGAGTGAAGCATGTAAAGCACCCAGAGTACCTCTTCGTGGCTTATACCTCGGAACAGTTCAGACACAGCTCGGACGAAGACATGCAGGCACTTGATGAGATTGCGGAGACGGCAACAAGAAAGGCTGGCCTGGACGCGTACTGGATTGGTTCCACCTGCTTCCGAGACGACGACGATGCCGAAGACCAAGTGTACTGGATAAGCGATATCGTTCGCTGTGCCACATTGACCTGCATGGCTATTGGCCTATCAGAAGTCACTCGCGGTAAAGAAGGCGCAGACATGATGAGAGAATGGGGAAGCAGGATCTGGACATTGCTGGAGGTACTCCTTAGCCGATCCAACCGGGCCATTGTCGTGGTTCAAAGAGGAGACCTTGCACATGAGCAATCTCGAATTGATGACGACTGCTCTTCAATGCCTCCATAGGCGCACGACAAGAAACAAGTACTTCAATGGGGATCATTCCTATGCGCTGATGGGGCTTGCCAACATCCGACCGCGGCCAATAAAGACGGACTCCGCATTCCAAGCATTTGCACGCCTGTCGCTTGCAAACAACAGTGAAAAGCTTCTTGAGCGCCTGATTTGTATTCTTCCAGAACAGCCTGATCAGGAGTGGTGGGCTATGAACGACGCGTTTAGCGTGAGCCTTTGGGACATCTACCCTTCTATTCAAGTTGCAGGTGAGAGGAGACATGAGCCTTGAATTAACCATTTGCAGCTGACAGTCTTGTGCAGGAATTTGCGGCGGAGAAAAAATGAGTAAAGGGAACGGTAAACAACGAGCCGACTTGTCCGACGATGCCCAGGTCGGCTACCTCGATCATCACGATGACGATGCAGTTATAATCGACGGTATGTGGGGCGCTGCTATCCGCTGGAAGTCGTTTTACCTTGTCCAGAAAACGTCACGTTATAGCTGTTCTCGTTGGCTCGCGTACATTTATTTCGCCTTAACCTTTTGCCTGCTTATCGCTACGTGCAGTCTCGGCATCTCTTCCCACTTCGATCCTGGCATCTCTGTTGGCACTGCAGGTATTGTTGGGGTTTTCTTTGCGGCTTTCGCCCTTCCTTCCCCGGTTGTGTTACAGGCAATGATGCGAGAAAGAATACGGAAAGCAGACCCTGCTCTCTTCGGCTTCGAGGGATATCTACCTCTTGATGAGGTGGAGCGAAGAGTATTCGGTGCAGCAAAAGGACACTTGAGATGGTCACCATGGGCTACACCTCTTTCAAGGCACGCACTTAGAGACTACGACGAATGCATCGGGCTTGACCCGGTCCAGACGGACAAAGAGGTGCGGCAGATGGCGGACGATGCCAAGACGGCTGAATACGGGGAGCAACGCATATTCACACTCGTCGACACGGGGACATTGACGGTAACGTTGTTCCAGGCTGCCAGGCCTCCTGTTGGGCTGTTGGTTTGTGGGAGTGAGGGTGGCATGCAGCGAGCCTTGGGGGTGTCGTATGACTGGAAATCGAGGACTTGCTTTCGGGAGACTGTGTTCCGGATGCCGACTTCGATCTTGAACCATATGCTCAGGGTTCCAAAAGTCAAGTTGGGATTAAAGAGGAAGGAGGCAATGGTCAGACGGGTGAGAGCTTAGATTGGGTCAGTAACGTTGAATGCATGGAATTAGTTTTGTCGCTCTGTTTGATTGTCGGTTCTTCCCGTAATTATATTGGTGATTAGCCTGAATGAGGGTGCAAGAGGAAACAGATCAAAGCTAAACCTCTGCCAGTCGGAATGGGGATTGAGGGGGTGAGAAAAGATACACCGAACCCAGATATGAGAGAAAGAGATGCCGTAGCCTCCAGGGAAACAGTTTCCATGCTGTCACCAGAACGAACTAGAATGAGGACCAGTTCAAAGGAATGACAGAAAAATGAATCAACCGAATTGCCCCCTACGGCTCCCCACCCTTAACAATCGCGACAAGGAAATTCAACCCATTCTGGCCCACTGCATGCACCAGTACATTATCGTCAAACTCCCAATCATCCTGCCCACGATTCTCGCTGTACTCAGCGAAGTCCGATCTCGAAATCTCCCCGTTCGCTTCCAGCAGAATATCGAAAGCCTTCTCCTTCGCCTCCTCCACCGTGCGGAAGACGCCCTCAACAATCGTCCGCCTGCTCCCGACCGACCAGTCCCGCGAGTAATCAATGACCGTCTGCACCAGGAAATACAGCGAATCCTTCACGCGCTCATCGGGTCCCTCTAGCGAGAGCTTGCCGACCCTGTTTGGCGTCGTCTCCAGCTCGACCGTGACAGTGCCCTCCTCGATCGTCTTGGCGTACACCATCACGTCGTCGCCGAACGTCCACTCCGTCCCGGAGTCTCGGCGCAGCTGCAGGTCTTGGAACTGGCCCGGCTGGTACCCTTCGTCGGCGAGGGCTTGCGAGGCGAATTTCTTGGCGGCGGGCAGGCTGGCGAAGGTGCCGCGGATGGAGGGCTGCAGGACGGAGTTGGTGTGGTTGGGGGTCGGGTACCAGAAATAGCGTTTGACGTGGTACAGGTTGTCGGGGGAGCCCTCGTGGGGAGGGGTTAATGGCGCGGTTGCCTGTGTGGCCATTGTGGTGTGAAGTTGGATGTTTGTTGGTGAGTGGGATCAATTGCGGATAGTAAGGGGAAGTTTGAGGAGCGAGGTAAGCGCGGAACCGCCCGGTCTTTATATCAGATCTGCGTCTTGCGAATTGCTGGTATCATATGATATTGGCTGGCAAATAGCCTGAGGGGGCGCCGGTACAGTGGCCGATCGTGGCATCCATGTGCCAAGTCTCATGATATATCTAGAAATGGTCTATCGATACGGGTTGAAGTCTTGGAAATGGCTTTGGATTAAACCAATCGAGGGAAAGGCTGACTCCTACTGATGCTAAAACAGCAAAGAGCGCCTACAACTCCATGAAACAGGCTAGATTATTGTCACGAAACTAATCAACATCCTTCTCTTACAAGTGCTGATTGGCTTCATGTGAATGTCTCATGCAAGGGAACGGATAAAGGAAAAGTATTCAAGGTTGGTAGCGACCGGCCATGCTACTCCAGTGTCAAAGCCTCACCGATCAGCCGATTTTCATATTTGACATAAACTGCCGACCTTATCCACGGGGAGACGATTCAGTGAGAGGATTCTGTCTTCTTCCTCCAGTCGCCATCATGGACTGATATCGAGATATTGTAGCATTTGTCCTCGCTGGCAACAGAGGTGGTGTGACCCAGGTCTTGGCACCAGAATGTACCATTGTACTTACATACACACAGGATTTGCGGAACGGGGCGAGACCCCTCCTCCCCGCTACCCCGCCAACTTCCCCGCCCACGCACTGGCCGGTCATTTTCAACACCCCCGCTCTACAGCTGCGTCCGAACTCGGTGGCGCAGAGTTTGCACACAATGGTCTTCGTGCAGTGCAGGCCGGTGCCGGAAGTCATCTTCGACGTGCGGATCAGTTGGCAGCGCTCCGCGCGTATCTATTGGACATGCCCCTTCTCGTGATCGTCGTCTGATCGGAACGTGAGCAACCGGGTCCCAGGTAGACAGGGCTCCCTTCCGATGCCGGCTGTGTCTCCTGATAGACATATCTTGACCTGCCTGGTTGTGTAAAACACAATCCCAGTGTCAGCGAGCAAATCGCCCGCATAGGGGGAACGTTCTCTGATCCTAAACCGTCCATCTGCAGATCAATGCGACTGTAGCAAATGCCTGACCATGCTGCTCCACTCTGTTGTACTGGGCCGCGTGGAGACAAACCCGCCTCGGGGTCCACAGAATTGTGCCCCGTCTCGTTTCTATTCCAAGACTTGGGAGAAAGAGAAAGGGCTGAATGGCCGTGATGGTTCCGACGTTCCAGTCCTCAATATGACATCGGCCCGGTGCCATCAATTAACCCTCAGGTGGTGGATGTCCACGCCTTATCCCGTCTCAAGGGGTTCTGCTCAGGGATATGAGATGTCAGCCCCTATCGGAGACAGCTCGCTGTGGCTCGGACGAATGGAGAGCCTGTAGTATGAGCGAAGTGCGGGTTTATGGTGTAGGGCTAAGCACTAATGCACGAGATCGCCGCGACCATATGCTGCGTGCCGATCATCCACGCTAACCTCTCGGAAGCGTCGGGCGTACACGTGGCGATATGCCGATCATGGAGTCATGGGGAGGAATTGCCGTGGTTCAAGCGTGGGCGTAACCACAACGGCGGCGTGAAGATCTCATGGAAGTGCTGAAACAGTAGCATGACAACATACCGGGAGCATCCGATGTGGCAGCCCTACTCATTGGCAGCGTTGATAAGAACCCACGTTGACACGACAAGGGAGATGCGGACCGACACGGCCCTTGCCAGGGTTCCGTCAGCCACAGACCCAAGCCGCATGGCCCGTAGTGGGACCTTCAGCGCAGGGACCGACGGAGCATTGGCGGCGGCAGGGTCCTTGTCAAAAAGGAAAAGTTGGGGCTCCGTCGCGAGGCTGTGTTTGCCTTAGCTAACGGCCGTGTCAGTGATCCTTCGTGAGCTACGCACACTCGGTTTGCGGACCAGTGCAGCTTGGCCTCCCGTTGAATATAAGCGGCTTGCGGTCGTGCCAGCTGGATGACAGAACTAAATCCAACTTGAACACGCTCATTGCCAACACATGCTCGTTCACTTCCCTATGATCTGTAACGGAGATGGATTCTACCTTTAACATTCCGGAGGGCCAGTGCTCTCCTGAGGATTGGCTTTCTTTTCCTTTCACTTCCCCCCCTATTCACGATGCTCAGTGGGTCGAGTGGGATCCGATGTTCGGCCCCACCGAACAAAGGCGTCCTGGGAATCCTTCAGGGCCGATGCATTCGTCTTCTCCCACAGCTGATGGAAGCAGTCAAAACAATGTATGATGCGGCAAAGCTATGGGCTGAACTTTCGTCAACGACTAATCAGAGATACAGGTGTCCAACTTGCCTCCCGAACTGAATCAGACGTCCACCCTTCCTCCCACCGAGCTCATCTGGTCCCTTGTATCATCTCAACCTGTCAAGCCTGTCATTGGCGAAGGGGAGTTGTACCAGAATTCTCCTGGCTCAGATGCATGCGGACGAAGAAACACCGAGTCTCCTCAAGCCAATATTTCAGAGTCTGGACTTACTTCCGGAACATGCACTGCCAACTCTTCTCCCACCGAAACCTCTGCGTCAATAGAGGTCACAATTGGACCTCCAGTCGGACCCGTCCCGCACGTGAGCGTTGAACGCAAGTATCGCCATGGAATGGTAGCCATGTTCGCGCGGTTACGAGACGCCATTCCAGCGCTCAACATTCCGGGCGATATGTACGCAGACGGCTCCAGTGCTCGGCCAACGAAAGCCAAGATCTTGACCAGCGCCATCGACTACATCAAGACCATGGAGGCAGAGCGCGACCGCATGCAAGACCGCTACGCGAGTAAGGTGGCGGAGAACGAAAGGTTGAGACGGGCAATACTGGAGCTGGAGGGAAGGCTCGGCATTCCGCGATGCGGCGTCTTTAGTGCAATGTCTGACAGCTGACGTTTGTGTCCATTGGAAGCACTCAAGGTGCCTTCCATGTTTGGCTGCTTTCCCTGTACTCCTTTCCTTGTTTTTTCCTTGGTCTCGCGTGCCCCCTCCAGCGCGAGGTGTGCAAGCCACCTCGGGGCCACCACCCAGGGCGCTTATTGGAGCTCGTCCAGTAACGAAGGAATTAATCGCCACCGGAGTGTGTCTGGTTAACCTTGATAAGAGCACGAATTAGCGGGTCGGTAGACTACTGGAAGGTGACTGAGATAGACGCAGGAAGAGATAGTCAGGAGACCTCGTCCTTAGTCTTCGTTTAGTTGCACAAACGAGTTTTAGTTCGGCTCATGCTACAAATCATTCCAAGCGCTAAGCGGCATGAATTCCGCCATGGGAGATGGCTAAAATATAACAGCCACTGTTGTTGATGGTTGATAAAGGTTCTAATCTTGGGCTGAATGTGTAACATGCTATGGAATGTTTAATGTTTCCCCAGCCGTTGCAAATAATAAAATTCTCACTCACACTCGTCGGAGCAGTTTCCTAGGTTAAATATCGGTGCGCTGGTCACCAACCACTACGGATTGCGGGGTCTCCACATTATGTTCCTTCAAGCTAGCGCTCCTGCGCACCGCGTGTACGCACTAACCTTATGGAAGTTACCGCGATCTCCCCCCAATGTGGCTGCAGGCGGTCTGGCCCTAACGATCCGCCTATGACGTACCCCTCCCAAGCGTCATTTTAAGCGCCTCTCCCGTCTCGTTTTCGCCGTTGCAGCAGCATGAAGGTTGATCTTCCTGGTTGAAGTTGGCAGCTGCCGGCTCGTTGCTGGCGTCAACTGAAACAGCGGCGTATAGGCGATGAAGCGGGTTGCCAACGCTCTTGCATGCGTCCGCCCAGCAGGGCTGAAAAGGGCTGAGTGGAAGGTCAAGCGAGAACGCGATTCACAACCACACGAGATTGATCAGTCCAGTCTTCGGTCTGGAGACGATGGGCACACAGATCGTGAGAGCGCTCGTCATGCGCGGGGCCCAGGCAGGCCTGATGCGAATCCACGAGCCACTGGTGCATGGGCCAGACCTTCGATAGCCACATGCTTACCGGAGCATTCTCTGGCATGCTGATTGGCTTCCCGCCTATTGCTCGGATCCTGTACGTGAGCCTATTTGTGGTTGTCTGCAAGTTGAGCTCGAGGGCTCGGTTCAACTGAAAGTTTCTGTTGAGGAAAAATAATCGAGCGTGGATAATCGGCCAATACATGCAGTTCAAATTTTTCTAGTTTCAGAGCCTGTGCCACCGCCTTCAGGTCGGTCCTCGGGAGTTCCGCTCGCCACGATGGCATTTTCCATGGCATTAACTACACCAAAGCATCGAAAGACGATATCGAAGACCCACTTTGCCGTAGCCTGATCCCGGATTTCTTTGAATTATCAATGAAGCATCGCTCTCTCGAATCGAAGATGTTTTTCTTACACATGCGTTTGCTGAAAACATTGATGGGGGGAATCAAAACGCAAACCAAACCCGCCTTTTTTCTCTTGCATAAAGGCCCCTCTGAGAGCATAAATTATTCATGTGATTCGAAGACTATACAAGGAAGACTGAGGAAACATGTCTTCAAGATGGGAATCTGTACTATCGGAAGAGTGATTCAAACTCGGCAGGAATTACATCAGATGTGAGGCCAAGACTTTGCATGAACCCTGGAGGATTCGCAGACCTGGAACGATATGTCAGGACAAGCGTAGCAAATAGTATTGGTGGAATGAATTCTTACCAGTCAACAGGATCCAGGAGGGTAAGAGCTTCGAAGAGGGTATCATCATTGCCTGGTGGGGGCTCCAAACTGGGGTGATTTTCCAATGCGTCCGATGCTTGACTCGCATGGCCGTCATGGGCAGGAACCATTCGTGGATGGGTGAATTGATCGGTCCAGATTGCTGATGTGTTTGGACGAGTGATATTCTGGGTGACCGGATTCGCACTGGTGTGTGATACCATTACTGGTACATCACTCGATGATGGCTCGGTTTGTGAAAGGTTCTCCATCCTGCTGAGGAATGATCTGTTGTTCTGCCAAACTTTCTCGAGGCTACCTCGTAGCTTGTCGCAGATTGTGCTGCTGTAGGAGAGGTTGTCATGCAAGAGCCTATTTCGAACAGAAAATCGTTGTTCAAACAAGGAAAGGTATGTCTCTGAAACCGTAGGGAGGTGTTCAGGCCCGAGAATATCGATCTGCCTGGCAGCGACTCTCAATGCATTGTCCATTTTCTGTTCAAGCGGAGAATCATGGAAAGAATCATTCGTTGCTAATGCGTTTCTTGACTTCAGGGAGAATGTGATACTTCCAAAAGCAAGTGAAAAGTTGAGGATCTGCGGTGAGATGGCTACCCTGGAAGGTTCTCCACGAAAGATGGCCTGACACTGAGTCGGCAGTTGTTCGGCCCATCCTTCGATGCTGTTGATGACCTGAGGAGTAGGGTACCCCGGTAAATCTTCAGTTGACTCTGTTATCATGTCATTCAATACACAAACCAAAACAGCAAATTGGTTGAAGGTGCTTGAAACGTGTCCCGGAGAATGCAGGCCAGAGGAGGCGATAGTCAAGCCTCGATGTGGCTGCCATGGCTCCCATTCCTCAATTCCGTTTGGCTCCAACGCTGTCAGACATATGTCTGAGCGCCGCAGGTATGGTCGCCGGTTCAGGCGGGCGGCAATCAAAGTCTCCAGTACAAAGCATCCAAGAACAGTTCGACTCCGGTTGTCATCGTATATTCCATGACTTAGGCCCGCTCTACGAGCAATGTGCCCAAGGTCAACGGCAAGATAGACGGCTTGTCCGACGTACAGCCATGCTTTTGCCCAGGACTTGCAGCCTATGTATAGGAGAGCAAGAATTAAGAATGCCCGTACGTCGTCAATGTCTCGTTCTGATTGGTCGTTCGTAATCAAACTTTCTGCTTCATCACGAAGCTGATTACAGATCTGACTTCCTTGGTCATCGGGAAGAGACATCGCAGAGGATTGGCTACTCTGAGCCGTGTGGGCCAAGATAGCCCAGAGTAGTTTGCGTTCACCACGTGTGATTGGGTCTTTGGAACCCGCGGTAGTTTGGTTTGCCAGGAGATGTGCTGTACGGAGACATTCATGCCTTTGAACAATTGGAAACCAGCAGTGTGTATTGGTAAAGTAAATATCAAGCAGGTGGAACCAATTAGGGGGAAGAGATGGAGTATTGTCCTTCGGTTGTGCTGGTGCGAGAGGCTCCTGTGTTGGTGCGGGACAAGACGTCTGTTGCTGTTCGGGTGGTGCATCTGGAACACTTACCCGTATCGGATAATTGGTGGCCGCCGGTGATGGTGGGGCGGGACTGCTCGGAGCGACTTCTTCTGCTGATGGTATTGCCGAAATCGCTTCCTCGAACTTGGCATCCAAAGTATCTCCGGATATTTCTTCTCCTTCGGTTTGCCCCGCGAGCAGGACCTTTTCCAACTCTTTCAAGACGGCACTCTGGCGCCAAGACTCCAGTAGTGCGGCAACTGGTGAGGAGCCCTGAAACGTATTCGGCGACGAGTACGATATTCGAGGTACCGGAGATTGACCTTGTAGCAAACCAGCAACAAATTGATCGCTGCCTTTGATCGAACGGAATACCAGCCCCAGTGCAAGCTCCAATGCTCTCACGTAACCCGTTGGTAGTCCGCGTTTTTTCTTGAAGTTGTAGACGCACTCCCGGCCCTCCTCAGTACATGGCCGACAAACTGGCTGCCGGCCATCGCAGCGGTCTTTCCTTCTTCGGCATTCTTCGCAGGCTTGCGAAACCCTTTTTCTTTTACGCCGGCGTGGCTCTTCCTCTTCGCTTGCTTCGTAGGGAGGCTGAGTTCTTCGTCGCGTCCGTGCAGTTGCCATGATAAGGGCTTATCCGATTGCTGAATCCGACCCGTTTGTGAACTGCTCCTCAAACGATGGTGTTGACAGTATCGTGTGTGGAGACGGGCGGGGAAATCTTATCCGCCAAAGTGCGGGGTTTCGGCCAAGACGGATACTTTTTAGCCGCTCTTCGGCCCTTTCCACCACCCCACCAACACCTCGGTAGCTAAAGATACAGTAGAGTGAGAGAAAGCGTGTTTTCTGCTCTACCTCCCTGGTAAGTCTTGAAAACAATCGAAGACGGCGACCGGCGTGTGTACCTCGCGAACTGGCCCCAGCGCGTACCCCTGCTCACTTGCAGAGTATGACGTATACTCCCGACCAATAGCACCAGTAAAAATACAACGAGCACATTGACAACACTGTTTATTCATCCACCAATCGAAAATGTCGTCAGAGTCCCGAAACTGCAGCCCGCAGGCAGATGATGCGTCAATCGTTCTTGTCGGCCTTCGCGGGACTGGAAAATCCACCCTGGGGGTAATGGCAGCAAGTGCATTGGGCTACGCCTTGGTCGATTCCGACCGATACTTCTTTCAGCGCACCGGGCTATCACGAGCAGCCTACAAGAACGCGCATGGAGCAGAGGAGTATCGGCGTCAAGAAATCGAGATGACACGTTCCATGCTTCTCGAGAAGCCGTCCAAGGCCATCATCGTATGTGGGCCTGGGTCTGTGGAAGGTACAGGCCAACGCTTGCTTTCGGAATTTGCTAGGGCCCATCCTGTGATTTTTGTCGACCGCGAGACGAAAGAGATTCAAAGATGCATCGGGTCATGCAGTCTTGAGGTTATTACCAATTTGGTGGAACAGAGCGGCCCAGTGTTCCGATCGATATCCAACCTCGAATTCTTCAACGTGGACCAACGGACTGTCTATGACGGCAATATACCAGAAGAAATTCCAGCTTCCCTGGTCTTGAAGAAAGTGGAACGCGATTTCCTACAATTCCTGTCAAGAGTGGAAAACAGAATCATCCGTACTTCGGTTGGACTAGGATCATACGGCATCAGCAGTGGACGACTGGAATTGGATGACTTTTGCTACACCTTGAATCTGCTGATTTCGGATACAACTAGATTGATGCCGAAGCTGTGCAAAACCGACCTATCCGTCGATTCCATCAGCCTGATTCTGGAAGCTCCATCAGAAGTCGGGGAGAAGGCTTTTAGTCGGCTGGCGAGATCGATAAGCAAAGAGCTTAATTTACTCAGAAGGATGTTCCAACTTCCGGTCACACTAGACATCCAACTCCCAATGACACCATCCAACTGGACTTGGCAAAATGAAGCTCTCTACTGCGACCTACTACAATTCGCACTTCGCCTGTGCCCGGAAATCCTTTGCGTGGACCTGCGCCTCGACGATGAAAGGATAACGAAACTCGTACAGTCCAAAGGCTCATCGAAAATCATGGGTCACTACTACGACCCCGACCCAGGACCCAATGGATGGTGTGGCCAGTCCCGGCAGAGAATCCTCCGTCGTGCTGAGGAACTGGGATGCGACATCGTCCGCCTGTGCCAGCCGGCCAAGTCAGCGAACGACAACGTCTCAGTGCAGCAGATCAGGGCGGCACGGGAAGAGCGAGGACGCAGCCGCGTGCCGCTGATCGCCTACAACACCGGCGAACTCGGCCGCATGTCGTGTTGCTTCAACCCCATCCTCACGCCCGTCACGCACCCTGTTCTTCGGACCTACAGCTCCACCGCATCATCCTCCGATCATCACCTGCTCACTGTCGCCGAGGCTCAAAACGCCCTCTTCTCATCCTTCGTCCTCGACCGCATGCATTTCGGCATCATCGGCGCCGACATCGCGTGGAGTCTATCACCAACCATGCACAACGCCGCCTTCAAGCTCCTGGGCATGCCGCACGAATACACCCTGATCCAGAGGTCATCCCTGGACGATCTGGACGCCCTGGCGCACGATCCGCACTTCGGCGGCGCCAGCATCACAATGCCATTCAAGCAAGACATCATTCCATTCCTTGACACACTGAGCCCTGAAGCGCAGGCCATCGGCGCAGTCAACACCCTGGTTCCCGTCCGGCTGGCCGCGTCGGGCGCGACGCTCGGACGCAATCGCGCAGGCCCGGTGCATGCGCTGCACGGAGAAAACACGGACTGGAAAGGCATCGTCACCTGCATCCGCCGCAGCCTTTCGCCTATCAACGCCGTCAAACCTCTTTCTACGGCACTGGTTCTTGGTGCTGGCGGAATGGCACGAGCAGCCATTTTCGCATTGTTGCGGCTCGGGGTCCGGAACATCTTTGTCTACAACCGCACGAGGGAGCATGCGGAGGCCATGGCCCGGCATTTTCAGCGGCAGACGCTGGCCACGGAGTCAGGGAAGCAAGTGAATGTGCAGCTCGGACATGGCAGCGACGAGGCGATGGCAGTTGACCCAGAGACAGCAGACAGCGTGCATTGCTCGCTGCATATCCTGCCATCGCTAGGACCGTGGCCGGAAGGTTTCCAGCCGCCGTCGATCATAGTGTCTTGCGTGCCCGGCGTTGCCGAAACCGGGGCGTCGACGGACCTGACTGTCCCGCCAGACTGGCTTGGGAGTCACAATGGGGGCGTTCTTGTTGAGGTATGTATCTTCTTAAACACCGTGGCCTTCTGGGTTTGATGTACTAATGTCTGCACAGCTGGCGTACGACACTCTGGAAACTCCGTTGGCGAAGCAAGCACGGGAGAGAAGTAGACAGGGGTGGATCGTGGTCGACGCGTTGCAGACGCTGCCGGAACAAGCAATATGGCAGTTTGAGCTATTCACCGGAAGAAAGGCACCTCGGAAGTTGATGCGCACGGAGGTATTCAAGAGGTACAAAGGGACAGTCGGGTGAAGGTCAAACATAGCGGATGTAAGTAAACGTTGAGCGGAAAATGTCTTTGGCCTCTCTTAACCGGGTGCATGGAGCAGAGTTACTCCGTATAGTGACTTTGCAGGCGGTCGGACGGAGACAAGAGAGCCATGAACCAACCTTGGGTAAATTACCAAACTCAACTCCTTTTTCGCAGAAAATCCCAAACCCAAATCTTAGATCGTGCAGGTTGGTCTTCGCATTCACAAAATGTTATAATCGATATCTATAGGCTTAGCTATTGCTATAGTAGTAAGAAAGCACTCAGAGTTGAATTTCGTTGAAGTTCTGCTGCGGTTAAAAGATGGTAGATTTTGGTGAGGAAGTTGGGTTAGGCCGACGATTGTTGGGTTTGGCCGGTCACGGTTTGGTTTGGTTTGGTAATTGCCGTAGAAACATTCGAATCTGTCATTACAGAGGACTCTTTTGGCCTTGTCCGTGCTTTACCATGCTGAGTCAAAAACTGTAACAGCGGGTTGGCTGACGCCACGAAGATCACGGCAAAAGACAATTGAAACAATTCTTTTTCCCATAAACCTCACTGTACCCCGGAAGTGCATTTAGCCGTCTTGCGCATTGCTTCAAAGATGGTCCTAGACATTGGAGATGGATAACATTGACTCACGCGCTCCTTTGTGACTCACGCGCCTCATTTAACACAACCGAAAGTTTGGTCCAATCCCAAACACTCCAGCATCGACACTCAAGAACCATGGGTGAACAACCTCGGAATGAATCCGGCTCTACACCGGAAAGCCACTCTACGAAGCGGAACTTCTACATCTTCGGCCACAACATTTCTCATTCGCTGTCTCCAGCCCTTCACAATGCCGGGTTTAAGGAGCTCGGACTACCCCACCACTACTCAATTCACCGAAGTGAAGCAGTAGACGAGTCGGTCGAACAAATTATCAACTGTCCAGACTTCGGCGGCGCTTCCGTCACCTACCCGCACAAGCTCCAGGTCTGCAGACTACTTTCCTTCCTTTCTCCGAGCGCAGAACGCATTGGAGCAGTCAACACAATTGTGGTCCGAGACTCGAACGGACAACGGGTTCTGGAGGGCGATAACACGGATTGGCTTGGAATTAAGTCTTGCATCGAGAGGAGCAAAGTCGGGAACTTCCAGTTCATCTCCGCTCTCATTCTGGGAGCTGGTGGTGCCGCCCGCGCGGCCTGCCATGCTGTCCAAACTCTGGGCGTCTCCGAGATTGTGGTTGTCAACAGGACGAAGGAGAAGGCTGTCCAAATGATGAAGCATTTTCCTGGAACGCCCTTCCGCGTCTTCGGGAGCTTGGAAGAGCTAGCGAAGGATAAACGGCATTCGTTCTTTTTGATCGTCCCGTGCATTCCGGCCGACGATCTGACAGAGGACAAGATTCCCAGGGAGATCTTTTCCGAGGGTGCACCAGGGGTGCTGGTTGAGATGGCTTACCGCCCGCAGGTAACGGGTATGATGAAGGTGGCCGGGGCCATGGATGGATGGAAGGTTTTCCGTGGGACTGACGTGCTCGAGGAGCAGGCGTTTGCGCAGTTCACGCTATGGACTGGGAAACCTGCGCCTGTTTCGGCAATGCGGGAGGGGATGCATGCGGCAGTTGCAGCCAGGGCGTAGATCGTATTCGTCACGAATCCTTTACTTTTTCCCAAATCATCACCAATTGCATATCCGTCGTTTGTAACAGTTCCACCAATAGAAACGAAGGCTTATGCAGCACACCAATGAATCCCTCTGTCTACCAGGTCAACCACCGGGTATCCTGTTTTCTTTTGTTCACCCGCAGATCGCATTCCCGACCATTTCTCCCCCGCACAGAATCCTTTTCCGCTTAAAGTAACCCCGCCACCCCCCGCTTTTATTGAGCTTAGCAACACCACCAGCTCTGCGTCAGCCCAGCCCGACCTTCAGCTTTCCCTCTGCAATTTCCCAAGCCCAATTCACCACCATCAAAGCAGAAACTATGACATCATTCCGCCCAGCAATCGCATCCATGTCCCTCGGCCGCGCCTGGCTGCACAACTTCGACACCAAGCTCCGCCAGGCCGCCACCCACGGCTTCGAAGGCATTGAAATCTTCTACGAGGATCTCGACTACCTCGCCAAGGACCTCGCCAGCACATCCGATGCCACCCCAACACCGGACCAGCTCCTCCGCGCAGCCGAGCACACGCGTGAGCTCTGCGACTCCCTGCACCTCACCATCATCGGCCTGCAGCCCTTCATGCACTACGAAGGCCTACTCGACCGCGACCAGCATCGCCAGCGCATCGAGAAGGCGAAGCTGTGGTTCCGGCTCGCGAAGGTCCTTGGGACCCAGACCATCCAGATCCCGGCCAACTTCCTGCCGAAGGAGCAACTGGTAGACGATCTCGCGGTCGCGGTCGCGGATATGCGTGAGCTGGCGGATTTGGGTGCTCAAGAGCAGCCGCCCGTGCGGTTCGCGTACGAGAATCTGTGTTGGGGGACGCATGTTGATACGTGGGAGAAGGCGTGGGAGGTGGTGCGGTTGGTCGACCGGCCGAATTTTGGCGTCTGCCTTGATACGTTTAACATTGCTGGACGTGTCTGGGCGGATCCTACAGCGCCGGATGGGAAGACTCCGAATGCGGACCGTGAGTTCCAGGAGTCAATGGAACGCATGGTGAAGGAGGTTGATGTGGAGAAGGTGTTTTATATTCAGGTGGTGGATGCGGAGCGCATGGAGAAGCCGCTTGTCGAGGGACATCCGTTCCATGTGGAGGGGAACCCGGCAAGGATGAATTGGTCGAGGAATGCGAGGGCGTTCATTTATGAGGAGGATCGCGGGGCTTACTTGCCGGTGGAGAAGGTTGCGAGGACGATTATAGAGGGCTTGGGGTACAAGGGGTTTGTATCGATGGAGCTCTTCTCCCGGACGATGGCGGAGGAGGGCGAGGGAGTGCCTGCTGAGCATGCGAGGAGGGGGGCTGCGGCGTGGAAGAAGCTCGAGCAGCGTCTTGGGTTGAACAAGACATGAATGGTTGAGCAGCATAGAAATCCCATTCTTCAACATCAGCACAAGTGAAGTTTTAGTTTAGCATTGAATCTTCTTATACAAATATGACATCCTTAGAAGCTCAGAAATTGATCGCAGGACTCGCATCTGCGGACTCCAAGAGAACTTTCCATGCCCCTTCCCGGTTTAGCTTCTTAACCCTCTCCTCACCCGCCCACAGGCGCCATTGCTCTTCGATCTGGTACCCAATGACGTGCGTCCCCTCCACAGTAAACCACCCCAACCCCTCAGCCATCTTTATCATTCTAGTTCTCCTCGGCTTGAAACACATATCCAACAAAACACCTTTCTCCGGCCTCGACAGAAACTCCTCCAAACACGCCTTAACCAAAAGCTCGCTCTCAGTAGCCGGCTTGGAATCCGGCACCGTCCCGACAACGTAATACGGCGTATCCAGCGCCTTCGCCTGCTCCAAACTCGTCACATGCACAATCCCCGGTGGCGAAGCCAGCCTCTGCGCGTCCCGCACCAGATCCCGCACCTCTCCCTCATCCCGATTGAGCACGTACACAGTCCCACACCCCAGATGCGCACTCAACGCATACAACGCAGCACGACTCGCACCCCCCGCGCCCACAATCAGCCCCGGCGCCCCCTCACTCGCCGCGCCGCCATCCCCCTTCTCCAACAAACACCCCTTCACGCCCAGCCAATCCGTGTTCGTCCCGCGGAGCTGCCCGGCGGGGTCCCGGTACACGTTGTTGCAGGCGCCGATGATGGTGGCGAGGTCGTCGATGCCGTCTAGGCACGGCATGATGGTTTGCTTGTAAGGCATGGTTACGACGAGGCCGGCTGTGGTGGGGGCGCGCCCCAGGGAGATTGCGTCGTTGATGGTGGCGCATTCGGTGCTGTGGAAGGTCCAGGGGAGGTTGAGGGAGTGGGCAATGTGGTTGTGCATGGGTGGGGCGATGGAGTGGGTTACGCCGATGCCGACGAGGTGGAGGGTTTGAGGTTGGGTGTCGTTTGGGGTTTGGGTGGCCATTGGGAGGGGTTGCTTGGTGGTGGTGTGTTTGGGGTGGAAGGTGAGAAGGTGGCGGAGCGGTGGAACAGATCAGCAAAGTATGGGATGTTCGAATTCCAAATTCTGTGTTGTGGTTATGGAGGAGAGTTACATCATATCGGAGGGAGATGGCGGCGGTAAAGGCATTACCCGCCGGTTACCGAATACCACGTTTACAACGGGGTTGCAAATACCACGTAAGCGGCTGTAACTTTCATTTTATTGCTGCATGCTACCTGATACAAAGTAATTACTCAGGGAGGTGAACTATAAAACGCCGGAAAGAGTGTTAAGGGTGTCAAAGGGAAGAATGACCTAAGTGCTCCCACTATCTTCACAATCAACCACTTCGATGCCCCATCTTGACTGTCCATCACGATCCTTGAACCAACCCAACCTTGTCTTGATCGCATCACTCTCTTCAAATCTTCCCTCTCGCCGGTCTTGCAACAGTTTGAGCAATTTGTCACTCCCACCAACAAGGGCGAGGGTATCAGCTACGCAAGCCACGTCTCCCTTCAAGTTCTTCAAATACCTTCGTTGCACTACCGCTATCACCACAGTTGTCGCTATAAGCCACACTAAGATCGCTACACTGAGCCATACCGCCGCAGGATTTGTCTTCAGAAGCACGATTTCGGTCGATATCTCAGCAGTGGTTGTACGGTTGGTGTGTGAGATTGGCCACCTGATTGGGCCCTTGCAGGTGGTGGGCCCGGTGAAGTTCCATAAGCACTGCGGTAGTGTGTAGTTGATGGGCTGATACGCCCAGCCCCCGGTCTCAAACGGGACATTACTGCTGACAAAATGCTGAAAGAAGGTGGTGAATGTTTTCTGTGCCGTTGCCTCCATGGTTTTGGCATCAAGTAGGGCGAGCGGATCTTTGTCCACCAGGGAATACATAGCGTATGCCATCAGATCGAGGTTGAGACCACGCTCCGTGTCTCTGATGTTGAACGTCTTATCTCCCAAAATTTCTTCATACGCTCCCGAGTTGGCTTGTTCAATATTACCCTGGTATCCTCGAAGGTTGGCGGATCTCAACAAAGAATTGATGAAGAGTACTCCATAGCTATGATTCATCAGCTAATGCTAATGTGTTGACAGAAGTCCAGGTCGAAAATATTGATGACAAATCTGTTGTTCTTACCTGACTGTGATGTTGTAATACGGTCCGTCGCCACTACCGATAAAGACGTCTGTCCATGCTTCGGTAGTATTCATCGGTTCCTCCTCAATCACAAAGTCAATGACTTGACCGGATCTCCGATCAACTGTCACACTGGCCAGCGCCTCTTCAATGATTGGCGTACATTCGAGGGCTTGTGCAAGGGGCACTTCGAGAAACATCACATGTTCCTTCGTTCCGTCTAAGTCAGGATAGCCGTAGTGATTTTTAACCGATCGAACGCCTGTGATTAAGTTTCCATATACCCACTTCATCGCAAAATTGAACGGCTGTCGTATGATGTAATTTTCGTCAGTTTGGAACGGAGACCAGTTGCCGAAAACGGAACTTCTTGCAGGCCAATCTGTCCCATTACCACAACATAAAGGACGAGATCCATCAGCGAGAAACATTGTATTGAAGAACTGAGCCGACATGTACCCTTCCGAGTCTCTGAAGCCGGGCTCATGTGCAGTCGTAATGTTGTGCGGCACTGATGTGGAATTCCATTCAGACGAATTGCCCAGATTCCATGTTGCGAGCCAGGCTGAGGTATTGTCCAGGTTGGCAAACGGTGAGCAGTCAATGCGAGCTCTAATCGCAGGTGTCATTACTGAAACATTTGTTGTTGGCCCAGAAGATGAGTCGGCTACATCTTGGATAAGGCTGTTGTTCTCGAATTGGCTGAGCTGGAAAGGAACAAAGCTCCAACCGTCTCGGCTCCAGGGCGGTTGAGATCCATTCATGGTAAGCTCAAGTGTGGCGCTATACAGCCAATTGGTGGAAAGGTTTGTGTACAAATCCGCAATGATCGATATTTCGTTCCAGCCGGCCCATAGTCCATTCATGAGACTGCGGCCATGATAAACGAAGGGAATTGTCCGCATCTCAAGTCCTCGTTCAGCTGGAACAATATGACTGTAATTGGATCGCACTCTTTGGAAAAGCGCTGACATAGCAATTGTAACTATAATTAAGCTCGGTTAGTCTGGGACAGTCAGGCCCATTTAAAATGATGAAAGAACACTTACGGACTGGGGAGAGGGAAGTGCCAATAGTGATGAGAAGGAGAAACCAATGCCGTCTTGAAGCCGCTTTGTAGGTGCCAAATGACCAGTACGATGATTGGTAGGATAAATCCAAGCCATGTGTGAATAGTTTTGGTGGTGATTGAGCCATGGAGATGTACGGTTGCAGTCTGCGAAATGTTGTGTCCATGGCGCCCCACCACAACCCAGTAGCTACAGCTAGTAAGGTTGGCATGACCAAAAATGGCTCAATTGTACGGGCTCCGAAAAAGGAGAATTGTGCCTGGTATACAAAGGCCGTGCGATATAGCTGAGAATGCTGCGAAAGGCTGTGTAGCGCAATTATAGCGGCTGTAAGGGCACAGAGAAAGACGGTCAGAGCTGACAATACCCGTAAACGGAGGATAGGTGGACTCCAGGGTGACTTTATCATCTCCTTCTCCTTTCTCCCTATTTATGACCTAATTAGCCGGCTAAATATAACAGATATGTGAGAGAAGTTATATTTGCCCAGCCGTTCAGGGAAGACTTACTTACCTGGACTATTGATTACCGATGTACGTGATTCGTAAAGGGTGTGCTGCTCTATGGAGTACCGCCTCTTCCGTAGACTCTGGTAGACATTAGTGGTAGACTCGGGCTTCAGTGTTCGTATCCCCATGTGCGTTGTAGAATCCGGGGAAATTAAAGTAGCAATACTGGCAGCAGAAGCTGGGTCTTCTGATAAGTTTAGAGGTCGAACACGGAGATTTGAATAGATCCACACTACGGACTGTAAGAGCAGGGATACGCTCAGAGTGACTATAAGTATGATAGCAACACCTGGCGTAACCACTACTCGCTTCTGGACGGTTGTGACCTTTCCCGCAACGGTCTCAGTTGACGCATTTTGCCGCTGTAGAGAGTGTTGGACGATTTCGCCGAACATCCTCCGCTTGGCCTTGGCAGCTCGAGTGATCAGGGTCTTCCCATCATTCATAGCCGAAATATCGAAATTGTAAAGGGCTCCGACGATTGAACCGGCACCAAACTCGGATCCGGAGTGTTTAGGTAAATAGTCCGACCATTCTCCGTTCAATGACATCTCCTGAGCAAGGCTGACGTTCAGAAAAGTTTCAGAAATTCGTGACCGTCGTTTTCGATATTCTTCCACGTCGAATGTCATGTCCGAGGATCCAGTTGATGTGTGAGCCGTGACCTCTAGCTCAGCCATGTAATAGTTTGCAGTACACGAATAACCAATAAAATGACTTCTGCCCACTTCTACACCTGGCTCAGGTGTAATGAAGAGTAACTCTCTCTCTCCGCACGCTTTCGATTGATTGAGTGCCATGAACTCCGACCCCGCGAAAGTAAAAGGGATGTACCAATTACATCCGGCGAGGCTTGTGCCACTAGAATGCAACTCTGAGGTGCATCCAGCACCAGAAGCTGTAACGGCGTCATATCCCTTGGTATGGTGGTTGATGAGGTTGACTGGCTCGCATTCTAGTTCAGTGCTGAGGACTAATGTATCAGCTTGCCATTTCTGAGGCGAGTCGGAGAGTAGGGGACCCAGAGGAGGATTTTCCATGCGGGAGGGCCAGAATGGAAAAACCGTATAGTCGTCTGAAATCCATGCAGACGTTGTAACATTCTGCAAGAGATGTCCAAAAATCCGTAACTTTGTGTCTCGCCCGCTGGTAAGATTGACTTGTAGCCGTGGTGTTGTGCGGTCGAACTTCATTTCTTTTGTAACAGTAGTTTCTGCTGACACCAAGAACGATGAGGACAGAGGCGAAATGATCAGAAATCCAAGAACGTTGATGAATGCCGAGGAGAGGAGCAGCCAACTGATTTGGCCGTTGTTTCGCTTTGGCAGACTGTTCGCAAGAGCGTCCCACCAGGCGCCAGGAGCTCTGAGAATGCTTGACACAGCAGGAGCTCCGCCTGATTTGGCCAATTGAGCAAAACATTCGGTTCTCTTTACGTCATCGAGAAGCATTGCGGTGAGCTGGACATAGAGGACAGCGAGTAGAGAAGGAGTAAACCGCCATCCAAATAGCAGGATTGAAGAGCCGTCATCAACACCCAGCCCATCGTTATTGACCGAAAGTGAACACAATAGGATCACGGTGAAGAGGAGGGTTATGATTGAAGCTGTAAGTAGGCAAAGAAAAGGCTTGCGGAGGGTATATGGAAGCCACATTGCCGTCTTAGAGCTGGCGGTGGGCGTGATGCCACGATAATTGCACTGGTCTGAGAAGATAATTGATTAGCGTTACTGCAAATAGTGGCATTTGGGTCGAATTACCGTCTGAGGTGTGAAATCGCTGAGTCTGCTCGAATTGCCGGTCATGTTGGAGAAGTTCTTCATCGTCGTATGAACGATCAGAGAGTGATGAAGAAACGCGGGATACCGAAGGACGCATTTCACCCCCCACGTCCTGACTGTGAGCACATCCGCTCTCCATGACCCCTACTTGCTCATTTGATGAGTTCTCCGAGGGCTCTTCCAGCTGCTGTTCTCGATGAACCGTGGATAAGTGTGAAGATATTCCATCATTATCATCATAATCATCATCGTCTTCTTCTCCCTCTTCTTCTCTAGCGCCCTCTGCTAGTAGAGGCGTGGAATTTTGGTCTCCCTCACTCGCAAATGCGCAACTGTCCCCGTGTTGGTTGTCGGTGTTGAGAGATGATGGCTTATTGCGTGCATGGCCCCCAGCTACTCCTGACATCGATGCTGCCGTGTTGGTATTAGCATCGTGATGAAGCTTGCAAGGCGGGTACATGATGTGGGGGGGGGGGGGGGGGGGGGGGGGAGGGGGGGGGGGGGGGGGGGGGGGGTTTGAGAAGAAAGGATTAGCTGGCGGAAAAAAGACTTCCTAAGTAGAATGAAGAAGAAAAACAGAGGTTAATGTAATACCGGGGACGGGACCTGGGAGTATTTATCATTTGGTCCGGGGCAAGAGCTTCAAGGGCAGAAAATCCGGAGGATTTGCAGGATTCCGGCGAGAGCGGGGGCTGTCGGGCGCGGATATATATGTGTATAGCGAGTCTCGCTTCTATATCGCCACGAGGATCCGTGGGTCTGCAAGGATGTCAGAGGTCTCGGTTATTGCACGAATCGAGGACGTCATGGTGCGCATCTTCCGGTTGCGAGATGAGTTGCAGCGATACAAGCATGGTTTAAACTTGCGATCGTACGTTGACTTGCATCTGTTGGGTCTATGCATCGCACTATCTCTCCGGAAGAGCTACCTTCCTTCGACCTGTGACTTGGAAACATCTCGGTTCCTTGCTGGAAGTTCTTCCACTCCAAACAGCCAAGTCACTGCCGAGACTTTGTATGCATGCCATCAACTCCGATTGGCTAAACCGTCGTTGCATATAGTACGAACGAGGATAGAACCCCTGCCCTACCCAATTGACTCCAATATTGAACTCCCCAAAATCTTCGTATGGAGTCCACTTTTCCCTTTTCAGGCGATGCGGCTGTGCTTTCTGAACGACAGATAGACTTCCAATTAATATCTGTAGATTGACATGCCTAAACTCTTTGTCAATAAGACCCCACTATATGACCTGGAGAAGAAGCTGGAAGAGCTCAGAGAGCGAATGGCGTGACACTGTGGATATTCCAAGCACGCATGGACCCGACCGGGAGGTGGTACATCCGATCCCTGTCGTCGCGTTTGGGAAAACCCCTCGTAGATCGCGAATTATGGAGGGAGCAATTTCTGCATTAGCAAGCTGCATCGTATACAATGATGCATTGTGGCTGCTACGACTCATCCATCAAATACTGTGAATATGGAACGTAGATCTAAATTATATCTCGAAGATAACCTTACTTTGAACTGTAAATCCTACGCACCACTTTAAAGCCACCGAATTGAACCGATCTTACCTATAACGCTAATGCTGTGCAGGGATCATGGAAGCGCATTAGTATGCCGAGTTCAAAGTCTCCACATTCATCGCCGAACGGGCAGAATTATCTTAAAGTATCCACCCTTTTACTTTTCCTACCTGACGTCATGCGTAGCCAAGACGCCTCCGCTTTCTTTCCCCACATGCGTACCTCGGAACGGGCGCCGATCGATAACTTTTGGGGAATGCAAACCCGACAGTGCGCGGAGTACCAATTGCATGTACCCCGCACTCCAATTTACGAAGACAAAAAGATCACAGAGCTGGTATACAGCCGGTTGAAAGGTGACCTCTTTTGCCATTGCTGAAGTTTAAATCTTATTTATCCGGCCACCCCGCCGGAGCCTGAAAACCTACGAAGTGTTTAACCATGCGCGGAGGCGTGGGGGTCTATATAATGAGCCTCATGGCTTTCATCCAAGGTACTTCATTATGAAAGATTGCTGGTATCTTTGACGTTTGCAAGAAGATGAAGTTATTTTTTGTAATTTCCTGGCTTGGTTGCTTAGGTGCATACGCCCAATCACCGGTATGGCCAAGCAGCAGTTCCACAAGCTCCAATCCTGCGATGGTCACTTCAATGGAGCTGACGGTCGATGGTAAGCTATTGCACTATTTGTTTTGTTTTCTGTTTCAATGGCTGACTTTGGTTAGACATGTGGGACATCTGGATCGGCTCAGTAGCCGTAGCATCCGTCAACACGACCGTCTCGCCCACTCCCGTGCCCAGCTCCGAATTGATCCCGCCTCCACCGCTTCACTACCCTTCATGGATGAGCGGCCCGCAAACTCCGCTGCAGGCAAAGAACGAATCTTGGAGCTTCCCGAAGGATTTCTGGTGGGGCGTCGCAAGCGCCTCCTACCAGGTCGAAGGCGCGGTAAAGGACGAGGGCCGCTCGCCTTCTGTTTGGGATGGCCTGCTGCACAATGTCGTCGACTACAGTCTGTACAACGAAACGGGTGATGTTGCCATCAATCATTATTACCTTTACAAGCAGGGTTTGTCGAACACCAAGCTCCGAATGTTATTTTCCCTACTGACGTAGAGGGCCTCAGACATTGCCAGGCTTGCGGCTATGGGAGTGCCTTACTACAGCTTTTCCTTATCCTGGTCGCGAATTTTACCTTTCGGCCGCGGTCCCGTTAATGAGGCTGGACTGGCACATTACGAAGATGTAATCAACACTTGTTTGGAGTATGGTGTGAAGCCTGCGGTAACACTGTATGTTGTTCCCTTGATTTTAAGTACATGAGAACTTTACTGACGTTCCCAAGCTTCCACTGGGATCTACCACTATATCTGTATAATCTGTACGGTAAGTGTTAAATCCCCAGACCTCTGAGCGGAAGTGTATTCATATCCTTCAGGTGGATGGACCAACGAGCAAATCGTAGACGACTTCGTCAACTACGCCCGGATAGTCTTTGAGAGATTCGGTAACAAAGTGCCCATGTGGTTCACAGTCAACGAGCCCATCAGCTTCTGGTACCAAGACGAAAACCCCCTCTCTTACCTCCGAAAGAAGACTGACCAATTCCTCTTTTTCTTCCATACAGCACCCTCCAAATGCCCGAGCATTACTTCCGCCGCGTGCCCATCCTGCAGAAGCAACAGCCCTACTACTGCGGCCAACACGTACTGCTCGCGCACAGCAAAGCCTATCACCTAGCTAAATCGCTCAACCTAACCGGCCCTGTGACGCTCAAGAACAATGGTTACTACAAGACGCCGCGGACCAACTCGAGCGAAGATGCCGAGGCGACGCAGCGCGCGTGGGACTTCAACGAGGGTTGGTTCGCGAATCCCATCTACGTCGACGGCGAATACCCGCGCTACCTCAAGGACTACGTCTCCACCTTCTTGCGCGACCTGACCACGGAGGAGAAGGAGGCGATCCATGGGTCGGCCGATTTCTTTGCGCATGATGCGTATGCGGCGAAGTGAGTTGGTCTTCGTTTTTCTGCTCCTTATCTTCTTGCCACTTTTCTTCCTTTATCCAGCCAACTAATCCTTCCCTTCCTCTTTATGTGTAATAACCTCATCCCTCCTTTTTCTTCAGGAGGTAGCGGGTAATTGAATAAAAGGCTGAAGAAGAGGAAGAGGTAGAAACCAAAGAAAGCAAGCATACTGACCCTGTCACCCACCCCAGATACTACATGGCGCCCGACACCGGCATCGACGCCTGCCTGACCAACTACTCGCACCCGCTCTTCCCCACCTGCGCCAATTCCTCCTTCCAGCTGAGCGACGCCGACGGCGGCTGGCTGGTCGGGCCCGCGGCCGACCCGTACACGTCCTGGCTGCACAAGGCGACCGACTGGATCCCGCAGTTCCTGCGCTACATCAACCAGACCTGGCCGCACCCCGGCGGCATCGCCGTGTCCGAGTTCGGCTTCACCGAGCCCTTCGAGCACGACAAGAAGCTGCTCGGCGACATCCGCATGGACCTGGGCCGCGTGACGTACTACCGCGAGTACGTGCACGCGGTGCTGATGGCCATGAGCGAAGGGATCAAGGTCGTGGGGCTGCTCGCGTGGACGATTGCGGATAACCTCGAGTGGACGGCTGGGTTTGGCGTCAAGTTTGGACTGCAGTACGTGAATTTGACGACGCAGGAGAGGGCGTATAAGGCGAGTTTCTTTGAGCTGAAGGATGTCATTGAGACATATTGGGAAAAGTAGGGGGAAGGGACGGCTGCGCGGTCCGTCAAAGCATTTTCCTGAGCCCGGTTTTGCACAATACCTGGCAATGAAAGGCGACGGACTTTTGTCTCTTGAGATTTTAAATCAGAGAACACAAATTTGTAATTCAGGAAGTCGACCTGATCATACTAATAGCTGAAGCGAAGCTTAATGAAAAGCTAGTCAAGTCGAAGGTATCGAGTCTGAGCAACCTGCATGCAGCTCATGCTCTTTTGAATGACGGCGCTGACGTGAGCGTTCGGGAGTACGACATGAAACTCTTGGACTGACAAATCAAAGGTGAGGGAGGCGATCACATATGTTCATCCCTGCATCGCGCATGAATTTTGTAGTCACTCAGCGCTGTCCAACCCTGCTAAATAGGAATTTGCTTTGAAGTTCGTCGGGTCGCGTCAACGTGAATCACCACACAAGCCGGACACTTAGGGCTCGGAACGTGGCCTGAAAGGCGAAGATCTGCACTCATCATCTTGGCAATAGCAAAAAACCGACATGCTATACCTTTGGGCTATGTGAAAAAAGAAAGAATTCAAATCATCAAGACGTCGCACGTAGCATTTACGTTGGAGAGAATGAGAGATGTTCAGCCACCCAATATACAAGCAACTCTGGGCATCCGCCTGGCCTGCAGGGGCCAACGTTCGGCGGATATCGAGTGGGCATAAGACAGATCGCTGCCCCATTGCGTACGCACCTATACCTATCAAAGCTGTGTTACCGCTTGTACCGTCGGCTTTTGCCCCAAAACGCAGCGGTAACTCCGCACGGTGCACGCGGAAATCCAGCGCCGTGTCCGTGCCCGATTGCCGGTACCTTGGAGGTGCGTCAACCCCAGCAGTGGGGGCCAAGACCCATCCAATCGCCTCCCTGTCCCAACGGACCTGAAGGCTGTGTGGCATGACCCTTGACCATGGTGGACGAATGTGTGGATTTAATTAGCCGCGTTTGCAGAACACAGCCTTGATCGGAGCTGGGTAACATGAAGTAGAAAGGGAGTGCCGCGTTTCTCCACGCGAATTCACGTACATACCAACCCCATCGAGTCCCACTTTTTCCACGGCAGACGTTGTCCAGATGCCAATGATTCAGGTATAAGCAGTCATGCTCCACCCATGAAATTGCGACGTCCAACCTCCCTCAGCTTTTTTATCCCCGAATCGCCGTCGAAGCTTCGTAGCGTCAAAATCCATCGAGCTGCGGGCTCTAAAATACACCGCTGGCCATGACTGCATATCTTGGAGCTCTCACAACTACCTGGACCCCTTCGGCGGCCTCCTCCCAGTGCTTTAGCTCGTTCTTTTACGGATCAAATTCACTCGGATCATGGCTCCAACTAGGCACCACTGCGACAACGGAATGCTTGCCTCCTAATTTCAACCGCGATGTATCATACTTCTACTCTCCCGGAGTCTGCCCGTCTGGCTACACATATGCATGCACCAAGGCATCAACCAGCTCGACAGATGCCATAACAGTAGCAACATGTTGTCCATCGTAAGTCTGGTACCGCCATCATCACCATTCATCGCCCCATGTCATAGCCCAGCAACCGAAATAAAAGAAAAAAAAAATAAACTCACCAACCACGTCACAAAAAAACAGCGGCTACTACTGCATGGGCAACATCGAAACCAGCCAGATCTTCAACTGCGTCTCGGCCTTCCCCTCGTCCGGCACCTTCACCGTCTCGAGCTACTGGTTCGTCAGCCCCTTCGACTCGGGCACCACCACCATCTCCGTCTCCGCCGGCGAGACCGTCCGCGCCTACGGCCCCATCGTCCGCCGCGCCTCCGACGACCCCTCCTGGACTAACGTCCTCCCCACCTCCACCACCACCGTCTCGCCCGGCAGCAGCGCGAACGCCGGAACGGCGGCGGCGACGGCTGGGAGCTCGAATAGCGGTGGTGGCTCTTCTTCTGACAGCGGGTTGAGCACGGGTGCGAAGGCGGGGATTGGTGTAGGCGTGGGTGTGGGTGTTTTGTTGATCGTGGCGGCGTGCGTTGGTGGGTTTATGATTGGGAAGAGGGCGAGTCGGAAAGGTGCGGAGGCGGAGGCGGAGAAGAGGAGGCTGGGTGGAGAGTTGGCTAGCGCGCCGGTGCAGGAATTGTCGGCGGCGCAGACGAGGCATGAGTTGCAGCCGGCGTATATCTCGGAATTGGAGGGGACGCAGAGAAAGTGAATGAAAGCAAGTAATGGGTCAGGGGAAGAACCTCATTTGATTATATTGCGTTGCTGGGGAGCCGGGTCTTCGACCAAAATCCTGCGCCTGATACCATTTTCACAGTTTCGGAAATTCATACCGCATTTTGCTCTGCTGAGAGCTAAGGTAGATGCATACGACGATGTGTACTCTCTGGGCTATTAACATGTTTGGGTTGACTGATCAGCTTTGCAAGGAGCATCCATTCAAAGATACCAAGGGGAGAGGCTGGCTTTAGAAGTTGTCGCATCCACATCCTGAATTTATAGAGGGGAGCATGCTCACCTTCCTTTGAGAATGTAATGTATATAAGGATCGTTTCATTGAAGTTTCAAACGCCCCAATTGCAAAAATGTATTGATGATACCGGATCATACCCTGTCGGGTCAGCTGAATTTTGACCTCAAGGAATTCACCAAAGCCGTCACGCACGACCGCATCGCCCTGTTATGTCACGTTGTAGAATAACTGACAAAGTATCCGGTGGATTCTATGATATTCGCCTCTCTTTGTTTGTTGTTTGCTGTTTGCTCGCTACCAGCCCGTATATATTCTACCTGCCCCACAGTCAGCTTATGGATCATTCTGTGCGTCCTTCAATAACAGAAGGGGTTTCAAACTTCAAACCTTCTAGCCAATGGCTTAGTGTGTTGAGAGGATATCATTCTACTGTCTAAAGCAACCAACAAATGCCTGCGATCGTTCTCCTCTCAGCCATGGGGATGTTTCACGTTTTGGAGGTTGCCTATATGCAGTGTAACCAATATTCAGGCTAAAGAAGCAAATAAACAAAGGCGAAGTAGATATATGCCCAGAGAGGAAGGTCGTAGTACTTGTGCAACCGTCGCACATACGATTGCTGATCAAAATACTACCATAATGTTTTTGACAAAAATGAAAAAAAAAGAAACGGAAGAAACAGGTGACAATAACCTGTTGAGGATATGCCATTGCAGAAAGACTAAATTAGAAACCGAACGACCACAAGACGCTTGTAGTGAGATGAATCCGGTGGCCGGTACAAAGTTGGTGAACAGGTAAAGTGGCTGCTCAGCCATCAATGAACATGCCGTCCACGCCTCCCCACGAAGCTGTCCTCAATTATCATCTCGTTTGCCCGCTCTCGAGCAAGCATCTCAGTCTCCCGTTCCATAACCTGGCGCTTCTTCGCTGCCTGCTTCAACTCTCGCTTTTTGCCCCAGTTCCACCAGTGAAGGCGCTTTGGGTATGAGGAATCTGGGCCCTGCAACACCATTCCCGGATGTACGACGGCAAGAACGATAACTGCGAGAAGCATGGGCAGTCCGTCGAGATACAGCAAGTAGCTCTCGTTGTAAAGAATTTTGTTAGACGGGTCAAATCCTCTAGCGAATTCGATCAAGCGGTACATGATGCGTATCTGCAGCCACTGTCAGCCAAGAAATGAGCTACCTCCGCTACCGAACTCACCGTGATAAGCACAAGCACCGCATATAGCACATACGTAAGCAACTCCCACCTCCTATACAACCACGCCCCCCACCCTCCCCACCCCTGTCCCCCCTCCTCCACCTCCTTCACATACCCCCTTTCCCCCCTCCTCTTCCCCCAATGAAACTTCCCCACCAACACCGCAAACACCACAATAAAGACCTCCTGCACCCCCACTCCCACCATATACACCCTCAACCCCAACCTCATCGCCTCAGCCGTATTCCCCGGCGCCAGCAGCAGTCCGCCAATTGCCTGCACGACGAAGCTCACGACGTCGCACCAAACGAAAACACGGCCGATGCGCGTTGCAGGCATACCAAGCGCGGCGTGTGTCGCGCTGAAGCAGTGGATCAGCCGGCTGGCCGTCATGTAGGCGAAGGCGTTGATCCAGAGCGGCGAGAGCAGGAGGAGGAACTGCGAGAGGGTGGCGATGGACTGCGATTGCTGGTTGCGCTGGCCGAGGGCGCGGAGGGCGAAGGACGCGGTTTCCCAGAATGCGCCGGTGATGAGGACCCAGCAGTATTTCTGTGGTGTGTGGAGCGTTCGTTAGTTGTGGCTGGTGGAGAGGGGAGGGGGGCGGTTGGGAGAAGAAGGTGTTGGTGTGGATGGTGACTTGCCTTTTTGTAGGCGATTGCTTGGTAGAAGTGGATGAGGGTCAGGATGCCGAAGAGGGTGGTGAAAGCTACTGCGGAGTTGAAGTCTGGGACGACGGTGTAGTACGAGTTGCAGGCGTCTGGAGGGACGTGGCCGTATTTTCCTGGTATGGCGGTTGTGCACCCCGGAGATGTGGCATCTGATGTCTCTGTTTGATCGGTTAGACCGGGAATGGTTGTTGTGCCGGACATAATTGCTAGAGAACTAAGTACACAGAAAAGCCAGAGAGATGGGAAGAGGTGCCGTTGAAGGTTTGACGAAATATCAGCTTGTTGAATAATTTGGTGGCCCTTTATGTCTGCAGAGTATTACGTCAGGAGCCAGAGATCAACGTCAATTAGGATTTGGCCCTTGAATAGATGCGCTTACTAGTATAGCCAAGGCTCTATTCTGCCTTTGCTTAGTCATTGCTCTTTGTCTCAATCGCACAACTTCATGAACTTGGAGATCAGGCATTGTATATATTCACATTTGGGCACAGTGGGATTTCGGAATATAAAATATGCTATGATATTGATACTCGCAATAATGATACTAGAGGCGCAAGACATTTGAAATTCAGAAACTCACCTACCCCATGCTAGAATGCTCGTAACCTTTTAGTCCGCCAGAGAAAGCCATGAGAGAACAAAGAGACCGCCAGCGGTCCCATGAAACCCCCAGATCTCTTTTTCGCTTTTTGAACATCAGAACAAGAAAAGACCTACCGCTCTCTCACCTCAACTCAATTCAGCACCATACCGAGATTGCCATCGTACGCGTGCTTCTTCCTCGCATCCGACAGCGTCTCGTTCGCCTCGTTGATGGCCTGGAAGCGCCTGTGCGCCTCGGCCTTGGCGGCGCCGCCGCCGGAGTGCTTGTCCGGGTGGTGCACCAGGGCCAGCTTCCTGTACGCCTTCTTGATCTGCGCCTCGCTCGCGCCCCTGTCGACGCCCAGGATCTCGTAGAATCCGAAGGGACGCTTCAGAAGCCACTCGAAGCGGTCCGCCATGCTGCCGTTGGCCGGCGGCTCGCGCGGGTGCGGGTGCGGCTGCGGCTGAGCACGCGGCGGAGGGCGGGAGTCGTAGTTGCTAGAGCTGCTGCTGTAGCCATAGTTGCTGTGGCCACCGGAGCTGCTGTAGCCACCAGAACCGCTGTAGTTGCTGTCGGGAGAGCTGGAACGGCCCGGGCCGCGGGTCTCGGTGTTGTACTTGGGGGACGCAGGACGGCCACGAGGGCCGCCGCCGCCAGCGTAGTTGTAGCTGTAGCTGTCATTGCCGGAGGAGTATCCCGAAGCGCCACTGCTGGGACCCCTGGTCTCGGTGTTGTAGAAGGACGAAGCACCAGGGTATCCAGAGGACGTCGCCGGACGACGGGGCTCGCCAGCGTAGAAGCCGGAAGAAGAGTAGGCGGAAGAGCCGTCAGACGGGCCCCTAGTCTCCGTATGGAAACCGGAGGGGTCAACGTGCCTGTACGAGGTGTTCGTGGAGTAGCCGGAAGAAGCCGCCGGGCCGCGGCTGGAAGTGTTGTACCCGAAGGACTCACTGCGGTCGGGGAAGCCTGCATAGTGGCCACGAGGCGCCTCAGGGCCACGGCGGTCGGTGAAGTAGTCGCTGCCGTAGGTGCGCTCGAACTGGTGCCGAGCGTCATCCTCGGCGGCCCTGCTGGCGGCCCTACCTGCTGCACGAGTGAACCGATCATCGTAGTCGAAGTGATCATCACGGGTGAACCGATCATCGTAGGCGGATCGATCATCGTAGGTGAACCTATCGTCACGGCTGAACCGATCATAGCCGTCACGACGACTGTGACCCGCAGATGGCGTATCCTTCGGCTTCGTGTGGCGGAACGTAGAGGAACCGCTGGGGCGGCGGCGCGTCCAGCCATGAGCCTTGCTGCGGCGGGAAGAAGAAGATGAAGAAGAAGGGGTAGAGAAGGATGCGGAACGGGAGGGTTCATACCTATCGTAAGAGCATGGCGGAGGGGCTCTACCGCTGCGACCATGCTGCGGCGCGACGTCACCACCTTCCTCGAGAACTTGGTCGAGGTACGGGATGCGCGGCATCGGGGCCAGCTCGCATTGCTCCAGCTCTACTGGAATGCCATGAAGAGTGAAGGCGCGACCGGAGCGCTCGTGGTAGAAGGCGATGGGTTGGTCGCGGAAGAAAGCAACGACACTGCCGGTGCGAGAGTAGATGGTCAACGCGGATTCAAGGATGCGTCCACGCTCATGGCGGTCGGCACGCTGAAGTCGATGGTGGATGAGATCGGTGATCTCCTCTGCGAGGGAGGGGTAAGGCATGTTGCTTACTTGTTTGGTTTCGATAGTGTTTGAATACGCTGTTGTTTGCTTGCGCGAAGCGGGAGTATTCGAGGTGTCCACAGAGAAAAAGAGCAAGAACCCTACAGCTTAAGTATGTAAGCGATTCTGAGTTGTTGGAATACTATGGTGTGTGGGTGACTGAACAACGGGGTTATTTCCAGCATTGTATAGATTATCATAAAGGCGGCTGTAGTTGATTCGCGCCTGATTTAAGTTTGTGCGAAAACAGTTTGAGAAACTGCACTGTCACAAAACAAAGTCACGCACTCGAGTGTGGGATCCTATGATTAGCGCAAATATTGATGCTTTTACTAGTGATTGGAAGTAATTGTTGGGTAAGCCGAGGCCCCATGATGGAAATTGAATACCACTGTAGACTGTAACGAGGCTAAGCTGTAGGAGCGTAAAAGGGAGAAGAACAAGAGATGCTTAATGCAAACGGCGTGGCATACGGACTCTGCACGTGATATTTTTATAACATAGCAGGATGAGGCTCGGCAACAAGGCTCACGAGTTGATGCTTGTCCCCGTGATACGAAGTGGATGGGCGGCCGCACCAGCTGTTGAGGTTGAACAGAGATAGCATGACCATACGTATGGATCCAAAGGCGGGCACTCCGGATGTTCTAGATTGAGCCATGGAGGCTCTGCGGACTTTGCGAGATAAACTCAGACGTTATACCATATGCGGTCGCAGGAGGCCGAGAACATGGGCACGGTCGAAGAGTGCTGCACAAACGGAGCTGAAAAACATTTTGAGACTGGAAAGCTCGGATAGAGTCATGGAGCTGCATCCGGGGCCCGAAAAGTGGGTACGATTTGCGTGGAGCGCATCTGTGACAAGGGGGTTGAAGACCGAGGCCAGATCGTAGGGCAAATCGAGCGCGGGTGACGAGTGCCGATCTCGGGTTCCTGGGCACACGTCGAACGATTGTCGGGTCGGATTCCTACTGGGAGGCGACTTGAGCTCTGTCAACAAGTCCTGGCAGCTGGCGAGGGAGCTTTTGATGATGTTCTTGACATAAGGTAGTGCGGGTTAGTCCCGACCGGACAGATACAGTACCACTTGGTGAACGCATGGCACGTTTGGAGAAGCTTCTTATCGGGCGTACCAATAAATCCAGGTGGCAGCGGGATCCCGTATAGTGCGTACAGCGATATAGCCAGTGGAACCCAGACCGCTGCAGCTACCAAAAGGAATGCACGGATGCGAAGGTGTGAAGGGCTGAGATACGAAGTGGCTGGTTGCACTGGCGATTCTTTTGCTGGGCGCTGGGGTGGTGCAAATCAACGTGGCAGCGTGGTGCAGCGACGGCCTATCCAGACCCCTGGAGCGAATCTGTTAGCCTGAAGAGCACTGATGCTATTGATAGCCCACGAGAGCCGTTATCTGCAGGGCGGCTCGTCGGGGAGTGGGTGGGTGACAGTGCGCGGAACCAGCCAGGCGCCGCGGGCAGGGCGGATCGGCACACGGCAGAAAAGCTGGCTGCCCAGACGGGCCGGGGGCAGGCGGGCAGGTTGACGGCTGGTGAAGGCAGACGATGAAGTTGAAGCGAGCGCTTTGTTCGCCCTTGCCTTGGCTCCCCCTAGCGCCTGCCCTTTCCGTGCTGGCGAGCGGCGCTAGTCATGCATTGTTCTCGGAGCCTTTGCCCTCAAGCTCTGCCGCTTCCGGCCAACCTGCAACACTGATGAAATATTCTGCTGTCGCCCCCAACGTCACGGCGCCGTCCACTCCGCACCATGCCGTCCATCACCGCTCTGTCCGGCCTTGTCGCTTGGCTGTGCCGCCCCTGAAGACATGATCCGAAACGATTGGCAACAGACATGGCAGTGAGAAGCCGCCCCATTGCCCGGGGCTGTCGTGGTGCGGCTGTTGTGGACAAGACAATTAACAGCTCATGCAGCACGAGATGGAGCCTAGCAGAGTCGTATCGATAGTTCTGTGCCCCCGCCAGCTAGCAGGGGACGGCTTCCCGTAGGGCCAGGTGCAGAACCACTCCATGCCAGCAGCCTTTCCGTATACGGCCATGTCGCGCCGCAGTGTCGCCCCGCTCCCTCGCGCGCATCCTCGTCTTTGGCTGCCCGCTTGCCGCCTGGATATCGCCGCCTATGAGGATCTCGGCTGTAGCGCAACCCGGGCGAGATGGATCAGTCCAGCTTGTTGTCCGCGCCGCTCTGGGCCCTGAGGGCTTTGCCAAATTTCGCCTGCTTCGAGCCTTGGGTGCAGCAAGCTTATCTTGACGAGTCCCGCTCGTGTGGTTTTTGTTTCCTTTAAAGCCGTCCTCTCGTTCCAACTCTCGAGAGCCGCAGCCGTCCATCGTTTTTTTACTTTCCCGGCCGGGCATCAGCATTCCGCTTTCGAGCGTTACTTTCGCTACCTACCATGTCGGGGACCGCCACGACCACGGCCACAGCCACACCACGGCCCAGCACGCCCGACAGCGATCGCATTGCCCCCGCTGCCTCGACTCCCCGCAATGGCCCCCCGTCCAACCCGTTCGCTACGCCTTACGGCTCCATGCCGGCATCGGCAACCGGCTCTTTCTACGACATCGGCGCCAACGGCATCGTCACCCAGAGATACTTCCGCTCGCGGCGGATAAAGAAGGGCAGTGTCGAGCAGCCATGGAAGGAAGTGAAGGATCCCAAGGCCAAGTGGACCACCATCATCCCCCTCATTGGCATCATCATCGGCCTGGGTGTAACCGGCGTTCTGATCTGGGACGGCCTGCGCAACGTCATCAACCACGAGTACTGCCCGGTACTCGACGACAACTTCGCCAATGGCTTGAACAGCAAGGTGTGGACGAAGGAGGTTGAGGTGGGCGGATTCGGGTAAGTTCCTCACCATGTGGACGCGACATGTTGCAGTCTTGCTGACGTGGGGATACAGCAACGGCCAGTTCGAAATGACAACCGACACCGACGAGAACGCATTCATCCAGGACGGTGTGCTGCACCTCAAGCCCACGCTGCAGGACCAGAAACTCATCGACACGAACAATGTCATCAACCTGCTGGACGCCGGCACGTGCACGGGGTCGAACTGGTACAGCTGCGTTACGTCGACCAACACGACTAACGGCACCATCGTCAATCCGGTCAAGTCGGCACGCATCAACACCAAGATGGGCGCTAACATCAAGTTCGGACGAGTGGAGGTGGTGGCACAGCTGCCTGAGGGTGACTGGCTGTGGCCCGCCATCTGGATGCTGCCCAAGAACGCAACCTACGGCGACTGGCCGCGGTCGGGCGAGATCGATATCATGGAGGCACGCGGCAACAACTACACCTACCCCACCGGTGGCAACAACATTATCAGCAGCGCACTGCACTTTGGGCCCGACGTCTCGACCGACGCGTGGTGGACGAGCAACGTCAAGCGCAAGGCCAAGCTCACCACCTACTCCAAGGCCTTCCACACCTTCGGCATGGAATGGAGCGAGAAGTACATCTTCACCTACGTTGATACCCGCCTGATCCAGGTCATGTACAACAATTTCGACAAGCCCTTCTGGGAGAAGGGCCATTTCCCGCTGTCCGACACCAACGGCACCCGCCTCGTTGACCCTTGGAGCCAGACGGGCAGCAAGGCCACGCCCTTCGACGAGGAATTCTACCTGATCATCAACGTCGCCGTCGGCGGCACCAACGGCTGGTTCAAGGACGGCAAAGCCGGGAAGCCGTGGGTGGACGCCAGTGCGACTGCGAGGAGGGACTTCTGGAACTCTCGAGACCAGTGGTACCCCACTTGGGAGGACAAGGGCGAGATGCTCGTCAAGAGCGTCAAGATGTGGCAGCAGAAGGGCTACAACGGCTGCTGATTTTCTTTCTATACTGTTGCTGCGGCGCGGGTAAATTATTATAGAGGAACGGGGGCACGCATATCCACGGCCTGGATGATAACGAGCGGGTCTCAATAATCTTGGTCCTTTTTTTGTCAATGTTGGCACGGGCTTGTTTCCGATATACAGATACGAATTCACGAAATAATAGACTGTAGGATTCACTAGTAAAGCTTGGTTATCATCACTGTGCCTGCAGTAACCGCCGAAGACTTCTCAACAACCCAGACCACCAAAAAGTGGACCCACCTTTTTTTTCGCTGTTTAACTTTGCACAATCTGGTGCAGCGATACGATGCGACGCGGTCGCGCCCAGCAAAGGTGGGATTAAGCACTGCGGACTCAGCCAGCCATCGCCCACGTGTGGCTTCAGGTACCCGCTACTTTACCACGCGAAAGTACCAGTCCGGCAACAATCAGCGGGGGGCGGCGGCGGCGGCGGGCGGAAGAAGGAAAGAAAAACTTGCCGTCGTCGGGTAGCGCTGTCGTCGTCGCAACGGCCAATGGGCCAGCCACAAAATGTTTCCCCGCCGCCAATTGAGACGGCCGGGCGGCGCCACAGTGCCAGCCTGTTTGCGCGCGCCATGACACATGCGCTTGCAGGCGGCAGTCAGTCCGTCACTCCTTTCGTCCCCTTCTTTTTCCGTTTCGTGATGGAGTCTTTCTGCTGAAGAGATGATGCCGCTGTTGTCGAGCTTTTGAACGACGTTCGCCTTATAGAAATTGATGTGGGTATTCGACTGCAGCCCCATGGTGTGAGAGTCAGGCTTTCTCCGCAATCGCTGGCAATGTTTTTTGTCTCCGACGGTTCGACGGACCGCCGTTGCTGTTTGGGCTGGGGGAGCGCGCAACACAACCCTGCGTTGGCGGGGTGGGTGTGTTGCTGCAGCAGCAGCGCGCGACACACAACACCGGCCGTGTCTGCCTACGCCTAGCCGCGGAGCAAAAAAACAGGAACTGGGAAGTGGAGACGGTGAGAGGAAAACGCTTGTCTGGCTGATCTCCTCGTCTTCCTCCTCCCGCCGTTTGTCTTGGCTCGCCGATGGCGGATTGCTGCTGGCCAGCAATTTAGAATGCTTGGGTTACGCTCTCTACTTGGTGCAGCGGAAGCGATAATGCATCGGTCTCGCTCCCTGCTCAGAGTCGCGATATTGGGCCAGAATCCTGCTGCAACTCTCTTATACGAGGGGTGGCGGCGGCTACCGGGGGCGACCGTTGGGGAGGCGGGAGGGGAGAGAAATCCTGCCCTGCTATCTTTGTCCCACCCTGCAGCAACTGGAGGGGACGGAGCTCGTGTTCGCCTGCGCCAATGGTGTGCCGCCGTCCCGCGCGCGACAAGGAGATGGATAAGGCGCGTCATCTGCCACGAGAAACAGCCTGCGATAAGTGAACCCTGGAAAAAAAAAAGCAGAAGCGAGAGATCAGAGACAGATGAATGCTATAATGGAGATCTTAAAGTTCGTCAAATGTTGGTGATCTGCCGGCGGCGAACGGGAGGGAGGGTACGAACCGAGGGAGGCGAGCGAAGTGGAACCCCCCAGGCTGATCTTGGTCGGGTGGCTCAAAAACCGCTCCGCCCGCCGTCGTTGGTCGCGGATCAACCCCAATTACCCGAGGGCTAAATACTGGACCTGAGTACCTACGCTGTGGAGAATGTCTACTGATTCGAAAATTCTTCTTTTGTGTCAAGATCATTTTGAGGCTGTTACAGCCGCAGATTTCAGAGACAGCAATTATATACGAGATGCATATTTTGCCTGGCCACACTCATTCTTGCCCCCGCCTGGTGTCTATCCCGCTTGACGTGAAGTACCGAAATACAATAGATATTGTTACGACCGAGCTTCCGGGGCAATTCCGGGCACGGAAGACCTTTGTATGTTTGCGGTAGGCACTGACACGACTGTAACTGCACGATTGCCATCCATGTATTTCCACGCTGTCTACTGTATGACGTATCGCGGTGGTCAGGCAGCTATGTCTGTTTTCTATCATTTCCAAATCTAGTAGAATGCTCGCGTCCCACAACAGCTTGCTTCCCTGTGCGTGGACACTAATGCATATGCTGTGAAAATAGGTCATAGCTCCAATGCAGGCGTGTGCAGGGTCAGACGTCAAGACCATATCGTTGGAGCTTCCTCTCGTGATTTATCACGCGCCATTCTCTTATCATAAGGCAGAAGATGCAGTACGCGATCAAGGGGCCGCAGGATGATACTGTTTAAGTATATGCAGGGAGACCAATCTGCAGCAGCAATAAATGTAATGTCAGCATTCGCTCAAGGTTAATGCAGCTTTCGCCAAAATGCAACCATGTCGTCAATCCCTTGCGGCTTATTCACCCAATTGTGTTCGGCCCCAACGTGCGAGGCTGCACTTTCTATCAGTTTCTGTCGGCTGGATCCGTTGGTACCAGGTCCGGCAAGTAAAGCGATTCGTCCAACGCTGGGCAGTGAACGACGAATCTCAGCGCTGGTATAGCCAAAGATGGGTTGTGGAGCTCGTGTTTGCCCTGCACCTGGCCGGCTTGTGGAGGGTCAGGTGGAGAGGCGTTAGGCGGATGTTGAGGATGCGTGAGCATTGGCAGTGACTATTGCTCATTTCCAGGCTGTCAAAAAAGAATAGCCAATGATATTCTTCCTGCGGTATACAAGTCGAAACACTTCCGCCAGCCTGCATCCCCCTTCGCCGAAGGCTGCAGCTGCACAACAGACTGGGAAGTCGGCAAGGAATATGCAGAACATCGGAACACTGAAATCCGCCTTGGGACGAGCTTTTCGTATCGTTTGAGTGGTCAGATTGTCGAGGATGAAGCGAGCGCACCTCACCGATGCCGCTCTCAAGTGTTTCCCCATCAAGGTAGTCGTCATTTAGGAGGGGGAGCCTTACTGGGTGGGATGCCGAGCGCATGGGCCTCTCTGCGATGGAACTGCGATGAGCGTTCAATTACCGCTATTGCCCCGCCAGATCATTCGGTGCAGGTAGTTCCGTAAAACTGTTCATTCGTTGTTCTGATTGGCTCAATTTGCAAGGCTTGTGCTGAACAAGCCTCTGTTTCAGAGTGTTTGATCAGACGCTTCGCTTGTTTTACATTGGAAAAATACGTGGCCAGCGAACCTACCTCTATCCCTCAACATGCATCCCAAAAGTCTTCGCATATTCAATCCACAATGATTCAGGAATATTCCGATACACAAACCACAGTTAGGCGGGCCTCCACTCACCATTTGGCGATCAGGCACCCTGGGGCTCCGTTGTAATTATTCCACGGAAACTTCCAGCGTCCATGCGTACCGGCTGCCCGGCGAATCCTCATTGGCCCACACACCACGTTGTTTCGTATGATTGTCACCCACGACTGCCGGGAGTAGGCGCGCTCATTGACTAATGGGAAAGAGCCGACCCTGTGCACATCTCGCTCGACGGCCCGGGTGGGGAACAGCAGTCCCGCTTTGGAAACCATCGACACTCACCCTTAATCAATCTGTAACTTGAAACAGGTGAATCCCGTATTTCCATCTCTATAACAGCCTTTAGTTCCCGCAGCCCAGAGAAACACTCACCACCGCAAGCAGTTACAGTCACTCTTTCCGCAGGACCGGGCCTCTCAGTCAACACCATTCGTTTTTCTACATCCAACTTCGAGACAGGATCTCCTCCATTCCTACAATCAACATGCGTTCCACTTCCGTCTCGGCCGCTGCCGCTCTTTCCCTCGCTCTGAGAGCCTCTGCCCAGTCCTCGGACGAATCATGGATCGACAACTACAAGTTCGGCAACATGTTCTACACCGGGCCCACCAGCGGCGGTGCCGTCATCACCAAGGCCACCTACACCATGGCGCCCCCCGAGATCCCCTGCGGCTACAAGACTGGCGGCTCCATTAACGAGGAGCTCGCCCTCTGGATTGGCGCCCAGCCCAACCCCACCGGCAAGGACGTCCTGCAGCTTTCTTTCGTCCAGCCCCTCATCAACTGGGCTCCCGACCAGCAGGCCACTGGTTGCGACTCTACCAACGAGAACTGGTGCATTTCTGCCAGCTCGTACCATCCTTCCGGCCAGGTCAGCGCTGGCTACGTGCCCGTCGCCCCCGGCACTTCGCTGGACTTCGAGATCGCCGTCGATGAGGCCAGCACCGAAATCACCCAGAAGGTCTGGAACAACGGCGAGCTCATCTCCTCGCAGTCGGACAGTAAGCGAACCCAATATCCTCTCCTTCCAATTTTTGAGCTAATCAAATCTTGCAGGCCCCGGCATGAAGCTCGAGGTCTTCTACTCTGGAAACGAGTGCTACGGCGACGACTGCGGAACCCTTCAGGGCTACAGTAAGCTTCTCCCAACCAAACCCCCGCGCCTTCAAGTGCCGGTATGAATTTGACGCTGACGATGTTATCCTCCAGGCTGGAAGAACATCACCGTTCACCTCGACAAGGCCGACGCGGCTTTCGGCAACACCCTCAGCCTGACTGGCGCCACCTCGGATGGTTTCTCTACCTCCGACGGCGGCAAGACCTGGCACGCCGAGGAGATCAAGATCAACGAGGACTACTTCTACCAGAGCGGTGCGAAGAAGGAGTGCTCTTCGTAAATTAACCATTTGAAGAAGTGGTTCGCATATGATATATAGCTTAGTAAATGACTGAACTGTGAAGCGAACGTCCTTATTTCGAATGCATTGATAGTGTGAGGTGCTCAAACGGCTATTGGCCTCTTGAAAAAAAAAAAAGAAACGAAGCCCCCGGAATCAATCGAAACCATTACGAGAAAATAGCTTCAAAATAGCCATTTCTATCCCCGTAAACTTCCTACCATCTCTTCCATTCCTGCAGGTACTTCTCACGTCCGCAAAAGGCATTCTCCCACTCTCCCTTTGCAACGTCCTCACAAAACTCTAGTACGGCTTACGCGGCTGAAGGTCGACGCGCGCACGCCACAGCTACACAAATGCTAATGTGAACATGCGCAGCCTCACCCACCATAACTCAGTTTACATTCTAGTCTCCAACATTATAACCTTGACTCGTTAAGTCTCGAGGAGACTAACGCCTTCTCTTGTGGGATCATTATTGGAGAATACCTCGATAACTGAGCTGTTGTTAGTGTGGGACGATCTACAGGATCTCCTTAGTTACAGACGTCTCATTCTTTTCATCATCTACGTTTTCTGGACCAAGTTGTCACGGAAGGGCTGATTTAATTCCGCTGAGCGGCGTTAATTCGCCGAGAGTCATGGTTCGGCTAACTACAACTCACAATTCGGCGAAAACACCCCCACAGACTACCTCACGTACAAAGCGACTTACAAATACAATACAACATGACCTTAGAAATATATAAAACCTTTATGGAGATTAGTACCCCAAAGTAGCCTTTCATTTACATGGAGCCGTTATCATTGTCTCGATTCCAGCCAACATGAATTCGAAGTTTTACACCGGAGCATCGCGCATGTGGCGCCGCGTGAAGAAAATAACCTCAACAACGGACAAATCAGATGCTACATCGGACAGAGCATACCTGGTAGAGTATGATTGTCAATTAATTTTTTTGTTTTAATGAAAACCTCGACTGACGCCCTTTCAGCCTAAACATCTCTCACCAAAGCTCCCGACGCCCTTCTCACAAAGCCCATTACTATAATCGTATGTTTTCATTACATATTTTCCATATGATCCAAAAGGCTTATATACGATCAGCATCTGATATGTGTTTTGGGTCCTGCTGTTGGAACTAGGCTCTGAATGAGAGACATACAAAGTCGCGAGAGAAGGAGGAATGGCCAGAGTCCGTACCCATGAAGACAATCAAAGCGGGACAACGAAATTGATATTAAATTGTTTATGTAAAGCTTCCTGAATGTACCTTGTGGCCGTATACACCAAATTTGAAATATAAACTTGGCTCTGTTTTCCTTAATTCGCGACCTTCAGAGAGCCCAAACTTCATGACAACTTTTCCTTATGCGGGCTCGTTCCTCAACTCATCCAAGCATATGCACATGGCTGTTATGACTGCCATGTCAACATTTGGAGCCACCGTCACACCGTACGTCTGTTGGCCTCCGATGAACTCCCGTGCATTGAAGTATTTTCGGTCAATCAGCGCGACAACTTGACCTTCCTTTGTGGAAATCTCCGCTCGCGAGTCGAAAAAGTCTCCCTCCATAATCAGTTCTTCCTCTTGGCCTGTCGTCGAAGTAAAAGTACAGATTGCTTTTGATCCAATGACTACTTGAAATTAGCCAGTCATTCTCAGTATTTATGCATCTAAGCCGCGAGAACCCACGTTGCAGCTTCTTTCGGACTTCGAAAAGGTGGTTTCCGGATTCATCTTGGCCGTAAAAGGTCTTGTGGAGCGTGAAATGCTCTTTGCGGATGTCGAAAACAGAATCCCCGTTCGCGTCGAGAAGGTGCTTCCGTCCGGACAGCGAGAGGGCCTCGCCTTTGACCTTGAACGCTGTGTTGTTGCTGCCGGCGCTCTTGATGTCGAAAGAATCACCAGAGAGCGAGAAGATCTTCTCTTTCAGGACGAGCGTTTCCGAGCTCTGGGCAATAAACCTTGGGAAGATGCCAATCGGCCTTGGCGCCGGAGCGAGCTGAGTGATTGCCATGTTGCTCTTCGGGTGACGGAGTTCGATGGGTTCAGGGCGCTGGGGACGGATGTTGCAGAGATGCGGGGTCTTACCGGCTAGTGGCGCAGCACTGCTGCTTTTCTAGATCATGCACGCGATTATTAATAATCGTCAATCCCTGTCTTTGGACCCTTCTTCTACGTTATTTCAAAGAACTTCAATGCGTCCAGAACATCGGTCGGCCCGAATATTTGGACACGCAAAACTACCTCATCAGGACTAGCTTGCTGCTTTACAGTGGTACGCTATTGAAAAGCTGGAGCTTGTCTGTGTCCCGACACTACCCGGAGCCTTTAGCAGTTTTCAACAAATTGGGCAATGTCTTCCGATGGTGGCGCCACAGAGTAATGAAGTAACCGTGGGTAACGAATAGAGATAGCGAAGAACCTATGCTCATCCAATCGATGTTGAGATAGATGAGCTGGTAATGTTCTTCACCATTGCTTAATACTACGGACATTCCCTCCTTGGTAGAATGTCCCTTTCTCTACCAGACCAACGAAACATCTTGCGGCAGAAGTTCCCAAGTTCACCATGACTAGCACGTTGATGTAACCAAACTGAAGCGCCGAGTGACACATTTCTAGAGAGGGACTCCCAATTTTGGTGATTCTCGAATATTCACTCTGCAAGGGTTCCTTTTATACTACGTACTTATATACATGAATGTACTGAGTGCTGAAGACAGTTTATTGGTAATTACAGGTAAAGGTGATTACAAGCTAATCTATCTTTCAAAGGAAGAGTGATGACGCAATGTGCGAGCAAATGCCCTTGTACAATGAACTAGTTCTTCTCACAACTGAAGCATTCCGCCTTGGAGCCATCGCCGCAGCTAGCATTGAAAGTTGTCTTCAACGGAAGCGGGCAGAGAATCCGATTCTGGGTCTCGTTCTTGCTGTTTTGGAAGCTGATGGGAATCGTTTCCGGCACAGTACCATTCTCAACCCACGCGCGCATTTGGTCAAAAATAGTGGTTGGTTGTCCACCGTTGCCACCAGAGCAGTGCCCAAGACCTGGGACCTCGAAGACGCGGAAGAAGTCGTTCACATCCGGGATGACGGAAGCAACAGCCTCATGGTAGCTACGAGTACCCTTGGGCGGAATCGCGGGATCGGCCTGGAAGATTGTCAGTTCTGTTTCACCTCGTGGGAATTTTGCATGGCCCTGGAGGGGGAAAGTGAGACTTACGAGTCCATGATAACTGAGAATCTTGCCACCTGCATTGCGGAACGCGGTCAAATCCGGCTCGTCGGTGCTCCACAAGGATCTCCACTCCATCTTGCTGAGGTGCATCAGCCAGGAATATTCGTCCTGCTTCAAGTCGGTCAAGTTGAAGGAAAGATCCTTGAGGACGGTGGATGTCAACCAACCGGCACCACTGTTGCCGGTTTGTCCGGTGCAGGTTCCGTTGCTGCTGCATTCGGTCGAGGCGATCCCGGCAGCGTCCCCCTCGGTCCCCGCCAGGAGTGTTCCCTTTTCCATGCCGTAGTACAGCTGCTTTCCCTCAGGCGATATGGGTCCAGACCATGTGGCGTTGGCAACTATGGCAGCGGCACGACTGATTTTCACCGGAGCTCCGGTGTCAGAACAGTTGACCGTCTTTCCCACGACGCTGAAGGGATCGAAGTCGCATGCATCCGGATCAGCGATAATGCCATCCGTAATGCCATCTTGCCCGTCACATGCGGCAACAGCAGCATCGGTAATGGCGTTGATCTCACAGTTGTACGGATATTCGCCCTGCAGGTTCATCACCAGCTGCGGCCAGTACAACGACGGCGCGAAGGAGGGGATATTGATTGCCGGGGCTGATGCAACGATTCCGTCATACGCGGTGGGATAACGCTGAGCAAGCATGAGGCCCTGCCGACCTCCCTGAGAGCAGCCGCTCCAGTAAGAGTACTGGGGCCGACGTCCGTAGAAACTTTCGATGACGCTCTTGGCAATTATGGCCTGCTTTTGATTAGCGAGATGGTCCCTGCAAATCCAGCTTAATGATGGGATTTACCTCGTCGTTCAGTGCCCTAAAGCCGAAGTTCTCCATAGCATGCAGATTTACGTTCCCAGGGCTCAGGTATGCCCATTCCGTATAGCCGGATGGATCGGTTGACACACCAGCGTCGGTGCTGACAGTCGCATAACCTTGAGCAATGGCCCCAGCCATGAAGATGTAGGAGAGACCGAAGCGACCGGCAACCATGCCGCCTCCGCCCACAGCCTGCAGGCGATCGTTCCATTCCAGGGGAAGCCAAGCTTCAACGTTGATCTGATCGTCATGGCCGGGATGCGTGTAAGTGACGGTGACATTGCAAAAGTCGATATTGTCCGCGTAGATGGAAGGATGATTGAAGTTGTATGCCTCGGGGGCGTATGCGCTGTAGTTTGTGACCAAGTTGGTGGACACGGAGAGGATCTTTGCACCAAAGAGCGTTGGATTGGGAAGCTGCCCGGAAGAGCAGATGGAGGAAAGAGACGAAGTGTTATACATCTTGGATCCTTGGGGTTGAAAGAGTGTCAGTTGCTTTGAGGCTGCAGCGTCAAAATTGGACGTGGCTTACAGGCTTTATATCTCAGAACCTTTTCTTTGCCCATCTTGAAGAGGCAATTTTCGTAACCGTTTCCCTAACGTTCGGCACCCGGCGCCACCATCCAGGGGTTCCCGCAGCTAATTCCTGAGCATTGGCCACAGTCGATTCTCTTGTGCCGGGACCGCCGAAAATTGACCGCAGTCTGCGAGTCTTTAGCCTACGATTTCTCCGAATGACACATAGAACAGGCTGAGCACGGGTAAAACACCGTGCGTGCATGCCTCGGCAGAGCCTCTTTGGAAGGTAGTGTCCCGAGTAGCCTTCAGCGCCGATGAACCCTGTAGCATCTCGGATACGGGAATGTATCTATTTCTTTGGTATCGCCGGAAAAGCGGCACCAGCAATGAATAGTCGGCCCAGTTACTCCATTCTCGCAATTGCGTTGCACTGTTCAAACTCATGGATCAATTTTCAGCGGACCTGAGCTTCCCCTCATTGGCTCAACGGCCCCATTCAAAAACATTGTCTCTCGTTCTCTTTGATAATCTCCACCTGCTGAATTGGCCACTCAAGCCAGACTTGATGATGCTGATCGAGGAATTTCCGTACCCCGTTGATGAGATGATCAGCCCAACCCCGCAAGAACCAGATGCATTCAAAATTTCTGAGGAGTAGTGCGAAATGGGCCAAAATGATCAAAGCAACAGGGTTCCTCTCCTGCAGAAGATCTGTGTAGTCCTCCTCCAGCTGATAGGTCCAAATAAACAAGTTCTGATGGTCTGCATTCCCTTGATAGGTTGCGTCCGCTCCACCATGTATTGCCTCGTAGCACATCCGAAGTTGGAAGAGAGCTTTTAAGTTGATTGCGAAATCCGGCCCGCCTGAAGCCTGCACAAATCCCTGCAGATGATCGAAGTGGTCGATCCACACGAGTTGGACCAATCTCCAGGCAGTTGCTGCAGGCTCACTAGCCTTGGGGGAAGGATTCACGGGACGATCACCCTGTGGGCCGCCGGCAATTTTCTCTATGCCAATCATTTCGACTATTGTCCGTACTCCTCTCATTAGAGGTAGCCACTGCGGAGGACCATGTTCACTGAACAAAAGATATTCCCCCGGTTGAGGGCCTCGAGCAAAGGCATTGATGCAGGCAAAAACAGCCGCGGTGTAAACAGCGTGGCAATTGTCTTCATCAAGTTGGGACAACATCGAGGTGACTCCGTTCAAGCCGAGTGTCGAGTAGTGCGCGGCCAGCGAGCGATAATGCTGTCGGTTCTCCGGCGGCTGCAGCCGCGCAAAGTCCAACGCCGCAAACTCATAGACGAGGTGAAGGACAAATGGATACGCGAATCCCAACTTGGGTGCCTGCAGGCGAAGAGCATCGTAGGTTGGTGGCTCACCGTCGGAGCCTTCGTATTCCCGCGTGAGGAAATGGTGGAGCAGTTGGATCTCGTCGCCGTAGCCGGGAGTATTATTCGAGGGATCGGGGTCTGCAGGCTGAGGGGCGGACGCTGACAGGGCAGGGGGAGTAGACTCGGCCTGGGACGAGGACGATCCATCGGCCGAAGTGGTTGCCAGCTGTGCCTGGTTCCACCTCGTCCTCGGCCTGCCGCGCTTCCCACGTGTTCGCGGCCCTTGCGTGTTCAGGAAGAAAGAACGGTCCAGTGCGGCGTCTTGCAGCGTCTCCGTGCCGCTGACATAGTCGCACCGTGCACCGAAGGCGGTGCAGTTCTTGCACTCGGGTTTTGTTTCGTCGCACTGCCGCGTGTCGTCTTTAGTCGCGCTCTGACGAGCTCGTCATCGGAGGTACATACCTTAATTCTCCGTTTCTTGCAATTTCCACAGCCACTACGGGACTTCTTGTGTGATCGTCGCATGTGTTTCTGATGCTCGGCAGATTGTGCCGACGGCGGCGGTGGCGGGTGTGAGTCCATGTCAGATGGATGAGAATACGGAATACTACCGCATCAAGTGAAGCGGGAAGCGTGTGTGCACTATATAGTTGGATGGCGAAGCACCGCTACTGGAAAGTGGCTAGTGCAAACCACGGCCAAAGCGCCGCTCCGTGCGCCGCCATTCCAATCTGGGTAATTTTTCGTATGCGTGTTAAGCTTTTCGGCCCGAGCGTTTGAGCCACCCGTAAGCCGAGCTGAGGACCCTTGTCTGCATGCGACGGCAGACATGCGCACCACTCTCAGACGCTGAGATGCAAACCATGCGTTACTACTACACCGAACTTGCTCTGCGAGCCCAGCAAGACATTTTGGTACCTTGCGAGTCCCACGGAAGGCACTTGCGTCTTCAGTCTCTGCTGAAGTCATTCACGTACCGGAATCAGCTTCATGCCAGATGATGAAACTCACTGCGCTCGGCCCTTGCTCTAGTTAGCAGCGCCACTTCGCCCCACAATTTAATGAGATCCCCGAACGGCTCATCTAAAAAAACTATCACCGGAAAGCAGTCCTAAAGCGCCGATTTTCTTTAAATGGCCAACCAACCGCACACAAATAGCCAGAACACTTGATAAAACAATCTTTCAATCTGAATCTCTTTTGAAGGTATGTTCATATCAGACAATCGTGTGAATTCTAAATTACTGACGAGGAAGATCGAAAACTGTAGTCCCATCAAGTTGCATCAAGAAGACTAAAACGATCGGTACAAAATGGTAAGTGTTACCACCTAGTAACTCCGAGTCTCATTTCAAAGACATTCGTATTAACTCAGGCTTTCCCCAGGGCGACTGCTGTGATTACTTCCTGGGATTCTTCTTGCCGACCGTGCCCGTGGCCATGAAGCGTGGCTGCGGCGCCGACGTTATGATCAATTTGGGTCTCTGCTGCCTCGGTTGGCTCCCGGGTGTCATTCGTAAGTTCTGCTGACGATATCGAGTGCGACGAGGTATGAATGGCCATGCTGACCTCAATTCACAGACTCTTACTACATTATATCTCATACGAACGAGAAGGTGAAGGACTCTCCCGTATGATTGCTGCATAAGCAATGTTACACGAAACAGCTCAGCTATGATGTCTTTCAATAACGGCATCTGAAGAAAGGCATGGAAAACGGACGATGAATGCAAAATCGCACCGTACTCCTGACAGGCCTTTTCTCCTGCCATATCGGAATGCGGGCGTCAATTGAAGCACATGAGGTTCGGATAGTGTCGGGAGGCTTCGCTTCTTTACTTGTAATATACTCTTTTTCTTATCTTGTGGAAGTCTGTTTATTATCACTGTTGAAGATACATTGAGAACTGGTGCCGCAAATTCAAGATACAGGCAGTCTTTGCTGAAGTTGCTGTCGTCGCAGGTGTAGATCGATTTTAGTGGGGGTGGGGTTCTGCACTCTGGCAGGGCTGTAGGCGAGGGCGTTGCGCTCACCGTCCCTGCGGCTGAAGGGCTGCAGCGGCCACCACCGAGCGTAGGGCGCCGATTGGTTACGCGACGTGCGGAACCCCAGAAATCTCGTCCCTGGTCGGCCATGTTGACGCCATTCAGCATCAAACTGTCAATTGACGTGCTTCTGCAAATTCCAAACTTGGTAGGTAGGTTGGCCATGCTGTCGACCCGAACTTCCGGTTAGCTTACGTGAGTATGAATGCTGACGCACGCGCGGAACTACCATCCCGTCGGACCCGAAAATCACAGCAAGAGCCAGACTCCCAGCAGGTGCACTGAGTGGAAGGTTTCTAGGGCTATAGTTAGTGGTCTGTCTGCTGTGAAGCAGTAGGTGGTATCGGTGTATGTGGTACGGGCCGAAGTTTGGGACAAAGTACGTGGAATCTGTGTAGCGACCGTTGGAGCCCCGCCAAATCAGCGTTTCAGTGCTCGAAGGTCAGGCTGGCCCCAAATCTCGGCACTAAATGATACTAGGTACGTAGTTACGGCGCGGGCCGAGATTGGTCAGTGAAAAGACGGAACACTTACATATTATGAGAGTGTTCTGTTTGAGAATGATTCAGTGTTAACCAAGAGCCCGGAATTATCGTTGTGAGAAAATCAGGCCGCTATGATAGGCCAAATACGTTTCTGATGGTGCACAAGGGTTGCGCCATTTCCTACAAATGGTTAGCGTCTATGAATCATATTGAGCGATCATCCCGCACTAACGCATCATCGCTGCACTCAACCTTAGACAAACATTTTTATTGCTTCTGTTACATTGATGAGTCTGTATATAAGAAGGTTATCAAAGGCCACATAAAATAATAAAGCACACTCAACTCGAGGGACGCAAAGCAAACGCTCAAATGGCGAACAACACGCTCAACGCACCATCAAGTGGTTCCTCAGGTGGCTCTCTGCCGTTTGGGGATCCCACCACTGTTCTGTTTTCAGCCTTGGCAGGCCTTTTTCTCATCATTTTCCACCAATGGTCGAGGACACCCAAGATTCCGACCATCAATGCCTATCCTGGAGATTGGATGCTCAAGAAGGCGCACAAAGATTTTGAGCAGAATGCAAGAGCTCTTATCCGCGAAGGAACTGAAAAGGTGCGCCAAAAAAACATCACTTAACTTAAGAGGCAGCACTAACATACGGTGTTCAGTTCAAAGGACCATTTCGCATCATCACTGCACTCAGCTCGACTATTCTCGTTCCAACTGAGTGGGCGGAATGGGTGAAGAACTGCAATGACCTGGATCATCTTGAATGGACCTATCATGTAAGCCAAATCAAGAAGGCTCCAAAGTCAGGGCTGACGATGCACGATGCAGGAATTTTTTGCAGGTTATCCTGGCTGGGAGGGTATCACCGCAGCCGTGTGCGACCCGAACAAGCTCCTCATCGAGATCACCAAGAGCAAGCTTAACCAAAACTCGCGTAAGAACCCCTGGTCCAAGTTATCTCCCACAAAACTAATCCTCTTGATAGAATGCACTCTCTTCCGTGAGCAGATCACAAGGACCCTCCACAAAATCTGGTCCGACAAGCCAGGTATGGAAACCCCCCTCATCCCCCCGCTTTCCGCACACCCAGCTAACCGCCTTCCCCCGCTTAGAATGGCACAGCATCGACTGGCACACCGACTCCCTGACCTTCATCAGCCAAATGTCCGCCGCCGTATTCGTCGGCCCCGAGCTGTGCGCCGACCCGGAATGGCAGGACATCACCATCACCTACGCCGTCAACATGTTCCTCGCCACACGCGCCTTGCGCCGCTACCCGCGCTTCACGCGCACCCTCGCCAACTGGTTCCTGCCCGAGAGCACCAAGTGCCGCGAGCAGGTGCGCCGCGGCCGCAGGATGATCCAGGACGTCATGGAAAAGCGCGCAAAGGAGAGGCGCGAGGCTCTGTCCCAGGGGCGCGAGCCCGAGAAGCATGAGGATACGCTGGCGTGGCTGGAGGAGCGCGCTAGTAAGGGCAAGTCGTATGATCCTGTTGCCATCCAGCTCGGCTTCGCGATGGCGGGCTTGCACACGACTACGCAGTTGCTCAAGCAGGCGGTGTTGGATATTTGTGGGCAGCCGGAGCTGGTTGCACCTCTGAGGGAGGAGGTCGAGAAGGCGGTGGCTGAGAGCGGGTGGACGACGGCTGGGCTGTACAAGATGCAGTTGTTGGACAGCGCTATCAAGGAGACGCTGAGGTTGAAGCCTGGGTTGTTGGGTAAGAAATGACTCCTTCTCCTACTTTTTCTGTCCTTTTACTGACTCTTTTCTTCTCCTCACAGCCAATCTCGAGCGCCGGTCCCTCAAGGACATCACCCTGCCAGATGGCACCAAGATTCTGCGAGGCACCAACGTGTCCGTTGACAGCTCACGCATGTGGGACCCAACCGTATACGGTGACGATGCGGCCAAGTTTGATGGTTTCAGGTTCCTGCGGCTGCGCAATGAAGGTGCGCCCGCAACTTCCATGGTGTCGAGTAGCCCCGAGCAGTTCACTTTCGGCATGGGCAAGTCTATCTGCCCTGGGCGCTTCTTTGTACACAATGAGGTCAAGGTTGCACTAGCGACCATCTTACTTGAGTATGACGTGAAGCTTACAGACGGCTACACTCCAAAGTTTGTGGAGTTCGGGTTTGAGATTGTGGTGGATCCGGCGCCGAAGGTGGAGGTGAGGAGGCGGTAGGCAAGGATGGTATTCGAATGGTCTTAGATTTCTTAGCGATGTTATAGAATGGAAACCTTAATGCTTGGAAACTTGACTCCTTCTACGGTGGTAACTCCACGACGATAAGTTTCATGGGTCACCACTTAAGCACTCACCAATATCCACTGACTCTCAATGAACGCCAGGACCTGATAGACTGCGGAGAATATTGACTATGTAATGGATACATTCTACATAAGAGAAGTTAAGGAACTGCAGATCAAACACGTAACAACGAAATATCTTCCTTTGGGTCTTGCTTCGTCATGGGCTAGGTTTGATTTGCATGTTGATATTTGAAAGGCCTCTTTGCGTCATTTCCGAAGTTGGCACAGATCGCAACTTTTGAACTTTGGCCTTCGATGCCAAGCACCGGAAAGAGCTGGCCTTTGACATCGCGAAACGCCGTTCCTTGAATTTCATTAGTTCTGTAATAAGTTGATTGAGGAGTCAAATGGAGGCTAACCTAAAAGCTTCCCGTTCTTGGTGTAGTATATCGATCTCTTACCAGGACTGTTGGTAAGGTTCAGCCCGCACCCAATCACATCACCAGCACCGAACCTCGCGTTGAAGATCCTTCCTTCTTCATGGTTCCAGGAGTATATATTTCCGTTGTCGCCGCGGTATCCCCATGTCAGCGCGCGAGCGTAAATCGACCCTGGCAGAACATCTGAGATCGGCGCAAGTCTACTGCAAAATCCTACTCCGATCACGCTTTCGTACAGTCAGTGTTCAGTTACATTGAAGAGCGTACATTTCTTGCTTACGGCTTTTCAGAATCTGATTGCAAAATCTCAATTTCAAAGTAGAACAGTTTCTTCCCTGGTTGGACAGGATTATTCGCCCTGACTGACATATGAAACTTCTTCGAAGGATCTAAGCAAGTTAGCTAGAATAAGTAATAGAAGAAATGCAGATGCTCACCCATGGGGTCACATGAAGCAATCAGGCCATTGGCCGATATATTCAGTCGCCTGTCTCCGTAGCCCCACCTGTTCGGTGGGCTGGTATTCCTCGGTACGTTGTCATATCTTGTAGCGTTTCCTTCCGGTATTCTGAACCCGTATTCTGCTGCCACCAACATACATGGCCACCCGTACGGGTCTTTATACTCGTTCCAGTGTCTAAGGAGGTCGAAGATTGTTTTGGAATTCCGTTCAAGAGCGCAGACGAACTTCCTGGACTTCTCCGATAGATCAATACCGTGCGGGAACAGTGACTTGATGACATCTTCAAACGACTGGCTAAGCTTCACGTCTGTGAAGCCAAATTCCTGCCAGCCTCCAAACGCCGCATCGAGTGGAGTCTTCCCGTAACGAATGTACCTGGGAAATGCACTGCAGAGAGAATCTTGTTGAGCTCCGTGCGCCAGCAAAATCTTGACAATTGAGGACTGTCCTCGCCATGCCGCAATGTGAAGTGACTGGCTCCCACCTGCGGTTCGTACTTCGCACATCTTCTGATCCAGAGGCTGATTCTTTTGTGTCTTTCCGTTTGCTTTCCCAGATTGCAACAGCTTCTGTACTGCATCCCTCTCGCCCGTATCAATGCAGTAATGTAGAGGGATCTTACCATTTTTGTCGGTTTCGAGCAGAAAGTCCATATCAGAGCGCCGTTGGCAATGAGTATCTATCAAAAATTCCATGATCTTGTATTCCTTGCAGAATGCAGAATGTGCGACTCCGTCCCGAAGTTGGTTGTTTTTGGCAAAGATGTTGATCGCCTTGGCTGTTCGAGCTGCATCGCTTGCCTGAGAAATCCCCTCTTTGTGGACTGGACTATGGCTGTTCTCTCGGTCATGATCATCAACTAGGCCAGCTTTTGATACTCTCTCCAACTCTCTTGCATTCCAATTAATCAAGAGTTCTACAACCCTCTTGTTTCCGGCAGAGATGGCACCATGAAGAGCCTACGGAGCGTTAGTGAAGCACAAGAGTGACGTGTTGAGCCTCGACTAACGGTATTTCCCCATACGTCGTCATCATTGATGTCCGCCTGTTTCTGAAGCAGCAACTTGGCAACTTCATCATTGCCAGCACGACAAGCATTGAATAGTGGTGCTCTGCTGTCTTTGTCTTGCGCATTCGGGTCGGCTCCCTTTTCAAGAAGAAGTTCAATCAAATCTCTCGGTGAGTTTGGTTTCTTGCACGCAAAGTGCAGGGGAGTTTCGTGTCTCCTATCCATGGCATTGACTTTCACCGCTGGGTGTTTGAGCAAAGCCTCACACACAGGCCTGTTCTGAGAGCTTGCAGCGAGGTGAAGACATGTTGTGTTGCTATTGTCTGCAAGAGTCGGATCGGCTTTTCTTTCAAGAAGCTTTTTTACCACACTCAGCCTTGCGTTGTTCCTGATCGCTATTAGAAGCGGCGTGGCTCCGTTCTTGTTTCGAATGTTGATATTCGATGGTCTCAACAGCATATCAATGCCGACAAAACCACCCTGTCCACCGCACGCCGTGTGCAAGGGGGTGTCCTGAATAAATAAGCTACGGTTTTCCTTTTCTGTTATTTGGGGAACTTACTCCGTTGTTGTTTCCCTTATTTCGGAGATCATCGCTGGTGAACATCTCCATGAGGCTGACAAGACCATATCGAGCAGCTACATGTAGAGGGGAGTCTCCACTACGGTCATCATCAGGTGTGCTTTTCAACTTGAGCCAGTTGATGTAGGCATTGTTAGAATCCCCGGTGGATGAAAGAAACCGTTTCGCCTCGCATAGGATCGTGTTCCATCGGCCCTCATACCTTGCGCGGTGGTCTTCCGCCTGGCGTACATGTCTCTGCCAATTGACAATCTCATACCGCAATTGAACGGCTTTTATGGACCTTCTCGTAGTGTCTTTGTACTTGTCGACGGCTTTACGGGAAAGGAATCTGTCCTGGAATCCTTGAGAATTCAAGGTTTTGAGGATGTGCTCTGCCATTAGCGAGTGACCTTCTTTCTCCCCTGCTTCAGCGATAGCCGACGCTATTTCATCCTGGGTGTCAGCTTGAAACTTCAGTCTGTCGTATGAGTTGACGAAGTCTCGAATCGAATTGTGCTCCAAATGAAGCGTGGTGCCGTTCACTCGCAGGAAATCTCGTCCAACATCTTTGAAACCATTTGCAAATCGCTCAACCTGCTTTGCTTCAACTTCCTCAGTGCTGCCACGGCTCCGAAGAGCCAGCTGTCCGCCAGATTTGGTAGCCTTTTTCGATTTGTAGGTGTTGCAAAGTTCATCTGCAATCGGAAGGAGCTGTATCTTGTCGCCACCACACACCAACCAACGAAGTGCAGTGATGAGTACCCTACGGCCATCGGCTGACAGATCATTGATCTTACGTTGGTAGAGTCCATTAATACCATTAGGAAGATCTCTGGAAAAGGCTTCAAGATCCGTGAAGACACCTTCTGGGACGTTGATGAGGCTATCAATAGCAATTCTTGCATCTTAAAAAATGGTAGTCAGTCTTGATTCTCAGAATCTTGCATGGGTCCAACATTCTTACATTTGAACATGCCTTGCGCCTTCGAGATGATCGCTCCTTCCACATTCCATTCGTCGTCAAAGTCCTTGAGTGATCCAGAGACAAATGCTTTAACATCTGCATATGTTTTTGCTGTCTGTCCTGGTGTGTCGATCTGAATGTGTTCGATTCTCAAGGGTGGCTGGTTCCGGCTAGAGGCGATGACGCGAACCTTCATTTTTGATGTAGAAATTGATTCAAGAGCTCTCAGCAATTGCTCTTCTTGGGTGCATTCGTCCAGGGCGTCGACGACAATAAGGATCGGTCTGTTGAGAATTCCTTCCAGTTTTGCAAAGAATGAATGAAGTGTGGATATTTCCAAGCTTGAAGGAAAATGTTCTTGAATGAACTCCTCCGCGGCGTCATTGCAGTCTGACCGTAAGTCAAGCGGAGTGTTCCCGGAAATTGAGTCTGTCGCCTTTTCGAAGAGCTGTACGCATAGGTAAAGCATGATCCGCCAGGCGATTTCTGAGTTTTGGTTGCCCAATCTACAGAAGAAATGGAGGATTATAGCGTTATCTCCAGTTGTGGCCGTGGCTTGGCTCTTCGTCTCTTTGACAAAGCTTTCTACCACCGTCGACATCAGGGTCGATTTGCCAACCCCTCCTCCACCTGAGAGCCATAGGATTCCACGCTCTTTTGATTTCCACGACTGATATTTTCTCTGATCGAAAATCCACCGACAAGAACTCTTGTAGCGCTGCTCAATCTTTTCGTGGTATTTGCGGATTTGAATATCAGTATCTTCAATGCCCCACGATTTCAATTTCTCCTCAATAGCGGTGGATTTTCGGGTGATGGTAAGCTCAGATACATCGCCTTGAATTTTTCCAAATCTGATTTCGATCGATTTGCAGATACCAATCGTCATTTGTTCAAGTTTGCGAAGTTTCTCTGGCCTCAAACGTACGTTGCGCAAGAGCTTGAGTGTTGCAGCCTCGAAGTTGATTGTTGCCGTACGCTGCAAACTGTTTACCGTTTTCATGGCTTCATCAGAGATGTCGAGAAGCTTCTGACATTTTGTGCTGAAGTAGGCCTTGGGGAATGTCACTTGGTAAGATCTTGTTCAGCCTGAAGGTTTCTTTATCGATCTGTAGCGAGCACTTACGGATCCGAGATCTTCTTCGTCCATCCTTGCTCTCAAAGTGCTTTGTCATGATATGAAAGAATTCCAAAACCTGGGAAAGCAGGTCCGTAATGAGATTGTGTGTCGATTGCGTTGTGTCTTCAAACTCATCCTCGACATGTCCTTGGACATGCCTTCGGGCATACACTTCGCAGATAAGCACGACCTCGATCATTTTGTGTGTGCCATCTTCCATACGTTTTGTGTATTTCTCTCCTTCAACAAAGATCTTCACCACATGATTAGTATACAGGCTGCTTATCCCGCTACGAAATGTAGAGAGCACATACCCTTCCAACAAGGCTCACTCCCATCCAGACCAGAGAAGCAATCTCACTAGGGGCAGCGGACATCACTTTGTCGCCAATTTCGAGTATGACGCTGAGCCGTTGAATGAAGCTCTCGCTATTGATAGAGAAGAACTTGTTCTGGTCGGAGCTGTTGAAACTTGAACCAGCCTCGCTGGCTTCCCTTCTCAACTCTTCAATCGTATCCTTGAGTGCACGCGCCTCATGTTTGTTGAGGTCGGACTTGGCGACCGATTTGTGGAACTTTTTTATAGCATCATTCCAAAGCTCGTTCAGGCCGGTTTTTGTAGTGCGGGATGGTCCCGCGGCTTGAGACATGATGGGAACATTGGAGTTTGTGGTTCAAGGTGCGGCGTGAGAATCAGGCTGTCGACTGCGATCTACTTAAGTAAGCGATTTAGGCAGCAGAAGAAAAGGGAATGACGTTGCACCTTCCGTTAGTAGCCTTCGAAGCATGCAAGGCTGCGAAAATCACATCATTGCATCGCGTACGATATCGCGTGTACGAGGAGCTTCTCGGAATTGCCGCATCTGGTGCTGACTGCAGTATTGGTCCCCGGACTTGCTTTCGCCCCCACGCGATAGAAAAAGGACGTTGGGCGTGGAAAGTTTGAGACTGTCTTGTTCTCACTATACGATGTCGTGGTCTCACTCAAAGCTATTCACTATGCGATGCTTTGCCAATCCACTATAATGATGCCCGCTTGTGTGTTACATTCCAAGAGTTGCACAAGATCTACAACAGATCCAGCTGTACCCCGCCTCCATTGAAATCATGCAGCCTTGCACTCTGCTGCAAACTCAACTTTCTACGCTATCCTTCTCTGGAATGCTGATCGGGTCTTCGTTTTCTTTAAGCTGTATAATTAGCCTAAATGGCAGAAATAACTAATTGAGTGAAAACTATCGTTGTATGTGTCCGCGCTGTGGTATTGAGTCAGTCCGAATGCGGGGCTCGCTTGCATTCATACAGAGGGGTGCTGCAGCCGATGGTTAGCGTGAAGAATAGCAGGGCCTTAGAATATAGCATAAGTTCCTCAATTTTCTTTTTTTAAACAATGAAAAGGAACATATGTGGGTAGTTGAAGCTATCGTCCGGACGAGAGTGTGGAGTTAAAAATTCTACATTCTCGTCCAGACGATAGCTTCATCTACCCATGTTATGAGTTAAAAAAAAACCCCCACGCTAACATGGTCATTGAAGGTCGTGTACGGAATGGCGCTTGAAAGGTGGGATCCCTGTTAACAAAACGAAGAGAGTAAATGAAATTGCTTCGTCTATTGTAACTACCAATCTCGCTGGCCATAAATCCAGATTCGTACAGCATATTCAATGCGAGATCTATTTCTTGCAGCAGTAGACTTTCTTTCCGCTGAGACAAGCAACAGTCGAGTCCCCATACCTGCTCTCGGCCTTCTTCTTGGTTCCATCCGGACACTCGCCGCTGCACATGGGCGCCGCACCGTGCCAGTCGCATGTTCCCTTCTCATTGCGGATCTCCACGGGCCAAATTTGCTGAATTTTGCTGGTGTCGGTTCCGTCAATCTGGATAATCTCCTCAATGTCGTCGTTCCTCTTGAGGCCCGGCCACTCCTCCTTGTTCCACACGGAACCCCTGTTTGAGTCAATGGCGCTCGAATCCTTGAACATGACCCAGGCTACGCCGCTGGAGACCTCAGCGAAAGCCCTGCTCCAATTGTTGACAGCCTTCGTGTAGGCGTCATCTTCGTACTTGCTTGGGTCGTCCATGTCCAGCACCTCGACGTCCTGGATCTTGATCAGGCCGTGCTGCTTCTTGTACTGGATGCAGGACCGCGAGGAGCATCCACCGCCGGTGTAGAAGATAGTCTTGTCCATGCCGATATCCATCTTCGCTTTGATGGCGTCCTTAAAGTCGGAGACAGATGGAGCTTTATCTCTCTTGTCGCGCTTCTCAAAGGGGGCAGCCACAGCCAGCTGGGCGGAGAGAAGGACGGCAGAAATGGCGAAAAGCTTCATGGTTGGAGACGAATAGTAGGTTGGGAGAGATATTGAGTCTGAAAGAGAAATGTAACGTTTGAGATGAATTAGAGTGTCGAGAATGAGGCGGTGAAATGCGTTTCGTTGTTGTGTTGTTGATGCAGTGGACGGTTGATGCTGTTTCGTTCTCCCGTTGAAATTGCACCTGTTCTTATACCTATCCAAGGTGTAACCTATAATTAAAAAGGGATGCGGAACGGAACAGCACATAAGCAACCAACCACTCTTGAAGACATGGATGATGGATTGTCACGCGTGTTATTCGCCCCATGAAGGGAGCACGTCAGGCATTTCGCTCCTGAAATGCAGCAGTCGCCGGACCCTAGTAGGGCTGTGATTTAGGCCGTGGTATTCCGACATCGTGTTGGTGTTGTGTCGGTCGGTGTTGTCGCGCCTGTTTCCATAAATTGATGGTCGGTCATCAGCCGTGGGAGCCGCACCTAGTCGGTCAGGCCACACCTGCCAGAAATATCGCTGACAGCCCCCAGCTGAAATTCAGCCACACTGCCACATCCTTTAGAAGGCGATTACGTCATGGGGTCCAAGGTCGAGCTGCACGCCCTCGTTTATTTCAATCCTCCCCTCCATTTCAACAACAACAACAACAACACCACCACCACCACCACATTAACGCAACAAAAATGTCATCCCCACCCCCACCCCCAACCCAAGAACAAGTCCTCCACGCCTGCGCCACCGCACCCCTCCCAGACATCCTCTCCGCCCTCGCCGCCTGCCCGGACCCCCCACACGTCACCAAAATCGCCGAAGTCGCCGTCGAGCACGACCGCATCGACCTGCTCCGGCACTTACTCGCGACAGGCACGCCGACGGACTACATCCCGCGCAAGGCCATCGTGCGCAAGCGCTCGACGGCCATGCTGCAGGCCCTGCTCGACGCCGGCTGGGACATCAACGACTTCCTCGGCGGCTACATGGGCTGCGCGCTGACGCTGGCGATTCTCTGCCGCGCCCCGGACGACTTTGTAAAGTGGCTGCTCGACCGCGGCGCTGACCCGAATGGCCCGCCTGGCGGCATTGACCATTGCGGCTATGCGCTGCGTCTGGCGGTGCAGATGCTGAGGGAGGGGGATGGAGAGGAGGGGCCGTCGGGCGTTGCGCGTATGTTGCTTGAGCGAGGTGCGAATGTGGATGAGTCGAGGGCGCTGCATATGGCGGCTGAGAACCGGGGGATTGCGTGGGTGATGTGGTTGGTGGAGGAGGGCGGCGCGGATGTTAATGCTGAGGGGTTTGATCCGGATTGGGCGGGTTCAACGGAGAGAGAGAAGGGGATTGGGTTGCCGTTGCATTATGCGGCTAGGAGTGGGAATGTGGAGATCGTGAAGTATCTGTTGGAGAGGGGTGCGGATGTGACGCGCAAGGATACTAATGGTCGTACTCCAAAAGAGGTCGCAGAGCGTCTACAGCATGACGAGGCGGCGAGGATCCTGACTGTGGAGGGAGTTAACGCATGATAATTAGTTATGAACAACCCAAAGGAGATTGGTGGACTTTTCTAAAGTTAAGGCTTGCTACTCCTGGAGTGCTTTGGTGAATGTTTCTTATTGATGCAAGGTTTGAGTATGTATCTAAGATCTTATACTTAAGCTTATTCGTAGACCACCTTTGACTCAAGTCAAATCTAGGTAGTTGAATGTAATAAAAGGAACCTTTTTATCGGGTTCTACATTAATGTGACAAATTTAAGAGTACCCTCTTATCTTTCCTGATAAGCAGCTTACTTTGCCAAGTCGCGAGGCAGAAATAGGCGCTATCGCCAACCTATAAAGATATTGTGTACGTAATTTCCCTCCTTCGTGTCTCACAGCCTTACGCCAGCTATTGACCTGGCCTATAGGCGGGAAATACAGGCGAAGACTAGTGCGAAGAATGCAAGGGCCTTAAAATAGCAGTTAAGGACGTTTGTTTCTATCATGAACGAAGAGAAATGACCCCTCGGTGATACTTAGCACAGCGAGTAAAAGCTATCGGCCGGATGTAGATGTACAATGTTACCATATATTTGTCCGGGCGACGTTCAATACACTGAAATATAACTGTACACTACCATTCGGCTGTGATAGGCCGCTGTAAAATTCAGCCTTGCTGAAAGCTATCTGGTCCGGTTTCAGCTATTTTCTAATGCAGCTTACATCCCCGCTCACGCATAGTACAGCCTGCCGTCAGCTAACTCCTTATATATCATACCACCTTTCAAATTCCTGTCTTATCTCTTCATAGTGTCCGAGCTGATCTTTGCCTTGTGTTTCAAAACCTCGTTATGGAAAGTCCTGATGCTGGCATACCATTAATCATGATCGAAAATTGTGACAGCAGGTCATCACGCGCAGCGGACGTGATACTCACGGAAATTCAATCACCCAGAGACGAGACGACAACCTCAGCACCAGAAAGTTCTTCTAGTCGTCTTCCAGCAGATGAATCCACTGATAATCCCCAGGGTACACCCGAAATGAGAGTTATTTTGGAAGAGACGCCAGTTCCAGATGATGCTCGTGTCACTGGAAGCACTGGCGAGCACTCAAACATCTCACGCCTCCGAAGACTTCACTGGTGGTGGTTCTGGGAGCTGAGCGGCATTACCACCAGTGTCTGTTGCATGATCGCGATCCTCATTTTACTTCCGTACCTCGACAATCGTCCTCTCAACGACTGGCAATTTCTCATGGCACCCAACACCATGATTTCGACATTCATCACAGTGGCAAAGACGAGCATGCTTCTCGCCGTGACCGAAGGAATCAGCCAACTGAAGTGGCACTACTTTAAGATCAAAGAGAGATCCCTGAGCGAGCTCGACCTGTTTGATGCGGCAAGTCGCGGTCCCTGGGGCGCTTTCATCTTTATTATACGTATGGTCCGAGAACCTGGGACTCTATTTCCAATGATAGGAGCTTTCGTGGTGGTCGCATCGCTCACCATGGAACCTTTTGCACAGCAGATTCTGTCTTTTGAGAGTCGCCGCGTCAACTCCACTGAGGATACAGCATCTTTTTCCATTTGTCGGGTATGGGATGACACCATTAATGGTAGGTACCACATATTCTGGTAATAATCGATTCAGATGCTGACGCCTTCGTGCTAAAGACAATAAAGGACAACACAGTATGAAATCAGCTTTCATGAAGGGCTTGGTCGACTCCCCTGCGGGATTCCGATTTTCCTGCTCTAGTGGTGACTGTACATGGCCAGACTTCTCTGCCCTGGGATTTTGCACCAGCTGCAATGATGCCACCACAGGGACTACTGAAGTACTCGACACCGTGTCCCTATTCAACGCCTCTACGGACATTGCAGTCGATGGCGACCCGGACGATTGCCTAGATCTCTTATATACTACGCCGGCTGGCGTTACGCTCCGTATGAGCAAAGGTTGCTCGTACGCATATCGCGATCATTGGTCTCCTGGGTGTGAGTCTCGCACCACTCTCCAGAACCGTAATCCGGAGAGTCTGCGATTACCCTTTCCAACTCCAAGGCCATATTCAACTTCGGACTTCCTCTCAACTACGTCACGCTCCTCAATTGAAACGGCCCGAGCAACTCAAATAAGTACCTCTGCCACAAGGGCTACCTTGTTCAACCGGGCGCCATCGGCCAAACTGTGTCAGGCAATAAAGACCTTACCGACATCGATTGCTGGTGGTGCGATATCGTCGAATTTCAATGACGAGGTATCAAACTCTACAATTGTCATATTTGCGATCTCGCAAGTAGGTGTAACAAAGAACGGCCTCTCCGGTCGGATATCAGGAAACGCGAGTATCACAGAATGTCAGTTGAATTGGTGTGAACAAATCTTCAAGAATGTCCAAGTGGTAAGAAGACACCGCGATGATTCCCATTGACTTAGTAGATGATACTGACATGACAAAAGACGGACGGGGTTCTGGAACCTTTTAATGTGACAAGTAAGCAGTTAAACGAGTCGCAGCTAAGCAAAAATATCGAGTATTTGGAGTCTTGGGTCAAGACCGGCCGGAAAAACAGTCTAAATATACCCGAAGTGTGGAGGTACGTCGCTGATCAGATGACCTTCACCGTGGCAGCGGACGGCAACCCCAAATTCGGCCTCGGGTCTGTAATCTCCGATGCTGTGAACATCCAGGAAGTTATTGAAAAAGTTGCAGAAGCCCTCATGCACCAGATGTACCTTGGTAACGGTAGCGTTGCGCAACCCGGCGCTGCGCACTCCCAAGAAGTGTTCGTCGTAGTGCGCTGGCGATGGGCAGTCTTCCCCATGGTTCTGGTCCTGCTCGGGCTCATCTTCCTGGCCGCCAACATCTGGATCAATAGTCACAATGATGTATTTTTGTGGAAGTCGAGCTTGCTGCCGCTATTGTTCCACGGCATTGATGGATGCGACCCGGGGACTCTTGATGTAGATGAGAGTTCGGAGATGACGAAGACGGCTAAGCGGATGTATGCAAGGCTAGAAAAGAATGAGACAGGCAGCACAAAGCTTATTAAAACATGAATGAAAAATACGGTCAAACATATTTCATCTTTACCAAGGCTATGAAGGGAGCGGAGGAACGATCGTTATTATTCAGCCCAGTTGGCTTTTATACACGAGAAACTCGTTCAAGCAGAACATCTTCAGCACTTTCCCCTTTTCCTGCCAGCTTCAATATCTATTTACCACAGTACGCTTCATTCACTCTTTAGAACCTTGTGTGTAGAATGAAGTGGAATGTCAATTGACTATCGTTTCTAACAACCCGATGTCAGTCTTTAAGACTACCGTTGCTAGTTAGCCTACATGTTAGACTGATTTGAACTACTGCTCAACCACTGCTGGGGTGTTTGCTGGTGTTGTGCTTCCCCGTTTCTGTAGCACCCACGCCGGGACCGCACTCTCATCCGGGTTCAAAACCTTCTCGCGAGGAACTTGGCGACCATCAACGCCTCTGTATACATTTTCCAAGTGGTTCCTTTCCTCCGTACCGATGGCGTCGTACATGTTTATAGAGTCGCGAATCTGGTCGGGGCTCAGCTGGCGGTAGTCGATGACGTTTCCGCTCGCGTCGAAGCTCCGCAAGACGCCGTCGTTTCCGAGGTGAACGACACCATGATCGTCCGCCTTTAGCGAAGATAGGAGCTCCTGGTACCGCGTGCAACCCTCAAACTATTCACATGTGAGTATTGAGGCATGTTGAGACACTGAGGCTTGTTTACCATGATCGGACTCTTATAGTTGTACGCCACAAGCAGGGTATTCCCTGCGAAGAAATTGGGCACGTAGGCTTCAGAGACTTGGAGATGGTTTTACTCTGACGCTATCTCACCAGGGTGGAAGAATAGATGATTTCGGTCTCAGGAGCGGACAACGACGGCTTATATAGCCATTGGTGCGCACGTGATACCTACACGAGGCACACGCATGACCCAGTCAAATCTGCACGATTGAAGCACGAAACAAGCAGAGCTAATTTTCAAGATCTCGTCTTACACCCACGCGCAATCGTCCTGTATCGCCCGCTAGGCTCCTCACAGAGCATTCTGCTATGTTCAATACTGTTGTCCGCTATGGCAGGTGCCGACGATGCCAGCCGAGCGAAGGGCAGCCGTGCACTCAATCATCGGAACTGTGAATGACACCAAAATCACGGTCCAATGATACAGTGATCCACCCAGCAGGCTTGCGCCACAGCGATGCCGATGTCCGATTGTAGATAAAGCTCCAAGGACTGCGGCCGAATTGGGCCCGAGCGCGGAGCTTAAGTGTGCTGAGTGCAAGAGCTGTCCGATAGCGTGGAGTGCGGAACGACCGGAAAGAGGGGTGAGAGTTAAGCGAGCCAATGTTATACGTAGTAGTGAGTCTTCCTACCACGGCTATTACAAGCTGTGTGTTGGGTTGTTAGTCTCCTGCATCTACGCCGCATCTACGCCGCATCTACGCCGCAATCCATCATCTCGTATACATCCATTTCTCCACTTTAGTGGCTTCAAAACTCGCCTACGCTGCTTTTACCATACCAACAACGCAACTTTCTCCGTCGTCGGAATCCGATGAGGCATGGTATGCCGAGTAATGGACGCCATGATCGACATCCGATGATATCGATGCGACCGTCGTATTGAAATGAGCCAAGCTTCCGTCTAAAGCTTGACCTGCTCATTTCAGACTAGCCAAACTGCCGCCTTGAAGCTTGGTTGACAAACGGCACAATGCGGGCCGGTAGATCAAGTGCATCGTCAGAATAGTAGTGTACGCCGGCCCAAGAAGGCAATGCTCGGTTTCTGGTGGTAGGCTAGCCCTGAAACCTGGTGGAAGAGGCCTTCTGTTACAATTGCCAATATCTTGTCTGAACAAGGTAGAAATTTTGCTATTCACGAGGAAATCCGGTCCGAGGCCTCTGCGGCGAGAGCTGAGCAAGTGGTCTGCAAACTGCGTGATTCTTGAGGCACAATAGATGGGAATACGAACTGTGCTCGAAGTACCAATCCTACGACGCGGCGACGTAGAGCCTGGAAGTCCTGTGATCCGCATGGAAACACACGCACACGTACATATATATACTCATCAGACGTGAGCCTATCGAACTCATCACTCTACGCCCTCGATCATGCAGTTCATCATGAAGCTTTGTCATGTCCTCGCTGCCACCCTCCTGGCTTCAGTTACAGGAGCGGTGCCGACGGTAAGAATATTTCATGATCATCTACTCTACTTGTGGCTAATCAATGTGCCACTCTCAGGCTGCTACCAACCCGTTGGATATCATTCGCGCCCTCAAGATTGACGACGACGGTTTCGTGCATACAGGTGACGATGGCGTCACCCGCTCTTACAATGCCAACAACGAAGTAATCGACTATCACCAAACCAACCCCCAGTAGCTGGAGATGCTGGTTGACTTCTGGCCCATTGCGACAGACAAGGATCATCTTCGCCAAGTTTTCGATGGGGTTGACGGGCGCGCTATTGTCGACGAGGACACCCTGCTTCATCCGCCAGAGGAACTAAAGCCGGCCTCGATCCCGGCTCCTGACTCCTCGAGCATCGATCCTGCTCTCCAGGAGAAGCGAGAAGTAGTGCAGCGACTTGCTTCAGGCAACAGTACTGCCTCCACAAAGCATGCACTACATCTACTGCATGCCGAACATTGGGATGTAGGCTCTGCTACCACATGGACACTGTAGTATCTCGTGCTGCAGTCTGTATATAGTCCAACCCAGAATGATTCAGCTTCTACATGAGATAGTACCTCGATGTGTGTTTATGACACATCAGTCCACGCATAAACAAACGCAGCAATAAAATTTACATCCATCATAACCATCAATCAGCCATAGCAAATTTTATCGTAACAGCACGTAGTTACAAAACGCTAGCTTTTTGACTAAGCCTTTATACCGCATGCTTATTGCTGTGCGGAATATGGCTAAATGAGTGCGTGCAAGGCTGGGAAAAAGCGGTGCAAAATTAGTTAACATGTGAGTGCAAATCTTGTTCGGGCACGATACACTTTCAACTACAATTGCCCAGCAGGCAGAGGGTTAATTGATTTCGTATATACATGAGCGCCTCGTACATATCTACATTTTCAGGAAACGTGATCCGGTACGTCCTGGCAAGGGGTACTCATTCTCCAAAGCTGGTTTGGAGCAACTTGTTTACGGGCAGTTGTTGCCAATGCCTGCAACTGTCAGAGTGGATATCCAATGGGAAGGATAGTACCTACAAGAGCACTCGAAGAAGCCAGGGGTGTCGAGCCTCACGCAGTCGGAGCAGTATGAGCCACCACCGCTGAGGCGGGAGTTGCAGGTGAGTGCAGCAGTGTTCTCCTGGTTGATGTTGCAGTCCCAGGTGTAGACACCGTTGTGGGCGTCACACTTGCCAGAGAGGTCAAGGGTCTCGCTGGCGGCGAAGCCGGTGATCAGGGTGAAGAGGACGGTGATGGTGAAACGCATTGTGTCTGCATGCAACCACAACGTCAGATGCATACTATCTCTTACATGAGCAGCTGCACTTACTTGCGGTTTGTTGTTTCTGTGCGGGTGATGTTGAAGGTGATGGATAGGTGGATGAGTTGGTTCGATGACGAGTAGCAAGCAACACCTTTATATCTTTCACGCACAGATATAGGCCTTCCTATTTCTGAGTCGATTTCGGCATTGAAAATTCCGATCACCTTTGCAACGCGTCACCAGGGCCCAATTGTGTGGTTTTACGACGGCTTGAATATCCGGTTTCCCCAGTCGGCTAGCCTTGTGTTTCATGTTCCGAATCGGTCGGGCCGCCTGTTTATGCCATCTCATATATAGAGCCAACTGCAAGGTACAAGTGTGGGGAAAAGTCATTGCCTGCCTTTTAAAGCGCAAACAAGCAATGCCATTCTGATGAAATGGGAGGCGATCGATGATAAGCGGGCAATAATTCTGGGCGCAAACCTTGACTTAAATTCCAAGCTTCCCCATTCGATTCGGGACATGCATTTGCCAGCTCACATCCAGCAATGACTCCATTATGACGGATCGATATTGATCTTGCTCCTGATCTCTGCTGATGCGCATACACCAGCAAGTGGTCATCGCGTTCAACCCCGCTTTCAGTCCGAGTCAGGCTGTTTCAATGGAGTCCTGAGGTTGCTTACTACTTGATTGATTATTAATGATTGGCAAGTTTGAACTTGTTGTGACTAAAAGAGATGGGGACTCTGTCACAAAAAACTGAATTCGTCTCAATTCTGCTAGCAAATGCTCAACACCACCCACTCAAAGCGGCCTCCAACAGATGGACAGCCTCACTCAAAGCTATCGACCGCATAGTTCTGGCCCTGGTAATCCTTGAAATCGACATCCCTCACCGGCCAATGGCCCGCGTCCAACATCGCCTCGACCATGCCGTTCCGGCCGCCCCACGTCTCCTCCGCGAAAGCGCGCATCAGATCGGTTCCATTCAGCAGCGTGCTCGAGCTCCAGATCTTGCCGTCGCGCACCCAGCGCCTGTCGACCCAGTTGACCAACGGCGCGTTCTTGCGCATCATGTCCAGGATCATCCGCGGGCCCGTCGCCGTCTTGCCCTCCAGCAGCCCGGCCTCGAGCAGCGCCAGGACGCCGCCGCAGACGGTCAGGAAGGCGGAGCACTGCTCGTACGCCTTGCGGATGAAGGCTTTCTCGGTCTCGCTCGTCTGGTAGCTCACGTCGTGCGCGCCCATGAGCACGATGTCGAGCGGCGGGCATGAGGCGAATGAGTCCTGAACACGCAGGCAGTCAGCTTACTCTGTTCTTTTGTGGTTGGTGGGGGAAGAAGAGATAAAAATGGGATCGTCACTGACAGTAGGCTTGATCTCAGCGCCACTCCTCATTGGCGCCGGGCTCCCGTCTTCGGTCACCCAGTGCAGCTCGATGTCCATGCCCTCCTCAACCATAGCGGCCGGAAACTTGAACTTTTGGAGGCTTTCCTTGTCGACCCAGGCAAAGAACTCGAAAGGCGCTACGTCGAGCATCTCGGTGACGCTGCGCTTTTGATTAGCATGTTGCATTTGGCGAAGGATTGAGATGCATTGGACATTACCCTCTGGTGAGGATGACTCCGGCATGGATCTTCCGGTCAGGTGAGCTAAGGTTGAAAGACATGATGCTACTTCTAACAATTTGATGAAGTTTACAGCTGGATGGTGGTCTGTAATGAGGAATGCCCAAGAACGTTGTGTGGGTTGGCCAACTCTATATATGCATGAAGTTTAAGGCCGAAGCGACCGAGCAACTGACAAATTGGGAAATGCGGGTCAGGTATTTGCATTCCTTCAGGCAACCATTTTCTGACCCACGGTGAGGAAGTCCGCCAGAAGCCGACTTTCAGCCACGGACCATCAATCTGCTCATATCGACTCCGCAAGGGCGCTGTGAGATGCTGAAAAGGCTAGCGCTCCCGGCATGTCAGCATTTACTTTTGGCTCTACGCGTATTAGTTCAGTTTGTCTGACTGTGATCCATTCGCGTAAGCAAGAATTCTGCTGCCTGGCGCCTCAGGCCCACACGCCAAGTCTCGGCCGAACACCTTCTCCACCGAGTCTCTTCCTTCAAGTGAATCATCCCGGCATCATCGAAATAATCCCGACGATAATGAATACATCGACTACTGGTGTCGCTGCATTAAATGTAGCTTAATATTCCCACGTTGCAGACATGCGACATGCTGGACAGTATTTGCGATCTCTGGGTCACTCGAGAGAAGCCTGGGTAACAGATATGCAAATTCTTCTACGTCTCAGCTATCATGCTTACAAAATAATCTTTTCTTGGCCTTTGTGATCGTTGGCCTTCGTCTGGTATCATCCGAAGTCCGATTCGGCCGAACAAAAGAAGCAATACCACCGCTACGAGATGCATAGCGGGTACTGCTATTACGACACTACCAACCAATGATGCAGTGGTGATTGGGAAAAGAACAAGCTACCATTCCCCTTTGATTTGAATGTGAACTCTCCTTTGCCAGCGCGAGTGGCGCCTGTTTCTCATTTTTGGTAACCAGGAAATAATTCTCAAAGAAGTTTCTGTGGTCGTAGAACAGTACAGTAAACCAAGACGCTGGAGAGGGGAATAAACAAGTATGAGAAACGCCAGACTGTCATACACATGCCTGGCAAAAGGAGTGCTGGGCGGTGCTAATGCAGACCCCGCTTTTACGGCCCCCAGATCACGTTACTCTTAAAGTGTCAGCTGCGCACCTGTCCGACCTCAGCCTCACTCATCACTTCTCCTTCACGTAGCTCACCCGCGATGAGCGACTACTTGGATGCCCTTCGTGTCCCCTTCATCTGTGGTGATTGGCCGGATGAAGCTGCCACCGAAAAGTTCTGGAAAAAGGCCCATGAAGACCCTGAAGAACTTGCTCGTTGGATTGATTTCGAAGCGAGCAAGGATGACCGCGGGACGGAAATCATGGAGGAGCTGTTCCAAGGCGCAATGTTCTTTGGGTTCATGCAGAGACTGTTCGGCCCAGCGGGTTTGGATGTTGCATATGAAGATTTCACCACCAGAGAGGATGACGAAGGAAAAAATGAAGAGAAAAATGAAGAAGAGTACGATGAGGACATAGACGATGACATGGATGATGTAGTAGATGATGATGACCTTGTTGAAGATGAGGTGACGGACCAGGAAAGCAACAACCACGAGAATGATGACGAAATGGCTGACGAAAGAGTTGAAAGTGAAGAAGACAATCTGGTCATTGAAATGGGACATTTGACCACTTACGCTATGTATTGGATGGCACTGGAAACCCACAGGGATGATTTCGAGGAGAGGAAGGAGTATCTGTGGCCTCAGCATCAGGAAAGATTCACCGTTGCATCAAGGGTCATCAACAGCTTGATCCGTCATCGGAGAGCCCGATATGCGCGTGATGCGTTTACCGATGGGACCGAACTGCCGCTGCTGGATACGATCATCCTTTCTTGCATCATTCTTCTCGAACAGCTTCACGAAATCCCCAGACATTTGTTCAACGGCGAAGCTTGGTTTCCGAGCTGGGAATTAGATCATGCCTTATGGTATTATCTGAGGCAAGGAGGATGGTGTAGTGGGGAGGTATGTTGTATTCAGGAGCCGCAGATGGAACCATGAACTCACAATACTACGTTGCAGATTACCACATTGCACTCCAAATTCGTTTACGCGTCTAGCCTGTTGTCCTTGAGCGCCCTCGACCGTGGCATGTTGGAGAGAGACCACTCGAACTGCGATGATGATGCCTGCCGGGCAGACTACATTGACGAAAAGACCTATCGCACGAAGCACGCTTTCAAGAGTTGTCCGTGCGCCCACATTGGTGATGATAGACAAGGCGAATCCCAGATCATGCAATCACTAGGCCACAATATCATACCAGTGATCACAGTAATCCCTCACGAGGAATCACCAGAAGGCATTCAGATTTCTGTTTCAGCATCAGACGCAGGTCCGTACGTTGCGATATCACATGTCTGGTCCGATGGTCTGGGAAACCCCACAAGGAACACCCTCCCGGCGTGTCAACTACGTCGAATCCAAACCTGCGTCGACGCTCTATATGATGAAAGCAAGAGACCCATTCCATTTTGGATAGACACGATATGCGTACCCCGTGAGAAAGAAGCCCGCAAGAAAGCAATCAGGATGATGGGACAAACATACGAAGGTGCGGATAAGGTTCTGGTCTTGGATTCATGGCTGCATCATATGGGACTTGACGATGACGACGATATCGATAGCGGACTGAGCTGCCTCAAGATCAAAGCGTGTACGTGGGCATCGCGTCTGTGGACTGGTCAAGAGGGCATGCTCGCTCGCAGCGATCAGCTTTACTATCAGACGGCAAATGGCCCTGTGTCGGAGATCATACTTACCGACTTCTCCGATCCCACCACCACGGTGTCGGGCCTTGAATTGGTGGACGCGTATGTGGGAATCAAGGGAGATCCCCTCAAGGAGCGGCTACCTTCGGTCCGCGATCTCCTCATCCACACGGTTCTTCGTATCAAAGAGATTCAGGAGCTTGGAGAATTGGAACATCGCAAATACTCCCGAGGAGAGGATATTGTCATGCCGGAGACCGACTTTCCATGGGAGCAAGGCCGAGAGTTGTTGAGGAACCTAAACCACTTCAGACTTGGCGAGAATGTTCGAGACGAGGGCAAAAGCTTCGTTCGGATGACACGTTGGATGTTGAAAGGGTCTGATAATAAGCCTTTTCTGAGAGTGTGGGGCACGATGGGGAATGACATTGTTGCAATCGGGTGGGCCATGAGAAACAGGTCAACAAGCAGGATGGAGGACGAACCAATCTGCATTGCCACTCTTCTGGGCCAGGATACGGGTCCACTCCTTGAAGAACCATCTCGAGAAGAACGGATGAAGATATTGACCTCCAAATTAGGCAAAGTGGCGTACAGCTTGATGTTCGCACAGGTGGAGCGCATTGATGAAGATGGCTATCGCTGGGCACCGAGATCTTACTTTCAGAACAGAACAGCTGGCTTGCCACAGTATGGAGGGTTCCATATCGGCGAAGTACGAAGAGAAGGGCTCCTTTGTGACCGCCTGGACGCTATTCTTCTTGAGCCAACACAGCTCCCATTCCAGCGGGATGTACTGGTGATGGTTGAATCTGAGCATTATCAAATCCGTGCGTTGACTGAGGTATTCTACCCACCCAAAGCGAGCTCAGCCCAGCTCGCAATCCTTTGGCCCACTAAGGAAGAAAGTCTCGCTCCCCAGGAGAACGATGCAATCATTGTTGAGGTCAAGCAGCAACAAGGGAACACCTTCTTTTCCGGATTTGTTTGTCTATCGTCTTTCGGGAGGGGTTCTGAAGACCCGGAAGCCAAAGCGATTCCTGGAATCTTCCTAAGGGCGCAAGAACATCAATGGTGCGTAGGATAGAGACGCTCAAACCTGGCGTGTTGAAGCAGAGTTCATCTGGAATATGGGTCGTTTTTCCTATCACTACTAGAGCAGTCGTGGGACCACCGGGAGTTATAAGCGCTCGAGATGTTTTTCACTTCTATTATAGTAACACGTCAGTGATGGCCCCTTGAGAAAGCTGCATAAGCATAGAGCGGATTGCGAAATGCGGAGTGACGTTATTGTAGCTGTATTACTGGGCACCTCGGCAGCGGAATAGGTTTCAGCGTGTACCCGATTCTATGCTTAGTTTCTAGCTTAGATATCTGTCTAGCGCAAGCGTCTCCGGCATGTTCATCTTCCGCAAAGCGGACCAGTGCGAACTATGCGGGACGAAGCAGTCCCGCGGATCCGACGCACGAATGCTACCATATTGGGCAATAAATGTAGAGAAATAGCTTCTGCGCCCCCGCAGTAAGTTTTTCCGATCGTCAAATGATTCAGGTTCAATGGCGTTGAAGGCGCATTTAAAGCCTTACGCCCGTCCAAGGCACACGGAGATCACGGAGTTTGGCGGAGTTAAGAACAGCTTGCCCAGAAACTTCCTTCCTTGCCATTGAACTGCATCCAAGTTAGGAACACTGGAGATGCAGAGAAAGACATAGTTCGAATATGTTCAAGTTGTGTACTCTGCATAATCTTGATCGTTGTCACTCGAGTGTCCGAAGCCGGGCGCACAGACATAGGATTCCAATTGGTCCAATTCGGTGCCTCTGCAAAACTCCAAATTCAATGAAAATGAACAGCCGGAACACACACATTCGGGTAGCCGATACCCGATAGCCGACGTCTTTCTGGCTTCAAGGCTTGGACGAGTTGCGCGGTGAAGTACATATAAAAGAGCTTCTTCATATGGTCTTAGTGACTATTGACAGCAAGTTTCAATCGCCTGCATTCGCCGACTCTCTTCGAAGATACGCAGTTTTCACATCGGGTTCCTTCAAACATCTCTCACTTGAAGCATCCAAACATGTCTCCTCCAAGCTCCATCCCTACCCGAAAGCTGGGCAAGAACGGTCCTCAGGTTCCGGCCATTGGCCTCGGCTTGATGGGACTTAGTATCTTCTACGGCCCTGTAGCCTCGGAAGAAGAAAGGCTGGCTTTCTTGGACAAGGCGTACGAACTTGGTCAGACGAACTGGGACTCTTGTACGTTAGGATATCTCTGGCTCTCTACCTTTCCCGCTTTCTTAAACTCTTCATTTCCGACCGATTACACATACCAGAAGCTTTTTTTTTCTGTTATTTGACCTTCAAGACCTATGGTTGGCTGACCACGATCTCTCTCCACCTAGCCGACTTCTACGGTGATAATGAAGACCTGTTGGGCAAGTGGTTCGCCCGCAACCCCGACAAACGCCCCCACATTTTCCTCGCCACCAAATTCGGCTTCGTCGCTCAACCCGGTGGACCGCCAAAGATTGACTCCTCTCCCGCCTACGTCCGGACCGCACTGGAGAAATCTCTACAGCGCCTGGGCCTCCCCTCCGTCGACCTTTACTACTGCCACCGCCTCGACGGCGTCACCCCGGTCGAGAAGACGATGCAGGCCCTCGTCGAGCTGAAGAACGAAGGCAAGATCAAGTACATCGGCCTCAGCGAGTGCAGTGCCGCGTCCCTCCGCCGCGCCTGCGCCGTCGCGCACGTCGACGCCGTGCAGATCGAGTACTCGCCCTTCTCGCTCGACATCGAGGACCCGCGCATCGGCCTGCTCGCCGCCTGCCGCGAGCTGGGCGTCGCGACCGTCGCGTACAGCCCGCTCGGCCGCGGCATGCTGAGCGGCAAGATCCGCTCGCCCGACAGCCTAGAGGCCGGCGACCTGCGCCGCATGCTGCCCCGCTTCACGGCTGAGAACTGGCCGAAGAATTTGGCGCTTGTGGACAAGATCGAGCAGCTGGCGCAGGAGAAGGGGGTTACGGCGACGCAGTTGACCCTTGCGTGGCTTTTGGCGCAGGGAGATGATATCATTCCGATTCCCGGGACGACGAAGGTGGACAGGGTCATGGAGAACTTGGAGGCTGCGAAGGTGGTCTTGACGAAGGAGGACGTGGAGAGGGTGAGGAAGGCGTGTGATGAGGCCACTATACACGGTGGAAGGTACCCGGATGCTATGGCGGCGATGATGTTTATCGATACGCCAGAGCTGTAAGAGGTGTTGATGGCTGTGGCGTGATGTCCACTGAATTCAGTTTCATGTCTCACTAAATCAATTACATGGCCATTCTGGTGTGAAACCGTGTCGGGCAGTTCAATTACCTGATTGTTTCACTTTTTCTGTGCTTTTTTTCCGTCTCTCCATCTTACTCAAGTATCTGCCATCCCTCCTGCCTGTGACCTATTCAGAATTTCCTGCACGTGAGACGGGAGGAAGAAGTTCTGCGACAACCCTGTTGAAGTGAGGGCGTGGAGCCTCGTCAATCCCAGCCGCATCATCGGCCATAAACGGCTCTGGCAGCTTATCGCGCGGTCCCACAGATCCAGAAGCTGTTTCGTCTTGGCGGCATGCTCGGCGTTGGGAGCCTGAACCAAAAGAAGGAGGATGAAGTTTGATGTTACAGCGAAGCTAATGCGAGACCCTATCCAACAGATCAACTTATCAGAAGCAAGCGAGAAGCAGCAGATGATGAAGGGTGGAAAATACGTACACGAGTGCCAGAAACAGTTCAGGTCATCGAAGGCGAGCCCTCGGACTGAGTTGATTACCCTGGCTGCACAATTCTCGGCAGTTTGAAATATTTCATCTGCGACTGCAGATTGGGAGTTTGTAATGTCGAATGCTGGAAAGGGTGCAACCTCTCGCAGCTCCGAGAAATCCCAGCTGAAGTCGTCCAGGGAAGTGGCTGGATCGATTACCGGCTCTTCGAGGTCGATTATGTGAGGCGGCCTGGATGATCGTACAGTTGGGCGAAGTAGAGCCCGATAAATGTAAACGACGAGGGTAAGGTAGGCAAAGTATATCGAGTATGGACATTCGCTCAAAGCGTTGGTTTGCGCGCGGGATCCAGGTGCTGGGAAGGATGAACGCCAGATGCTCAGCTGATCAAGAAGCGGTCTCGCTTTCTCGATTGATGCATTGAGGTTTTCCGAAAGGATCTGGCAAGCCCTCAGTGTGCTTTCGGCCTGTTAGTAAAGAGGATTTTCGAGAATGCGAACGGAGAACTGACTAGAGATCATTCTGAACTGACTCAGCAATCATCGTCAAATCCATGAAACGCTTGAAAACTATATGCGTTTGATCCTGAAAGGGTGCAAAGTCAACCGACTGCAGTTCAGTAACATCCCACTCTTCTCTCCGGATGAATGGCGGGCGACCCATCAAAAGAGATCTCCACTTGTCTTCAGCATACACTGCCCACCATAGTCTCTTCCGAAGCCGCTTTTCCCAATTGGGGAGGCCAAACATTCCGCATTCAAGCTGCAGGCCCAAGGATGTAGCAAGGCCAACAGTGCTACCCACAAGGGACCAAAGAAATGGAGTGTCCGGCAAAGCCTGGTTGGATTCATGTGCTGGGTTTTTGTGAAGATATAGAAGAAGCGATTGAAGTACCGAAAGATGAGGTCGGTGAATCTCCACAAGTACGAGTTCATAAACTATCCGCCATAGCCTAACGAGCGAGGGCTTATTATAAGTTTGCCAAATTGAGAGATGATTATCATCAGTTGAAAAAGGCAGAGCTGATGCGTAAATTGCTGCACGCAGGTGAACTGGCATAGCCTCTAGCTCATGCAGTCTTGGAAATGGAACGTCGGGAGTGATTCCAAGCTGTGAACGTGAGATTGTAGGCAATAGCGGAAATATACGTTTGCAGAATCTGCCCGAAGTTCATTAATTTCAAAGTACACTGTAGTGAGGTGCGACGTCTTACAACGCTACCAGCCTGGGACCATATTCAAGAGGCACAATGTGGTTGAGCTCTGTGTCATAGTCGTTTTCGGCATTGATTCTGGTCTCATCTCCGACATTTTCATGGAGTTCATTCGTGCTGATCATAAAATGTACTGGGATCTTCTGCGCGATAGGAACCCCACCAACGTTGCGAAAGTGCGTTTTGTGGAAATTGCGCATCCCAAACTCATCGAACTGGCAGTGCCTCAGCAACCAGGGATCCGATTCGGAAGACGCTCCGAAGAGCTGAGCGGAGTGATCTTGGATCTTGTCAATGCTTTGCGAGAATTGCGTGGACAATCGGGCATCCGGTATTTGCTGGGGCGTGATGGATGAATCGGCGGTGATCGAAGGTTGTTCGAGTCCGATGGACAGCCCTGCATCTCTACTGCATTCCTGTGAATGGTGTGCGTGTGAGACGGGACTGTTCCGTGAGTGAGCTGCTGATATTGTCGACAATGGAGTGTGTGCCAAAGTGGCGAAAGGGCTTTCAGGGTCATTGTTTGTCGGACTGCTGGGAGATTGTTGCATGGACATTGACTGCCCGTCGCGTCGAGACCGTTGCCATGGATGACTTTGGAACGTGCAGGAAACACCCTCCCGCGAGCATCTGTAGCAAGGGGGCCCGTTCTCGTTCTGGCATCGCAACTTCCTATTGCGACATTCATCGCATGGTCGAGGCCGTCTTAACGAGCGATATGGTCGAGTTGCAGAGCGTGAAGCCATGTTTCGCGCTCCTCCGAGACAATGAGGAGTAGTTGGCCATTGTTGCGGAGAGATCAGAGAATGCCGTGCTTACTTAGGTAGCTTCGGCCAAATTTTCGCCGGCGCCTTCTAAGCTCGTTGAACCATTTCGCCGAATATACCTACGCTTCAGCAAGGACCAAAAGCAAAGTCCAGCGCGTGCCAAGCCTTTCGTTGGGCAGACGTCATAGGTTGAATAGATTCGCAAGACGATACATAAATGGCATTTCGACGTTCGTTCCTCGTGGCCCCACGGAGAAATTGTCTTAATTCGTCGCCTCAGTCCAACATCCATAAATAGTCGGCATACTGACCATTTATTCTTCATCCTACATCACTTACCCATCATCTTCCCAATTGACTCCTGCTTTCTCAGCTGACTCTCTATGAAGGACACTCCTTCGTAGAATTGTCGCTGTAGAAATAGTCCTTCGCAATCGTGACAGAGTCAATATGCCAAGTCTTTCCTTCATCGGACGTGCTTATGCAGCCAGAGGTACTAGAGCCGTGGCTAATGTCCAACGTGTCACCAAATTTCTTATCCGCTGCGCTCAAGACGACTGTGATATTCTTCCACGCTAAGGAAACATTATCAGTATAATTGAAATTTCTCCCGAGCCATAGTTACTTACTATAGGCATCCAAAGTTCCGCAGGTACCCCTGTAGCACTCGTTCCCCGAATAAAGCACCGTAGGTGCCGAGCCATCGGCTGGGTCACGTCAGCTAAGAGAAGTACCGTAAGAACCGCGTAACATACTGTCAGATCTCTGGGAAGACAGCTTGCCGTTGATCCACACTTTCTGCTCCACGTTTTTAGAGCTGTCAATATTTACTATAGTTGTGTCAGCCATTAAAACTCAGCGAAGTTGTTTCGCAAGGATGAGAGTGCAGACACTCGAAGTCAAGAGTAGCATCCAACGGGACGGCATCATAGTCTTCTGCTACTTGTTCAGCTGTGATTATATCAGTGTACATACACAAAAGGCAATATTAGAGAAAGGGCGTACATGGCGTATAGGTACTCGCTGCAACGCACCACTGTTTAGATGTCGCAGAGCATCCACTGTTCAGGAAAAACACTGTCAATTTGTACCCAAGCGAACGGGTCACGAGAAGAACTCACGTAGCCTCTTGGTCCTCTTGCCAGTTCAGGAGTGGCTGGAAAAGGTCGGCATTCTGGTCGTGGAAGTCTTTTGCTACGCCAATCCAAATGGACATCCACATGGGGTCATTTTCGTCTTCCGTAACAGCACCGCAAGGAACATCCGGTGGATTCAGAGACCATGACACCTTGGCGATATAGGTGTTGCCTGTCGTGGGGCCAAGAGAGAAATTCTTTCCAAAATGCCACTCATCGGCCGAGGCTTGAAGGACAAGACAGAGCAGAAAGATAGATAGGGAGTAGCGCATCCTGATACTTTAGAAGTGCGTCTCAATTTGCACCGGTTGGGAGCAAGAGCACTACGGAGCGAACAGTCTTAAGGAAATCGCTGTGGTGGCCTGATACTTTTGCCCCCAAAGCCCCGCTCCATCTTTAACTTTTTCTTAAAAAAGAACAGCAACTCCAATCAAGAGCTCAAATTTGAGCAAGACTACTAAAATGGTATGACCGATGCTAGAGCTTCCAATTGGTGGAAATAGCGAGTACTAGGTGCGAGTTATACGCGCAACTTTAAACTCTGCGTGGGACGATTATGGTTAATATATCAGGCCTCTTAGACTCTTTAGCCTGTTGGAGTTGGTAGACAGTCAAGAAAAGGCAGAAAGATGTTTGATATGTCAGTATACTTGCGGATAAAATCCTGATCGGCCCATAAGCGAGATGAATACGAAGTCGAAACTTTCTGGTTTTAAACAGGTACCCTTGATTGGCCTGATGACCCAGCGATCGAGCAGAGCCAACATGTTCCGGACTGTTGAACCGCTGGTCACATACTAATCACAAGATCACGGCATATGTGACCCTGCTACTCTGATTACTACACAGGGCAGTTTCGAGGTTGTTTGCTGTCACACCAGCTCAAATCAAAAGAATCCGCTGTCTACTTAGGAGGATGGAAATGTTCCTCCGGGAAAAGTGCGAGTTTGAGCCTTAAAAATAATAACGGTTCTGTCCAGTCACATCAGAACGTGAGATCAATCTAGTTAAATCTATTTCTCCCCTTGACCGCTATCAAGCCGCCTGACTAAATCCCTTGTACTGGCTTATCAGTCGTGTCGAATGCGTCTCCGTTTTGGTGGGGTTCGGATAGTAATAAGAACAAACAGCAATAATCAGGTAAGCCACAAGGCACAGAAAGCCTCTGAGGTAATCGCTTCTACCGTCGCGCAAGAAGCTGCCAACTACCAAAATAGCAAGAATGAGGACGATAGCTTGAAATGGCTCAAAGGCCAAGCTCATGTCTTTCCCTACACCCCAGCCAATGAAAATGATGATGGGGGTAATAAGCATAACGGTCTGGATACAGGATCCGACAACATGGAACAACGCGAAGTTCATTCTGTTGTCAGAAGCGTCGCCAATAGCTGTCAGATGCTCAGCCGCTTTTTCGACGACTGGAACAAGGATTAAGCCAACAAAGGCATCCTTAACGTGACGCTCTTCGACGATAAAGTGAATCTGGTCTACGAGCAGGTAAGCGATGCAACAAACGCAGCCGACAGAGATAAATAGAGCGAGAAGGCATTCGCTAAAGCTGAGTTTTTCCTCTTCAACAGCCTTATCGTGGTTCTCGCCTACTATCAGGTCGTGATTGAAGACGTCGGAATACAAACTGCGGTGCGAATTTGTTTGGTACCACAGGTAGCTGGGCACATCAGCAGCTGAGCAACACAGTTCGCTTTCATATGACTTACACCATGTAAGAGGCTAGTAGAATGAAAGCTGTCCCACGGCTTATCCTAAGGGCATCCAGATCGAAATCTCCAGTCCCGCCATATTCGGTGTCCTGAAGGGTGTTGATATAGGCAGAGGGAAGGATCAGAGCCACTGTCGCCGATTAGAGCCAGCCACATGTAATTTGAGAACAAACTTACTTCCAGCTACCAAAATAAGCGCACCTCCGACTTCTCCAATCGCAGAATGGAACTTCTGCTCTTCGCGTTTCATGCCGCCAATGAAGAAGCACAGGCCAATGCAAAACAACAGATTGGCAAGAACAGATCCGAGAATGGCGGCTTGGATAATTTGAATCGGATCGAACGTCTCCGAGGCAGTCCTGGTAATCAAAATGGTAAAGACCACTATTTCAACGATGGACCCCAATGTTGTCTCGATGATCAGTCCAACAACATTGTATACCTTGCGCACAATTTGCTCTCCGCCGAAGCCAATCAAGTTGGCCGCTGGGACCATGGCGATGTAGTTGAGGATGAAAATCGCAAGATGCCAGCTGCCGGATTCGTCGTGACGCTTGACAAAACCCTGTCGCCGAAATCTGCATTAGCACACCAGAAGTCTAAACAAATTGTTTTTCTTGAAGACATACAATAACTATCGCCGCGGGCACGACGACCCACAAGACGTTGAAGTACCTGCATGGAGCTGAATGGTTGAAGCAGGTACGAACGAAATGCTTGAAGTGAATACCATGGCGGCCGCTTTCGCCAAGATCGTGGATACCGAAAACAGTCGGTGTGCCAGTCCTTGTGCCAGCTTCCAGCGTGCTAAGATCCGAAGCGTCGAAAGGCTCTTCGATTGCGTCTTGACGGTTCGCCATTTGTCTTGGCACTTTGAGAATTTCTCGACAAGAATCGAGTCCTGATTAGGCTTCGCATGAGGTCAAAGAACTTTAAATGTATCGTCCGGATAAAACGGGAACAGAGTGTTGCAAAGCAGCCGAGGCTGCACCGGATCTACGTTGAAGGCGGTGTCGGTGTCAGCGTGATGTGGCAACATTGTTTTCCGGCCACTTCTTGGGAAACCACGACTGCAGCCAGAGATGCTGCATCGAGACTACTTGGGATGGAAATAGTGGGGCAGTAAGGGGGTCGACGGAACTTCGGCCTGACTTAACGGTGAACTGCGGCCTGTGGGGTGGATTGGCGGTGCCGTGCACCCGCGAATTCGTGGACACATTCCCACTTTTTTGACGTCAGCCTAAGCCACATTTATAGGTATGCGGAGCGCCTGACCTTTGTAAGCAGCCTATCGAGGAATCCAGGGGCTTGATGTATTCAAGCTCAAACTCAGTTCTTGGCTGGCGTGGGTTCATATTTACTTGGTTGCTTCCGACTATGCTCCACACCATCTTTGATTGTGCGACACTTGCCTGAATAGCCATCACGCCATGGAACAAAAAACAGCTCCAATAGTTAAAGACGAGTAGGAGCCATAAAGAGGCACACTACCGCGAGGTGCCACTCAGCTATAGTGCTTCTCTTAAGTACTAGTGGCCAAAGCTCTTGGTAGAACACGTATCTCAGACTAACTGAATTCATTCCCGACTATAAGCAGCACAACTTTCGAAGCCAAAGCCAGTCGTTTAATGTTTACTATCATGGCCAATGAAGACACTTCATTGGGTACGACCCACCGAAGACATAACTGGAACACTTACGCAGCCAACAGCTTTCTTCTAATTTCAGATAGATCATCATTCTCTACTTCCCTTGCCTCAACAGCCCCGCTCACCTCTGCCTTCAACTCTGATATATTGGAAGCTTCGAAAAATAGTGTTCGAGATCACCACAAAATAGCAAAGGAGGAGGAGATGAAGGCCTATACCTAACCTCTGAATCTGACAAATGTACTACAGTGTTAACTTTGCCTGTAGCTCTACTCCTCTAGGTGCATCATCCTCATCCAATTTCAGCAACGCGGCATGCTTTTCCATTCCCCACGCAGAAATTGTCTCTGCTGCCCATGGAACCGGTGGCTTGGACTCCCAAAACAATGCAAAAGCGCGCCCTTCTCCATCCTCCGCAGCAGCCACACGACTAACCCTTAGAGAGAGGTCCGCCTCGTCGAATTTTCCCCGCATCTTCACATCCTCGTATTGCACGCCCATCTGGATGTCCATGTTATTGAGCTGCGGCATGCGCCGCACCGCATGCCCTGCGGCCGCAAGCAGCGGATTGATGTGCTCTTCTCGAGGCGTACGGAAAATGTAATCGCTTGGGTCGAATAGGGCCGGCACATGGATGATGATGTCCTCGTCATACTCGCCAGGTGCCTCTACGTACCAGTTCCCTGTTTGATGTGCCGTCAGTACTCGCCCAAATTGAAGATACACGGTGCTAGAAAACTCTGTTCGTTTCGGCGTGGGTGAGTCGCATTGGTGAGGATGATACGGGAATAGATGCTCTTACCGCAAGGGTCAAGTGGGGCGAACAAGAGCGAAAAGCTGAGTAGGTGTGGCCAATATGGTTGCGGAGTTGAAGCTGGCTCGTTTGGGCCGGGCCAAAACAGCGCGGGTGTTATTCGGATATCCATGAGGGTGAGAAATACCAGGCGCGTTGAAATGTCTCTGAGGCTTATGGAAAGGGGGTCATATGGGAGTGAGGTGTAAGAAGGCCAGTTGGAATACCCTCTGGATATGTAGTTGAAGTTGGCTACAAGGTTGACGATGGTATTCGGGAGGACAGAGATGGCCGAACTTAGCTCTAAAATAAGGTTGACAAGCGGCATTAGCATGTTCATCCGAGCGAAAGCTGGGGTCAAAGACTGCTAGTCGGCACCTTCTCGGTAATCTGTCCAGAGTCTTCGCTCCGTGACAGCGATGTCCAGGAGATTGAGGAAAGCATTTCCAAGTCCATGGAAAGAGGTCAATATATTAAGCAATGCTGGTGGCCATAAGCGCGGCAGATTAGAGCAGATCGAATCAGACAAGCCGAAGTAGCTTATGCAACGCAGCCGCGGCAGCGGACCGCCCGGTAGATTGAGGTACATCTCATCCCTACGCCGCTTTTTGACTGCCTTTCCATCACCATCATCTGTCGTCTCTACGGGTTTCTCAGGAGCGATAGCGATGTGTCGAAGCTCCAGTTTGAGGCATCTATGATCCGGTACCGGCGGCCACTCCTCCAATACCTCCCAAAACTGCCGGACTGAAGCCGAAAACATCCGATCGTTGGCGTTTCGGCCTTCTTCTGTGCTTGCTTCTTCGGAATCTAGTGGCGACTGAATGCTTGCACAGAAGATGATGTCGCGGGGGATCGCACGGCGCCGGGCAGGATCTCGACTCATCATCTGCTTGAAGCGCGTTGTGGTGAGAGGTCCGCGCAAATGCTCAGGAATATCGTCCGAATAAACGATGAGATCCTGAAAACTCTCCCTCTCGGTAGCAATGTTCCATGCCCTGTTAAGCGTTGCGTACGGCGCAAATTTCATTGGATACAGAATTGATCGCGCCCAAGGAGTGTGGTGTTCCGTGCCCGGCGGATCGTGAAGTAGCTTGAGCTCCTGCACGATCTGGAAAACTATGTCGTATGGAAGCTCTTTCATTTTTGGTGGACTTTGGGGGAGTGTATGTTGTGGAATGAGTCCAAGTAGCAGGAAGGGGCTTAAATGCCAGTGGCGGGGCTTGCAGATAAGCGAAACGTATCACGTGCTTCAAGATCATGCCCACTCACAGCTTACCATTGCGAGAGGTAGTTCTTCTCGCTCCAAGTCTAGAGCGCCTACCGTGTATCTCGTGCTGACTTTCACAGAATCATGAGGAATCAAATAGAGTGTAAAGGAGTGGATATGCTATCTACTTTCCACTGTAAAGTAGGAAGCACTAAATGTCTAGACTGCTAAGCTGCAAGGCCCAAGCCGCGAGGCCCAAGCCCACACCGGAATCACTATGCGCGTCCACTAAGGGGCAACAATAGTGGGCTCAATCTTGAAGTCGTCGGCAGTGCACTGCTGCTGGCCCTGCTGAGAGGGGTCGTCGACGCAGTTCAGCGTAACGTTGGCCGTGCCACTAGCAGAAGTGTGGTCGTCGGGACTGTTTTCGCAATACTGGGTCAGCCTGAGTCCTCAGATAGTGAGCTGTAGGCAAACCGGTCTACTTACCCGTCGGCGCCCCACAGCCAAGAAACGGAAAGAGTCTTGAAGTCGTCGCCAAACACGAACTGCGGAGCTCCATTGCAGAAGCGGAGCTCATTCGGACGGACGGCATCATCGCCGCAGATGGTCAGGTCGCCCGTGTTGGGCTCGTTGACGTAGAAGTAGACGTTGGCAGCGTCGGAGCCGGCGGCCTGAGTGAAGTTGAAACCGGTGACCTCGAAGGACTTGAGCGCAGCGCGAGGGATGGAAGCGGTGTAGGCCGCGGTGGCGAAACCGAAGATGGCGAAAAGAGCGGAGTGCATGTTGATTGCGGGATTATGGATTATTCGAGAACGAATGGCTTTGATAGAGAGTGTGTTGGTATGGTTCTTCTACTGACAGCGATGACACTCTTCCTTTTATAGGATGCCTCTTAGGCGGACAAAGGGGCAATGCCATCTTCTGGTGCTGGCCACGCTCCACTATCCGGTCTGCCAGCACTTGGTGATGCGGTGGTTACACTCGTGCGCAAGGCGGACTGCAACTACACCAGCGCACAGCCTTGGCCTTGTCGATCTTGAGAACGACTCAAAATACGAGGCATGGGAGTGCCGTTTTCCGAGACGTTGCTTAGAAACCGTAGAAGAGACGAGTAAGTCCCTGCTAATTTTGTGGTCGTAGCTGTGCTGATCGCGCGCTTGTTGGGATATTTTTGAGGGTCAAGGCAGATTCGAGGCAGATTCGCGGCTGAGCCGAGTTAGGAAAAGGAGAAATGAGCGTTGGCTGCGAACAAGTTTCTCCGCGATAAGTTCGGCGAGCGCCGCCACAAACTGCCGAGAAGCAACAGCCATCTGCTCTTTGTCTAGACACAGCCTCCTAAGGGCTTAGAATTGTAGCATACTCGTACACTTCAGCCACTCTGATCATCATGTAGGGGAGAAGCTATGTTTCAGGCTGTTCACGCCAAAGCTTTGGACGAAAGGAGTTATTCTATTGCTCTCATATTCATTTTCAATCGTCCTTCAGCCGCGACTTCACGGTGCACTAATGCAAAGACGCAGCTGGTAGGGCAACAACGGAGAATCCGATGCAAGCACCAGAGCCTATCAATAGCGCTATGGCACCAATGCCTCTGGCCAATGTACCCTTGTGGCAGTTTCCGCCCGCGAAACTCGAGCGGGCATTATTGAGTTCAAAATGATTGGATCCCGAGCATGCCGAATGGCCCGCATAGGTGATGAGGCCATGCATACGTGTTGTGTCATCGGCCGAACCCGGACTCTGATTTCCACGCGTTTCTCAATCACACAGTCCATCCCATCGGAATTCGTCTATTTCCGAAATCGTGTCACACACTGATGAAAGCAATACAGGCGTTTGATGCTTCGGATGTATTTCTCAATTTATTAAACAAAAGCTTCTAGTGAGACGTCTAGTAGAAGGATGAGAGCAGCTAATCTGAAGTCAATGGGGTTTGACTGAGACCTTCGTGCGGGCTGATGACAGTGTCTGCCTTGCAACGCAACCCCGAGCCCGGAGCTAATAAGCCGGCTTTGCCGGTTTAATGGATAGGGGTATCACCTGCGCGCTATGTCTGGAAACACGACAGGATCGAAAGATGTCGAGAGGTCGGAACACAGAGGGCGATACTCAGGTGGCGTTGCTTGCCGTTTCCATTGCATCGTCCATCCCTCAACGGAACCACTTTGTCACTACTATATAAGCTGAGTGAGCAAACCTTCTTGCATTTCAATGGAGAACTAAGAACAAGGCTTGCGAAGCGCAGGTGTCCCTTAGGCCTCTTTCAAACCCCCCCGGCTGCCAGCTCCACCGATCCTATCTCGTAATCTTCCCCTGGACTCATTCTCGGAAGTCCCATCACTTATTCTGAACATACGAGTAAGGCGAGCTGTTCACCATGGACACAAAGTAGCGGAGGCTAACGCACATCACTTTGGTTTGCAGGGCATTTTAGTACTCCGCGATACGTTCTGGCATCGGAAAAGGGCACAGATACTCGAGTCTCAGCATTTACAAACGTAGTGGCACCACACGAGAGAATCGCATATACTTTTGCCGTGATGGAGACGCGGAGAAGGGCAAGACTCGATCGAGGACAAAGGCAGAGGACCGATCGCGGGGAAGGGAAAAGGGTCTCAGCCCCCGAATTGGGATCTCGCAAGCCTATAGATGCACATATTCGTATCGCCGAGCAAGCAGAGAAGGGCCAGGCTGGTCAGCCCCATGCAAGCGACGTGAGACGGCAATGCTGAGTTTCTATCTTGCCCGTTACCATATGGAGAGACAAAGAATAGCTTTCTACCCGTCACCCCCTCTTACATCTATGCGTGTCGGTTCGCAGGCTAAAACGCTAGCGAAAACCTTGCGCCCGTGGCAAAATGCACTTAACTACGGAATCCCCATGGGAGTTTGGCTAGTGAGACAAAAGTCAAGCACAACATCAAGATAGTAGGAGATCTTGCTAAAGGTCTTTTATGATGAGATGTAGTGGGTAATGTTCACATAACCCACCTCGGGGTAGCTGTGAGCTGTTGATGTGGACGAAAGTCGGTGGCAACTGCCCCGATTCTTCTACCAACGCAGCGTTTACCTTGGGAATCATGAAAAGGTCCTTTATCATAAAACTCGATCAGAGTATTCCTCGCCAAATTCATTGGCGTGGCTTTCGTGTGATGCCACTTTGCCTCCCTTCACAAATCGCTCTGCAAACCCCACATGATTACTCAACCCCGCCGAAACCCCCGCACAACAACGATTGGACTGTTCCCGCAACCTTCATACGATTACTCAACCACACTGCACACAACTGTACGCTTACATTCCAGCTCTGTAGCCTGCATCGCATTCTGCCTAAATGCACCAATAGACAAAAGCAAGCCTATCCCAAATAAGACTTGTTTGTGTTGAGTTGAAGCACAAATCAAAGTCGCTTACGCGCCCTGCTATGTCATCGTGTATGCCTCCAGTAATCATATTCATCATCTTGCGGTTTCATGTCTACACGCTTGGAGTGATGAGCCAGTATAAAAGACCGTGGGTTGAAGCAGGAACACCAAGCTAGCACATCAACTCACTTCAGATCAACGAAACGGAACAATTTAACTTTCTCAAAAAATCAAGTCATGGCTACAATCACCAGCACCGATAAATTAAGCCCGTATTTCCCTTCGGCTGGCGTCGCGAACGATGGATGGTCCAAGGAGGACGAAGCGACAGCCACCTGCTTCTGTGGCGCCGTGCAGTTGTCATTCGTAAGTCTGCTGTCCCATCCTTGCGCATTACATGGTGCCCGCTGACACCACGATCAAATAATAAGCCAACCCAAGGCCCTGGGTTTATTGACAGCTTTGTCTGCAACTGCTCCGACTGCCACAAGATTACGGCGTCCATGTTTGCTTCCAACTTCACCATCGCCGACACGCACCTCACCCATCTACGCGGCCGCGAGAACCTCACCAGTTACAGCCAGTCGCGCACCGTTGCGTCGGGGAATACCATGACGAATTACTTTTGCTCCACATGTGGTACGCTTATGTACCGTGTCGGCTCGGCGTTTCCAGGAATGAGTATTCTGCGGATTGGTACTGTGGATGACTTCCACCTGCATGAAACCAAGTTGAGGCCTCAAGTGGAACAGTTCACCAAGCACCGTGTTGGGTGGTTAAATGGCTTGGAAGGGGTCAGTCACTTTGAAGGGGAACGTGTTCGACCTTAAAAGTGTATAGCAATACGCCAATGGTACTGTTATCTCGCATGACCATTTGTTTCGACTGGTGTGTGAAAGTAGCGAATTCTGACTGAAAAGTAAGAGCCAAGGGAAATTACTTTGTATCGATAGGGCTAATGAAGGGGTGGGGGGCGAGAGAGACGAAAGTTGAGGCGGTAGCCTTGCTGTGCCACATTTAAGCGCCCGCCATCCACGACAACAAATCAAGTCTACGACTACGATTGCAGCCTTGTCGTTTACGCCACATGCGCCTCAGCGATGATATAGCGTTGCACTGCCTTCACACTGGCACAGCCTCTGCCAGGCTCCAATCCAAGACTCAACTGCAAGTCTCTTCCGCAAGGGTAGCAGGATGGGTGAATGGCAAAGCTTAGTACGCAGGCAATTGATTGGACAAAAAGGCACCATGTAATGTGGAAAGCGCATGAACTTTACATTTTATCCTGGTTGCCATAACCTTTTTCCTTGATTTATTCCCCAAATGAGGTGCTGGTGCCTAATTGTGCCTCACTACTCGAACGTCTATTTATGCTGGATCACCTTGAGGAACTCCGGAGAGCAACACAACCACCAGAACCTTCACATCAAACAATTGATTCATTTGATCGAGCATTTTCAGCAGTATATCCAAGATGTACATGACGGAAAAGCAGTGCAAAGACCTCAACGGTAGGATACACACAATTTTCCATATGAAAAAGCACTACTCTAACAAGCAGCATACCAGAGGCCCGGCTGCGCGTCCCCCGCTACCTCTTTCGAGCTTTTTCGGCCAGTTCGCGCGGCAGCTTGGAAGCGAACAATGCTTTAAGCATTGTTCCGGACGATCCCGACTGGCTCTACCAGGCCTCCGGGGATGAAAAAAGTACGCGACTGATGATCGAGAAGCACTTGATGTGGGACACCACGCACAGATCTGAGTTCACTTCATGGACCAGCTCACTGCTGTGTGCGCTGCGTCACGCCATGCGAAAGCTGTACTACTGGTCCGAGCATGAGTCGCGTGTCTTCATCGCCGTCCTCGATACATCCAACTTTGCCATCCCTGTCTGGGCGGCAACCGCTCTGTTCGACGCTTACGGGATTCGACGGCTTGAGAGAAAGCTCGAGCGCCACTACTATCTCGGCGAGTACCTCGTCCGTGGTGGCATCAGCTCGGCCAACACAGATTTCCGAGTCGCTTCTCTCCAGAAACTCCGGATGGAGGGTCTCCATGAATTTCTGCCCGAGCTTTTCGGATCGCAGCATGAACGCGAGCGTGGAGACCTTGCTTGCGCTATCAGAGATGACAGAGATGGGCTGTGCAGGCCTGGAGCTGTCCCGAAGACGCTGAAGCGTTCCCATATCCGGCTTTCCACGCAGTTGGGCGAGTGTTTCGCAGCGCAGGGGCGGGACAGCGCTTTTGTCTCTGCAGTTGCCGTGGCGTTGTTAGCAATGCGTAAATGGGCCCATCTTTTTGAGGCAGATCACCCCGCCAAGGTGGAGCTGGAGGACAAGATCTGGGAGTACCTGCAGGGTCTCGAATTCCCGGAGACCTTCGGCGGTGAGGAGGACTTCAGCGGCCTGGCCAATGCGCATGAACGCTACAAACCCCAGGAGGCCGTTCAATTCAAAGAGTTGTGGCAAAATCTTCATGCCCGCAGACCAACCGAAAACTACCTGATTGTAGAGGTCTCCAGAATGAGTAGTGAGTGTGCCAACATGCATATTAGCACCAAAAAACATTCGAGCTTACCACTGTCACAGTGAGGAGCGCCTCTTAGGCTCACTGGAGCCTCAACAGCCCGGAAATACTACAGTTGCGAATGGTTTAAGCGCTCCAAGTGGTCACAGTCTTTCAAATGCGATTTGGCTTATAGAAAATTCACCTTCTTTGTTTCATCATCTGTTGGAGTAGTTGTGTAGCTGTGAACGTAGGAGCCTATTCCCAACTGTGCAAACCCGTCCGTGGGGTTTGAAAACGGGTTCATTGGCACACTTGTTCTCTACAGTTTGAGTTCACCAGCAAAAAAAGGTACAAAACACAAAGCATTCCTTCAGCTCAGATGGCCAGCAATGAAAAGTTTGTAGACATTGTTAAATTCAAATTTCTTTGCAGAACGCGAGAAAGAATACCATCCAAAATACTTCGTCCGGCGGATTGCGCATATAGATGACCCGGACTAGTGTCTGAGAAATCAGTTTGTAGACCTCTGCAGCGACCTTGCATTTAGTGAACTCACGAACAGGATATTGTCGAACGAAAATGTCAAGGCAATGGTCAGTGACGTGTTGAGGAAGAAGACGCATCGTTTTCATATGTGCGCACAGCTCCCATCAGCAAAATCCTCCGCTGGACAGAGACACATCAGTAACACGGCAATTGTAGTGGCAGTTGGCACCGCCAGTGCCGCCAGCGCCGCTAGTACGATTAGTACGACTGACTAAGTCCGTGCGTAGATTTTTTTTCCTACACGTAAACACACAAAGATGAGAAGATACGAAGATACGAACGAACGAGTAAGTAGACGCTAGTATACCCGCCGGCGTCTAGGGTTGATAAAAGTGAAGACTTTTGACTTGTTTTATCTTGTTTCAAAAAAACAGAAAAGGTGAACATTAAGTGGGTGCAAATAAATGTCCAAATTCTACGTGAAATCCTACTACATATGGACGGACTGACTGACGGTGCCAGAGATATTCACGGTGCTAATGATGCTAAAGATGTTAGTGTCTAGAGATCTGCCGGCTCTGTAAATCTCCCTTGCTGATAGTAAACAACCTATGCTGTTCTATACGGAGTTTAGCAATCTACTGGTCTTGGCGCCCGGAACTTTCCTGATTCCCGGCACCCGGTTGCTTATTTGGAGCGCTGTATGGGACTGGCCGAGCCAACGGACTGTACTCCGCACCCGTTCCAATTTCGTCAGTAAAATCGTCAGCCTCATCGTTCGCCAAAATCCGCATGGCTGTTCCTGGCCGTTGAATCAAGAGTGCCCTACAAAACGACGGCCACGGTACTTAATCAAATGCTCAATGTAATCGACGTCAAGAGGCAAGGTTTCAAGAGCAGAGATACAAGTCAAGCGTGCGTAGAAGCAGGGCCGATCCCGGTCTTCTTAACACTGTGCATGGCCTGCTACCGTGATGTACAGCGGACTTGCGACATGCTATGACGCAATCAGCCCTGCCGGGTGAGAAAGGTGTCGCAAGAGCTAAAGATGACAGCGTGCGCCTGTAATTAAATTCCACCACTCAAGTCTTGAGGGCACGCGACTGTTGACGTTGACTCAGTTCATCGCGAATCGTGCCCGACACGGTCTCTGCCACGGCCCGGTTCGAAATGGCCATGAGATGGGCGGGAGCTTCCGGGAAGAGGAAATCGTCGGCTCCTTCCGGCGGCTCCTGGCCATCGTAGTCACGATCGTTATTCTCGTCGTGCTCTTCTTGATGGACCGTAGACCGATCAGTGATATCTTGATCCGTGGCATCATAATTCAGACCAGGATCGAGACTTTGCTCAGCTTTACTTAGGCATCGAAATGCGCCAGGTGCCAAGCCTAACACGCAAGGAAAGCCATAGAGGGTATATGGTAGATGCGGAGGTTGTTGCGTGGGTGAGGGGAAAGGAGTTCGGGAAGCGGATATAGTGGCGTGTTGGAAGTTGTTCCGGATACGACGGAGTTTATTGGGAGGCGTGAGTAGGGGTCGTTGCGGTGAGATGGGATCGCAGTGGTGGTGTGGGGTTTTCGGTGGGATGCATAGATCCGTGGTGGCGTTTTCGGCTCGGATAGGGGAAGTGAGGCATTTGTTAGGTAAGCTCGTGCTGAGAAAGGGATGAAGACGAGAGTCGGTTGGTGGTGTTGTGTTGGCGGTAAAGATGTATGCAAGTGATCAGCAGAGGGGACTACTCTTACGTGCATCATCCAGCTTAAGCTTAATAATGGCGGCTGCTCGCGGCGGCTCATGAGTGGATGGAATTTTTAGCTGCGGTTTCCGGCGGGTCAACTTCGCATCGTGTTGCGTGCTCGCGTCGCCTCCCTACCACGTCTCCGGGGGGCGCCAAGCCAAACACCAAACACCTCCTCCCCAAACACCGTCTGATAAACGAGGCATCCGCGCCGGAAATGGAGATTGAGTGTCGCGAAACCGCCAAGCTCTCGTACACGCCAAGCTTCCGCAAACGCCAAGGCCTCGCTTCCGGGCTGGGCGGGCGGCCGTGAAACAAGGGCGCAAATTGCGCAGAGCCGCTTCGGTGGGAGTGTCCACCAGTGAGGGCGATACTAGCCGCAGGGCCGGACCAGATCGGTGCAGAAGCCGGAGGACAATATACGACCCGCGCTTGGCGGGAGATGCACCCCACACGGCCTTCATGCACAAGCCCCTGTTTCATGGCTCTGAAAGAACGAAACGGGAGCCGCGAGGCCTGCTTTTGGACTCCTGCTCGGGCCCTGCCGTGTGAGTTGGGCGTGCTGCGACACCATGGCGGGCCGTGACTCCGTCTGTTTCTCGTCCCGCCCATGTTTCAAGCGGACCATTGAATCTCCGCCGCGTCCAGCCATCGAGGGACCTCGCTTCCACGAATCGTTACAGATCTGGCGCGGGCGGCACCGTACGATGCGATGGGGACATACATATAGACGGGTATCTCAGCGTGAATGTCACTTTTTTCTCCAGCATCAGCTTCACCTTCTTTTCACATCACCAACTCTCTTCTATCCCTTCACCATGAAGTTCGTTTCCACTCTGGCCCTGGCGGCCCTCGCTCACCTGGCGTGTGCTATCCCTATGGCCGAGAAGCGCGCCCCGGCTGCCACTCCCGTTGGCTATGCCTCGCAGAACGGCGGCGTCACTGGTGGTGCCGGCGGTGCTACCACCACCATCTCCTCGCTCCCCGAGATGACGGCTGCCCTCAAGAAGGGTGATGACTCCGCCCAGGTCGTCTACATCAAGGGCAAGATCTCCGGCAAGGAGAAGATCTACGTCGGCTCCAACAAGGTATGTTAATCTCCGCCGTCCATCAAGTGCAATCAGCTAACCTATCTCTCAGTCCATCCTTGGTGTTGACTCCAGCTCCGGCCTTGAGGGCATCGGTCTCCTTGTCCGTGACTCGGAGAACGTCATCATCCGCAACCTGGCCATCTCCAAGGTCGAGGCCGACACCGGCGGTGACGCCATCGCCATCGACGGCTCCACCAACGTCTGGGTCGACCACTGCGACCTGTCCAGCGACCTGTCCGCCGACAAGGACTTCTACGACGGCCTGCTCGACATCTCGCACGGCGCCGACTACATCACCGTCTCCAACGTCTACTTCCACGACCACCACAAGAACTCGCTCGTCGGCCACTCCGACTCCAACTCCAGCGAGGACAAGGGCAAGCTGCACGTCACCTACTACAACAACTACTGGAGCAACGTCGGCTCGCGCTGCCCGCTCGTCCGCTTCGGCACCGTCCACGTCGTCAACAACTACTTCGAGAACGTCTCCGTCTCCGGCATCAACACCCGCATGGGCGCCCAGGTCCTCGTCGAGAACAACGTCTTCGACAACGTCGTCCAGGCCCTCGTCTCCGTCGACTCCAAGGAGGATGGCTACGCCGTCGCCCGTGGCAACGAGTGGGGCACCTCCACCAACGAGGCCCCTGAGGGTACCCTCACCGAGATGCCCTACACTTACACTGCTGTTGAGGCCAGCGCCGTCAAGGCTGCTGTTGTTGGCAAGGCCGGCAACACCCTCTCTGGCTTGTAAGCGGTTGATGGATTGCTTCCTCGAGAGAGGAGCATGTCAAAGTAGCATTCCTGTAAATACTCTTTTTCAAATAATTGAAGATGATCTCCAAACACAAACAAGAACTGAAAACTGTGAAATCCGATACCCCCACCATTTTTCAATCACCACTATTGTAAGCACAGCATAAACGTCTTCGACCACTGCCCGCCATTCGAATTCATCTTGGTAATGAGCTGTCTGGGGTCCCTCTGGCCTTCTGGATGGGTTCGAGCATCTTTGAATAGCCGATCGTGCTCTGCACCCTGATACCGATAATCGCCTTCTATCCGCATTTTTTCATCGATGCTGGCAAGCATGCTCGGTATCATGATCTCGAACATCTCCACTTTCCGCTGTAGCTCAATAACCGCCTGGATTAGTACCTCTGGAGGCTTATTAAGCGTGCCGATGAGTCTGGGTCATTGACCTTTCTTGTCCTCTTCATACTTAAACATATCATACTTGACGACCCCACCGCTACTATCACCAAACTTACTGATGACGACATCTCCCAGACAAATATCATTACTTACAGATGGAACTCCCGTGAAAGATCTGTGATCCAACCGACAGTGTACAGTCCGGACATCAAAGAGACCATTTGCGTCTTGTATATCTACGATTAGTATGTACGATAGCAATAAATAGGAGATACTTACACTGTCTTGTACTGAGTTTGAAATATAGATAACTTGTGGGTGTGAGATCAAGCTTTTGGGCAACGCGCAGTCTTATGTTCTCCTTTTCTTAGTCATGAGCTTATAATCTTTAAGTAAAGACCACAAAACGACTCACTATAATGACCAATTTGTACATACATCACTAGCATGCGCATATATGAAAGTAAGTTAGTTGAAGAGTATTGATCTTTGGGTGAGTCACAGCCACTACTAAGTTAGGTGTTGTAATAATGAGGCAGCTGAGCTCGATTCCCGCAATTTGTTTCCAGTTGTACGGCTTCAGGCTGAACGATGAAGAAATACGCCAAGGAAAAGTCGCATTACATCTTAAGCACCAGGCGGCCCTTCAGATGCTTGTCCATGTACATCTCCGGGAGCCTCGGAACGTCCTCGAAATTTACTGTCGTAATGTGAGACCAGACCCGATGCTTGGCAACAACCTCCAACATCTCATCGACCAGCTTCTTGCTCGCCACCAAGCTCCCTTGAATCTTGAGTTCTTTGAACACCACATCAAAGGCGTTGAAGTGAAAGCCTGCAGTCGGCAACCCCAGAGGGACGCAGACGCCACGCGGACGCAGAATCTTGACGGACCACTCCGTTGCCGGCACGTCGTCAGTGCACACGACAACTCCGGCTACACCTCCGTCCCCTGCAAATTCAACCACCTGCTCCAAGGCGTCCTCGATGTTGTAGTCAACGACAGCATCCGCACGAAGTGATGTAGACTTTATTTCCTCGGCAAGCGCCAGACCCTCCGGACGGTTGTCAATGGCAACGGTTCGATAGCCCAGAGCCTTCAAGAACTGGATTGCCAGCTGCCCGAGACCACCGACACCAATGACGGCGACGGGCGCTCCCGGAGGTAAGCCCAGATGCTTGATGCCGCCCCAGACTGTGGCCTGTTACAAGATTTGGTCAGTCTCCAGGTCCGGTCCGCTTGTCTGCACAGAATCAGTTACCCCGGCGCACATCAATGGCGCCGCTTGCTCAAACGGCAGGCCATCAGGAAGCAGCGATGTAGTCTCAGCGTCAGCAACAACATACTCGGCAAACCCTCCGTCGTGAGTGAGACCGAGGAGCTCCTTCCCTTGGCAGACGACGATGTCAGGCTTGTCGGAGCCGGGCGGATCTTTGAACATCCTGCACGGAGCACACGTTCCGCAGGCGTGTTTGAACAGCAGCGCTCCGACACGCTGGCCGACCTGCCACTTCTGCGCCGCCTCCTTTCCGACTGCTACGATCGTCCCGACTGGCTCGTGGGAAGGCGTCATCGGCAGTGGGGATTTGTAGACGCCCTCGAATACCTGGTAGTCGGTGTGGCAGAATCCCGCTGCGCCGATCTTCACGAGGAGGTCGTTGTCGCCGATTTCGGGAACTGGGATATCCTGCAGCTCGTACGGCTGGTTGAACTGTTGGGAAAGGAATGTCAGTCCAGGCCAATACAAGGATGTCTCAAGACTCTTCACTTGCCTTTGTGAGGCGTGCAGCTTTCATTGTGGCGGGCAAAGGGTCAGCCATGTCGATTCTCTTGTTGCGGAAATTGTAAAGTGAGCTGCGGAACTGATAAAGGCAGGCGACAATTTATTCTCTCCAATTGTGCCCAAATGTGTCATCGCCAAGAGCAATCTGACCAAGCTGACCAAGCCGCATCTCAGGTGAAAGTCAATGAGGGGCTTCGCAGCCCCGCTTGTGGCGTCCATACATCAACGCAGAAAGATGAAACTACGTTGTACGATCGGAGCAATGCTTGTGCAGCACTCTGCCGTGTTCCAAAAGATGTGAGGAGGATGGCAGATAGCCTTCCGGCTTTGACTCCGCTTGGTTGTAGCAAATTCCTAATTCGCATACCTGGTTAAATACATTGTAACACCAAAAATTACACGGGAGCTATACGCTGATTGGGGGAGGGACTCTCAAGGTTGGCTATCAGCGAATTCTGCCCAAGCCGCAGTGGAATAGACTACAATTGATTTGAGGGATAACATGTCCTGAAGATTCAGCCTCACATCTTTGTTTCGTTTTTGTTGCCATTGATCCCAAATTGATTCGTTAAGCTGAGCTGTATAGAAGCTTTATCGGGAAAAACGTCTGCAACGATTTCATTCACTTCGTTATCAGAATCAGACTTCTATAAACAAGCCATCTGGTTTATTTTTCCTATGATAATTCTATGTGGGTTAATTTTCATTGCATTGGGGATAATGAAGCCATACAAGCTGTGCCCACGATGGAGTCTTTCAGAGTGCGGCGCGATATCGGCTAGGGCCTGGAAGCTCTCTCATGGGTCCGTTGGCCCAAGCTCCGGTTGAGAAGAACTTGCAATTGTCCAATCATAAATATCACATCCAGTTTGGTTCATCAATCTCGCGCTCTGTCAAATGGCTCTAATAATTGAGAACACACCAACTTGCTTGCGAAGATCAATTAGCAAGGACTTCTGCAATCCACAACAAAACTGAAACCTTTCGTGCCAAGTACTTGCAACTAACCACCAGCACCAAGGACAAGGATCAACCGTCTATCTAATTATTTTTTATTCGGCAGCTGCAGGTCATTGGCGCCTTTTTACCACCCGACATCGTAGCCAGCATCTCGGTCATGCACGTTTCTTTGTCGTGGATTCAGCCCTAAATGTAGGTTCTATCGGCCCCCACGCGCAAGACTCGGCATTGGCCTAATATGCCTGTGAGCTCCGCAATGCTCTTCGGCGCTGCTGGCCCAAGCTGTCAATGATTTCCGCTCTCGAAACAGGATTGGTAGGTAAACGATATCCGCGACCCACAAACAGCGGGACGTCGAGCCATGATTACGAATCAGCTGCCTCGCTCTATACAATATAGATACGTACCCCGCAGCGGCGAGAAAAGTAACAACTTTCTTCATACCAAACAGCACACTCTTTCGAAAATGTCCGGCAAAACAGTATTCATCATTGGACCTGGCTTCATTGGCTGGAATGTCCTCGACTTACTTATCGCCGAGGGCTACCAAGTCACCGGCATGGTGCGTCGCGAACAGCACGCCGAGGGCATCAGAAAGTCCGGCGCGCAGGTAGTCTTTGGCGACCTGGACAATAAACCCCTCATTACTCAACACACAGCGAACTCAGACGTACGTAGAACTAATCCCCCAATACCCCTCATTTACACCACCATCCATCCTCCATCCTTGTCCCAACATCCCTGCTAACCGGGCACCAGATCGTCATCCACACCGCAACCGCCGACCACCTCGCCTCGGTCGAAGCCGTCCTCGACGGCATCCGGCAGCGCGCCGCCGCCGGCAAGGAAACCATCTACCTCCACACATCCGGCACCTCCCTCCTCGACGACGGCGCGCTCGGCGCCTTCAAAGGCGACAAGATCTACACCGACGCCGACCCCACCATCATCGACGCGCTGCCCGAAACGCAACCGCACCGCTTCGTCGACCTGGCCATCGCGCGCGCCGCCCGCAGCGACGAATTAGCAGAGAAGGCGAAAATCGCCATCGTCATCCCGCCCGAGATCTACGGGTGGAACGAGCGCCACGGGCGCCTGACCATCCAGCTGCCGACGATCGCGCGCTTCGCCCTCGTGCGCGGATGGGCGGGCCATGTCGGCGACGGCCTGAGCGTCGAGTCGCAGATCCACGTCAAGGATCTGGCGCGCGCGTATGTCGTGCTGCTGCACGTGATTGAGAAGAGTGGGCAGGATACGGCATGGCTGCGCGAGAACCCGTATTTCTTTTGCGAGAATGGACGCGAGTTCTCGTGGAAGGAGGTCGCGGAGGGTGTGGCTGAGAGTCTGGTTAAGGTGGGCCGGTTGCCGAAGAAGGATGTGAGGTCGTTTGATAAGGAGGCGGGTGACTGGGATCAGCTCTTTGCGGCTGGAACGGCGGCGGCGATCGGGCTGAACTCGAGGAGCCGCGCGGTGCGGCTGAGGGAGCTGGGGTGGGAGCCGAGGGAGAAGAGTATTTGGGAGAGTTGGGAGCAGGATGAGCTGCCGGCGGTGCTGCGGGAGTGGGATGCGCGGCCGGAGGCGGAGAAGACGAGCGCGTATATGTTGCGTGTGGTGTGAAGAAAAGGAAGAATCCTGTAGGAGTATTAAAGAAGTACGTATATAGTCTTGGCCCAATTAATCCTCCGTCTCACGTCATACCTTTATCGCTTATATCTTGGCATTCTGAACGTTGAGACTCTGGGCCTCTAACGTAGAGTGGGCTTGTTGGATAGTCACTGATAATACGCTTGAGCTATACATAACTTTTTGGGTTTTCGATCATGGAGTCTTTCAGCACGACATGCTTAGGATGCGGGGTTTGGAAAGTAAGCTCGTTCTCGGTACGAGCCCTAGCTTTCATAAACGAGCATCTCACGCGCATGGTCGACTCTTACATGACCAAACCGCCGCTAGCGCCTGGGCCAAGACGTGGTCTGATTGCGTGCAACGTAGCGCATCCATTTTGTGAGCCGTCTTCGTGGCAAAGGAGCACACCATTTGGGACTGAGACCGTAAGTAGCCCCCACATTCCGAATCGCAAGGCTGATAGTCAGCGCAGTGATGAGGAGGGTCTTTTAATTTAAGGATTAGGGGTTGCCGTCTCATTGGTGAGGATAATTCTCTGCCACTCCAGTCGTATAGAACAGCTGGGTGGTTCATCTCCTGCTCCACTGAATTGCAACAAGTGTTTGGCCTGTTGGTCGGAGTGTTGGGAGACGGCTAAACCGGCGCGTGTGTTTATTGAGCCGCGGTACCATGTGAACATGGATAACCTGGCGAGGCTGCATGATGCTGCAGCTGTCAGAAGGATGTGGCAAATGAGCTTATCTTTGCCTTCACAAACAAACTTTTGTGGAATGTCGCACTGCGGAACATGGACGAGAACTAATCCTTGAAGACTTTTGACGATAATGAAATAAAAGGCCAGTGTATGGTAGACGTGTCAAACTAAAAGGGTGCCAGGTTTTTGGAGGACATTGGCCAGAGCGGAAGGATAAACCTGAAAGAAAAAAGTGTTCTGATGACGGTGCTGACCGGCAAGTTCCTATCGACTATCATGCAATATAAAGACATTCTATTTTCGATGCATATAGCTTATCATTCCAACAAACTAAGTCTGAACCTGATTCCCCGTGGGGAACTCACGTGGACTTGCGCAAAGCATCGCAGAGGCAATTTGGCGGATAATCAGCACACAGTCCAGCATTTCCGGGGCCTATCAGTATATAGTGTGACTTTGAAAGCGTCGTCAGCAGTCTTGCATATCGCTTTGGAACACTCCAGCCCTCGCATGGTCACGGAATTCCTGATGTGCGTAGTGCTCACCTGGACTAAAAAGGATCGACAGCGAACGTTGTCTGTGCATTGCCGCTTTATCCATGATGATGTATTTTAAGTGGGTTAAGGTATCATGACCGTCTACGTGCATAACCCAAGAGTGTGGTCAAGCATTGCTCGTCAGCATGACACAGTCACATCCTCGGGCCGTTGCGCGTATACGTATGATCGGGTGTGATTGCAGACGGAGTCGTATTATCTGGCGAATGACACGATGATTTGATCGGAGCAACCCCCGGATGCATTGCTGTAGGGTGGATTAGAAAGCGTTTCGTCTGCATTGACTGGCTAGCGCATTCATCTTTAGATAGGCGACAGTTGTGGCCCTGTTGCCTTGTATGGCTAAGCGCCCGTGGGTACAGGGAATCAAATGCATTCTCCTCACGCCAAGGCTTCCGTAAACGGATGATCTGCGTCGCACACAGCATCAACACCCTTTGATATCAACTATTGCAGCGATATTAATTAAATCGAGAGATCATTGCTGCTTACGCTTCTCAGTCATCATCCGAAGTTTGGGCACGTTGCATTAATGCCTTCACTTGCTGCCTGCACCCGTTACACAACGTAGGAAAACCAATCGTTCACTCTTTATTGGATGCCTTGGGAGTAGGTGGTGCGCAGGAAAGGCTGGCTGAATTATTTAAACGAAGCAGTTTTGAGGGTGGAAGTGGCTACATGCACATCAATACTTGTCTTTTGATCGTTTCACTGGATTCAAAATGAACACTGATATTTTTGACCATATTCCAGCTGCACCATGGATGCTCCTTGGCGCGGCTGCATTTGGGATCATCACTGTTCTCGTGCAAAAGCTGTTGAGGATTGGGTCTCGCCCAGCACACATGCCACCTGGTCCGCCGACCGTGCCATTCTTCGGAAACCAGAAGCAGGTAGGTGTAAAGCTTCCAGTGCTATGTTCGTGTCTGCTGACTCGAAATCTGTCGTCATAGGTAGCTGGTACCCTCCATCCAGAGCACATCTATACCAAGTGGGCCAAGGAATACGGGCCTGTCTACACCTTCATGAATGGCTCCCAGCCTTGGATCATCGTCACCGGTACTGCTGAAGCGAACGAGATCTTTCACAAGCGTGGGGGTCAGACAGCAGGGAGGCCAGTCAACCGTATGGAGTTGGCAATGCGTTCTGGCTATTTCCCTGGGTTCATGAGCGGACCCAAGTGGCGCGTCACCCGCAAGCTCTGGCACTCTGTGCTAAACGTTGGTGCATCGCGCCAGTATCTCCCGTTGCAGGAACTCGAAGCGAAACACCTCCTCTCAGACCTCGCCCGTGATCCTGATGGAAGGTCATGGCGTAAGCATGTCGAGAGGTACGCCGGCTCGGTGGCTATGACCATGATGAACGGGCAACGTATCACCACGAGCAATGACCGAGCGGCGCGAGAGATTGTCGACGACTTGACCGAGTTTTCAATACACTCGACCAAGGCCAAGTGGATCGAGAGTTTCCCGCTGGCATGGAGCTTGCCGGAATGGGCCGTTCCCGCACGCAGGGAAGCTAGCAGAATTGCAGAGAGGCACATGCGGTTGATCATGGGGCACTGGAACGTTACCAAAAAACGTGTGGCCGAGGGCTTGGCCCTACCTTGCTTCAACAAGGTCATCATGGATAGGCTGAGGGACGGTTACCTTGCGAATCGCCTTACCGAGAACGAGGCTGCTGAAGCTGGAGAGGTGTTGGTCACCGCTGCGACTGACACAACCGCAAGTAGTCTGATCAATTGGGTCGGTGCAATGGCCTTGTTTCCGGAGGTGCAAAGGAAGGCACAAGAAGGTCTGTTTCCCATTCCCCTGATTTTTGAGAATGAATGTTGTCTGATTCATGTCTACAGAAATTGACCGCGTCGTTGGGCCTGACCGCCTCCCCAATGAGAATGATGCCCCCGATCTCCCCTACGTTCGTCAAGTTGTTCAGGAGTGAGTCAATATTTGCCCCTTCCGTATAATTTTCCACAAAAGCTGAATGAAGCTGCAGGCTTCACCGCTGGGTCACAGCCGTGCCTTTGGGCGTTTGGCATGCCAATACCGAGCCTTTCCAATGGCGCGGGTACCTGATCCCTACGGGAACAACCATGATCATCAACGCTTACGGTATTCACGGCGACCCTGCTCAATACCCAAACCCAAAGACCTTCATGCCAGAGCGGTGGGAAGGCAAGCTCGAGTCCACGGCAAGTATGACCGACGAGCGCATTGGCGCTCGCTCCGAGCTCTTCGCGTTCGGTGCGGGTCGCCGCATTTGCCCCGGTCAACATGTGGCTGAGCGTGGTTTGTTCCTTGCTATCGCGCGCGTGTTATGGGGTTTCACTATCGAGAAGGCAAAGGATGACACAACCGGGGAAGAGCTCCCGATCGACATGGACAGCATCCGTCCCGGGCTTGTGGTGGCGCTGAACGAGTTCCCGGCAGTTGTGAAGCCTCGGGGTGCCGAGAAAGCTAGGCTAGCCACGGAGCTGTGGGAAAGAGACAGGGACGAGTTCCTGGATGAAAATCTGCAATGGAAGAAGAGCCCTGAAGGAGTAGAAGATGTCATGAACAAAGCTGTCGGCTTTTGAGGAGACATGGCTGTTCATCTCCTTATTCTTCTACTGTACGGAGACCCCACTGCGACACGTAGTGGCAAAGGTTTTGTAGATTCGGATACACTGTTATGCATGCATAAGTGTTCTGACTCGTTCTTACGTTTTTTTTTCCACCATTCACATTTCCGGCCATCTGCGAATAGGATGACTTCCCGTAATGCTCGTGCTCATGTTCGCTTCTCTCGTCTATCGTGATATCTTCCAGGGGTAATTAACAAGCCCAACTATCGCTGGTCAAACCAAACTTTTCGACTGTGCAGATCATTATTCTCTCGTAAAAAAAAGCATAAATTCTTATCATAATAGATACCCGCGAGCTTAGCTATTACTATAGCAACGAGAAAAAACTTTCATTTTAATTTCATTCAAGGTCTACTACAGTTAAAGCACGGTGGATTTTGGTGTAGAGTTGGGTTTGGCCGGTGGTGGTTGGGTTTCGCCGGCGATGGTTGGGTTGCATCTACGCTATGTCTCAGAATGTCAAACAAAGCTAGTGAATTGTTTCAATTTTTTTTTAATACATATAACTTGTAAAGGGATTAGTGGTCTATTTTACTGCGCTACCGATGCGATTCCCGTGCCTTTTTATGACCAACTCTAGGAATTGTTTTTTTCTTTTGGCTCAGTAAACACATATGAGGTCCAAAAGTTGGTTCATTTCAACCAACCCTTAGGACCGCCCCAGGTGCCCTTAACCATGGACTTGTAGTAGACCCAAGGGAAGAAGTCCTTCTTCAGGTGATAGAAGGCACGGCGAGGCTCAACCTGATCGATACCGAAAGTGGCGAACGTCTCCTTGGGCACACCGCCGTACTTGAACTCGGCGAGGAGCACCTTGCCATACTCAGTCAAGAGCGGGCACGAGGTGTAGCCGTCATACTCGGCGACCAGCTCCTTGCCCTCCAGGGATTGGAGCAGGTTGCGGACCAGGACCGGGGCCTGGGAAGTGATGGCCGCCATCGTCTTGGAGGTGGGCAGGCTGGAAGCGTCGCCGACGGACCAGACGTTGGAGAACTTCTTGTGGCGGGTGGTGGCGTTGTCGACGTCGACGAAGCCGGCGCCGTCGGCCAGGGCGCTCTCCTTGACGAAGGCGTGCGGGCCCATCTTGGGCACGACGTGCATGAGGTCGAAGTGCTTCTTGACCTCGGCCTGGCCGTCGGGGCGGGCAAAGGTGGCCGTGTTGCCGTCGATGGCAACGAGATCGTGCTGGAACAGGCCCTCGACGCCCCGCTCCTTGCGCAGCTCCTCCAGCTTGGCGCTGTACTTGGGCACGCCAAACATGACGGGGAGGCCGGTGGCGAAGCTAATCTGGATGGCGGAGCCGGAGGGGTTGGTGGGGTTGTACAAGCCTGCCTTCTTCCAGTGGTCCAGGCCGAGCCACATGATCTTCTGCGGGGCGCCGGCGCACTTGAGAACGCCGGTGGGCTGGGTGAAGATGGCGTCACCCTTCTTCAGCTTCTGAATGGTGCCAAAGACCTTGTCACATTGGTCGTAGCCGTAGATGGAGGAGACGAGAGAGTCCGGATTGGCGAGGGCCTCGGGCAAGCCCTTGATGCTGTTGAAATTGACATGGATGCCAGGAACAACGACAAGATGCTCGTAGTTGACCTTATCACCATTGCTCAGCGTGACGGTGTTCTCCTCCGGGGCGAAGGAGCCGACGCTCTGGCTGTAGAATTTGAGCTTGGGGTCAATCAAGCTTTCCATGGGCCTGCGCAGTTCTTCCTTGGTCTTCAGACCGCCGCCAACCAGCGTCCACCCAGGCTGGAAGTGGTGCCAGGCAGCCGGGTCGACGATGGCAATGTCATCCTGCGCGAACTTGCCAGATCGCAGCAGCTGGTGGCTCACAGTTTGGCCTGCAGAGCCGCCGCCAATGACGACAACCTTGTGGCTGCGGGCGGAGGTGACTGGAGATACAGTAGCGTAATTGCGCAAGGCAGAGCGCCCGGCGATCCGAGCAGCCGATGTTGCGCGACTGGAGAACATGATGGTGGTGCGATAGGGCTGCTTTCACGAACACAAAGTCAAAAAGTTAAAAAGAAAACTTAGAAACAAAAGGGACGCGCGCGCCGCATTACCTAATCGCCGATTAACGTTAGCGCTGACGGCAACTTCGCCGACGGCGTCTTGGCACCTCGGCGTCTATCCCGTTACGTCAGATCGTGGTAATCGTCAGCCTCGTCCGGTGACGGCCTGTGTGTCAGCAGCTTGAGCCCAGATGGAACCATCATTCGCCGCTGCATATGCACCCTTCATCCTTCGCACAATAATCAGGCTATGCAGGCCGGTGTCCTCCGACATGTCTCGTGTTCCCGGGTACCTGGTCGGCGACCCAATCGGCGACCGAATCGGGTAATCGCCGAACCCGGAACGGGTGTCTCTGAGCTTCAATCAACCCTATCTCTTATTGTGCACCAACCTCTATCCTCAAGCTTAAGCATCAAACCTTCTCGACTCATAATGAATGCCATTCGTCCGCACATTGTCAGGTGTCCATCGACAACACGCCTGTTCCGCTCCTCGACCACCGCAATCCGAGTACCAGTTTCTGGCAGCCGTCCGCTTCACCATCAAGCAGGGATCGACGCTGCACGTGTGATTGGACGTCTCAGTGAGGACAGGGCGCTCCGTTCAGCCCCCTTGAAGAAAGTTTCAGTGCCACCATCTTCCAACGCCCTTCGAAGCGAAGCCAGAGCATTCCATAGCACAGAGGCCACCATGACCGGCCAACCCACCATCCACCACGTGTTTGAACCTACGACTGGGACATGGCAGTATGTGGTGGCTGATCCATCAACCTTGTCGGCTGCCATTATCGATCCAGTCTTGGACTACGATCCAGTGACGCAAGTCATTTCTACGAACACCGCCAATGCCCTGCTCTCGCTAGTCAAGGAAAAGGGCTACAAGGTGGACTGGATCCTCGAGACGCATGCACACGCGGACCATCTGACCGCTTCATTCTATCTTCAGAGACGGCTTTCCACGGTCCAGGGTCACAAGCCTCCCGTCGGCATCGGTAAGCGAATCGGCCAAGTGCAGAAGATGTTCGGTCAACGATACCGCGTCTCAGCAGACGAATACGAGGGAGTTTTCGACAAACTCTTTGAGGACGACGAGACCTTCCAGATCGGAGACCTGCAAGCCACCGCTATGCATCTCCCTGGCCACACTCCTGACCATCTAGGCTACAGGATCGGAGGTAAGCTCTCCAAAACCATCTCTCGTCCGGACAGATTGTTGACTCGAGACTCATAGACAACGTGTTCTGTGGAGACTCCATCTTCCACGTCGACATCGGCACTGCGCGGTGTGATTTTCCAGGGGGAAGTGCAGACGACCTGTTCCGTTCCGGAAAGAAGTTGCTGAGCCTCCCGGACCATGTGAAAATTTGGACGGGACATGACTATCCGCCCGACGGGCGCACTGATCCCGTTCCGTGGATGAGTGTGCGGGATCACAGAGCCCAGAACAAGCACCTGAAGGACGGCGTCACCCATGAGGCGTTTGTGGCGCAGCGAAAGGAGCGTGACGCGCAATTGGCAGCACCGAGGCTGCTCCATCAGTCTTTGCAAGTCAACATCCGCGCAGGACACCCTCCTGAGCCAACGGAATCGGGGCATCGTTTTCTTCATCTTCCATTGAAGTTGCAAGGATGGGAATAGTGTGCTTTCTATCTGTGATAATCGAAATTCTCCCAGCACCCAATAGGGACTGCTGCCGCATCCAACCCCACGTTTCGTGACTCGTGATCGCTCCACTTAAAATGGTAGTAGAGCCGTGAGCCACTGAAACTCCCTTTACCACCTTGGAAAAGCGCCTGGTGATTGTGCGCAACGCGTCGTCGGCGAACACTCCAGCACCAGCGTGGAATGAAGCTGAAGATTGTTGTGACGTAGGTCTGTTGCCAGCGGCTGAAGCCTCTCATGCAAGAATCAGGCAATCTGAAACAGGATTCGCGCGTGCCCGATTTGTGACGCGGGACGGAACGATCTAATTCCTTACACTTTACAGTCCCCTGCGACGCCTCACAATAGGGGATGATCTGACCAATGGAACCCTAATGATAGGGCGATATGCCAAAATACACGGCAAAAGAAAGCAACGCTAGTCATCGGCTGCAGCCGCTCTTCGCGCTCCCCACCGGCTGCATGAAGAGATTGTCGCTTGGCTTGCCGTTGCCGGCGCTGGTGGAGTCGGAGGTATCCCCGGCGACGGGGCACTAGGAGACTTTGATGCTAGTTTCGCGTTGAACGGCCATACGCGGCATTGCCGGGAGGACTAAAATGGCGCCGGGCCTCGGAGCGTCACTAGCTTAGCGCTGTCCATCCCACGCGGCTCGGTAAAAGTCGTTGTGGGGAGGTAGGAGGAATGTGCTGCGCGGAAGAGCCCCCTTGTCTGGGGCCGCTTGCTTCTTTGGCGTCGCGCGGCTGTGCTGCTCTGTCAATCCTGCCCCCCTCTGTTCTGTGGTTCACTTCAGGGGGAAGGTTGAGTCAAGTTGCGAAGGTGTCGGTCTAGGTTTCAGAGCCAAGTGGGGTGTCTCACTGCACTTCGACTCATGAACGCGGCAGAGGTACCTGAATCGCGGTACTACTCTGCAGTAGGTATAGTTGCAGATTTTTAGCCGCGGAAGCCTTCCGATCATCGCGGTGAGGGTGTGCGCGTCCCATCGTCCGCCCGCTGCGGTGAAGAGCGGCGTGAGAGACGCCATTTTTGCGCCGCACGCGCGCACCGTTGCTTTTAAAATACTGCATCCCACAGGCCACTCGCGGTGCAACACTTGGCTGTCAACGAACACGCTAGAAGTTAGCTAAGTTCTAGACCAACGGGAAGCGACAGAGGGTTCCGCAGCCGAAAGCTAGCGTGACGATCATGATCCTGAAGACCAGGGGCTTTGCCGGACATTGATGATATGATAGGTTAGATTCAATTCACAAAAACGTAAATCCGAACTAGCCCCCGGACGCAGAAACTGTCGGTATTTATTTACTTCGGCGCTTTTCCTTCGCGCGCGTTCGTCATCCCTGTTTCAACCTTCAACACCAACCTCGCGGCTTTTCGAGCCACGATGCTGTACGACAATTCGCGGTACCTGTTTTTTTGCGTTATTGTTCTTATGGTTTCTGGTTACACCACTCTTCTGTTGAGAATATACACAAGAGTAACCAGAAAGACATGGGGCTGGGACGATACAATAGCGACCATTGCAGCGGTCAGTATAATACCGACACCTCCAGGTTACAGTCTTTTCTTTAAAGCTGACATCAGTTCCATTGAATCAAAGATTCCGTTCGCATGGCTATGCAGACAAACGATTGTTGCCGCAAACAATGGACTTGGAGCCCATAGCTGGCACATCACGCCAGCGATGTCGATACAAGCGTATAAGGTCTAAACACCACCTCTTAGTCATCACTTCGGAGTCTAAGTCTCTATTAGGCCTTCGTCTTCTTCCAAGTCTCATACTGCTGTTCGATTATCCTCATCAAAGCCAGCATCGCGATGATGCTCACCCGGATCATTTGCGGCCAATACATGATATTATGGACTCTCCGAATCACGATTGCGCTATTCTCATCGATTACACTTTCCGTCGCCATCTACTGTTTGCTGCAGTGCCGTCCACTAGCGTATGTCCACGCTCTTACGACCTGGTTAATTGCCAAAGGCTTCTGGGCTAATGACGGTGTAGTAAAACCTGGAACCCGGCTATCGAGGGATATTGTCATCCATCAAACGTTCTCGCATCTCTCAGCATGACAGTCACAGTTTCCAGTATTATTAGCGATGTCATCATCTGCCTCTCGTACGTCACCCCATTCGACCTGTGCTGACGAATTTCATCTGATTTTCCTGGACAGCCCGATCCCGCTGCTCTGGAACATCCAGATGAATCGCAATCTGAAACTTGTGTCCGGGTTTCTACTTTCCCTTGGTTTTTTGTAAATATCTCCCTCCAGGATCCGTGAGCGAAGCTGACGACCACAGCGCGAGCATTTGCGCCATCATTCGCCTGGCATACACTTTGGCTTTGAATTCCACGGAGGACTATCTTTGTAAGTGCCCCAAACACTGTTGTGTAATCGAAATGCTGATGGCGAGTAGTCCACGTCTATGGCGTGACAGTGTGGTGCTGTATGTGTCCCTATCTCGGAGACCCCTCTGGTCATCAAAAGTTAACGAAAACTAGTCGCCGAAGTTGGAGTTGCATTGACAGTTGGTTGCTCAAGCGTAAGGATCCACCTTCTCTCCCATATAGTGTTATTTGAATAAGAACTGACGAGCCATGTCTAACAAATACAGACGCTCCGCCCGATGTTCCGCACCTGCCTGGGTGGCACTGGCGAAAGTAAGAAAGAGTCAAACGACACCTCACGGGGAACCTATGAGCTACGGACCGGCGCGAACGACGGAGTTATTCGGTCCCAAAACGACGACGGCCAAATTACACGTGTTGCGACCGAGCCCAGCGTGGGGGACGACGAAAGCGCACGCAAGATGCTCGGCCCCTCGGAAATTCGCGTCACGCATCGCTTCGACGTTCGCGAGGAGGTCTAACGTCTTGCGAAGTTCGTGGAGCGAGAAGCGCGTTGGATGAATTGTTTGCATCACGTTGATACCCCCCGCCGAGACTGCCGTGCAGCGACCGTGCGTTCGGTCATCCCGGAGAAACACCCCCCTTGTAACACCGGTCGCAAGCCGCCGTGATGTATATGAGTGCAGTAGGATTCCGAGGCGGCCCATCTCCTCGCTGGATCGAGGTCTTATCGCCAGTATGCTCCCTCTTTAATTGGCCTCATCACACTCCAAGTGTTCCCATACGGCGAAGGCGATCCGGACGTCCGTAATAAAACTCATGCAATGGGCACTCTTTGGTTGATGAGCAGAAGCACGAGGTTGAAGGTACATTTCTGGCAGGGCAACCGTCGGGGACACCGCTTCAACCGACCGTGCCACCTGAAAGACCTTGGAGGTACCACGTCGAGCACGTAGCTCGTGTGAGAACCGGGCAAAAACGGGATGGAACACGGAAAGGCAGCTGGAGGACAGGTGTAGGGAACCGTAACGCTGGCCCTGTGGGCCGAGGATCATGAATTGAATGACACGACACGACACTCCGTGGCTCCTTCCACCTTTTCTTTGCTCATTTTCCCCCTGCTCCTGGGGGCCGCGTCCGCCTTAATCCAATGTAGGAAACGACGCTACCCGTTCGGGAATGCCCCCCGGTACAAAAGCTTCAAGGATCCTGTTTATGGGTGGGGGTTCGCGTTATCCCGCGTTGTGCATGTTACTCTTCGAGTAAGAAGCGTAAAAGCTGCACCTATAGTAGGCAAATAATCTTCAAATCAGACCACGTCGTCGCACGGACCTTTCTCTCTATTTCCATGTAAATTTTATACATTGTTACCCACTACTCGTTGTGCTATAAAGATGTAAAAATAAGTGTCGACTTTTGATGTTCCTCCTTTATATCCGTGCACGCTTTAGCAAGGTCCGAAGCGAGGTTCAAATAGAGTAAAGCCGCACCCCCACCGTAACCCGATCCCGGGAGCCTCTTTGCCATGGCGTTGGTTAGCCTTGGGGCTGAGACAACGCTGTCTGATTGGGCCAGATAAGCACGTCCAGTGGGTTCCTGGCATAACACGAGAATCCATCGTGCAACCGAGCTTCGTATACCGGAGCCAACACTTGTCGACGCAACAAGACGGCAGAGGACAACTACATAAATAGCTTCACACGGAAAATGTGGTGATGAATCTTCCCAAATAATTCTAAGCCCTCGCGGAGCTCTGTTGGGTCAGCCCTGATTAATTGATGATGATTGAGAAAGCCGCACTGCTGCTCTCGCTTGTCGCCTACGGCGCAGCGAAGGTCGAGTTGGGTACTCAAACTTCTTCCCACAATTAAAAGCAAGTACTAACACGTCACAGCTGGCGTAAACATTGGTACGTCCCGAAGAGAGCATTGAAAAGAACGAAAGAAAAAAATCCATTGCTCACGATGCCTCCACTCAGCCGGCTTCGACTTCACTTGCACCACCGATGGCAGCTGCGACCTCAGCAAGCTCTACCCGCCACTGACGCAGTACGGCGGCCCGGACGGCGCGGGACAGATGCAGCACTTCGCGCGAGACCTCGGGCTCAACGTCTTCCGCCTGCCCGTCGGGTGGCAGTACCTGGCCGACAACCGGCTGGGCGTCGACTTCAACGCCGAGAACTTCGCCAAGTACGACGCGCTCGTCCAAGCCTGCCTGAACACGGGGGCCAAGTGCATCGTCGACCTGCACAACTATGCGCGCTGGAATGGGAACATTATCGGCCAGTCGGGTGGCGCGGTGACCAACGAGCACCTGACGAACGCCTGGTGGCAACTGTAAGAGAGCATCGTCAGTGAGACAATGTTTGGGCGGAGTGGGCTGATGGGGGATCGTGTTTGCAGTGCGACGAAGTACAAGAATGAGCCCAACGTTATTTTTGGTGTCATGAACGAGGTAAGCAGGACCGCCTGTCGAAGATGTAAGACCGGTTCGCCTGATATGTTTACCAAACAGCCACACGACCTCGACGTTGCGACGTGGGCGACCACCCTTCAGTGGGTTGTGAATACCATCCGCAGTGTTGGCGCAACGTCGCAGATGATCTTGCTCCCTGGAACAGAGTACGGTTCAGCCTTCTTTGATGCTACGTATGAGCAAGCGCTGATCCTTTTGTAGCTTCTCGGCAGCAGGATCTTTTCCAACAAACTCCGCCGGTGCTCTGGCAGGCGTCAGAGACACTGATGGAACAACGACAAAGCTGGTGTTCGACGTGCATCAGTATCTTGATGCAGAAAGGACTGGAACTCACACAGAGTGTGCCCGGGATGGACTTGATGATGGACTGAAGCCGCTGGCCAACTGGCTGAGGGCGAATGGGCGTAAAGCGTGAGTCGTAACAACACAGGCCTACAGTTCGTGCCTACCAATGGATGAAGAGTGTGCTGATACAGCTGCGCGCTCTGTATAGTTTCTTGACTGAGACGGGTGGTGGAAACACCGGCTCCTGCAGTCAGCACGTCTGTGCAGAGCTAGACTGGATGAAGTAAGTTGACACCGCTTTGAAGCCCTTAATTGTTCTCGTCCAATATTAACTGACATGTTTACACTAGCTACAATACCGATGTGTTTGTCGGTTGGGTTGGCTGGTCTGCTGGGTCATTTGACAGCTCGTATGAACTTACCTTGACGCCGACTTGGAACGGAAATTCTTGGGTTGACACGAGCCTGATGAGGGATTGTGTGGCTGGGAAATTCAATTCGTAGCTATGCTTGTTGAACTTTGTGAGGATGAGAATAGGCTCATCTAGCATGAGTACTTATATGACAAGGGCTTTGACCAATCATGCGAGACATGTCTTGTTGAGGTTGTGTACACTCATTGGCCCCCAAATTTAAGCGCCCGGATGACGAGGCTGAGACACGTGTCAGAGTGCTCCCGACCAAGACAAGTAGTACTTAAGAAAGCCACTCAGCCTGATGGACTCAGATCCCTCGAACATCGACATTCAAACCTCGTATTGTTTGAGAATAACCACACCACATTGCACTATTTTGTCATGCGCTTCAATAAACCATGAAACGTCCGAGTCAAAGAATTACTCCATTCCCGGCTAAGAAAAACTCGGCAAGCCGTCATGATTACTACGCGTGCCGCTTCTGCGACAAAGTAGACTACGTCGACGACGGCGATGAACCGACAGACGAGCGTACCAGCAAGCTTTTTCATTCAACCTGCAGTAGCTGCTGCATGAGCCAGCCCGATGAAAGTCTCTGTGAATACTGCCAACACTTGAGGCTTCGACACTTGACAACATGCCCGGAAACCGAGCAAGGCAACATGGTATTTGGTATCCGATTTGGGCATTGGGAGGAATTGATCTCCCGCCAATCCTGTAGCTTTTGTTCCTTCTTGCAAAACGTTGCTCGGCAATGCGCAACATTAACAAGCAATGTACCGTCAGCTTCTTCAATCATCACACTCAACTTTGAGCGGACCAGAGAGGAATTCCGGCTGTTGCCACTCCGTATTCTGGTTGTCATTTCATCGCTGTCTGAACGGCGAGATGAGAACCAGTTTGAAATTTTTTTAGATGGAAGGGACGCGACCAGCTTTAAACGTAATCGGTACCAAGTGTCGGAAGGAATTCCTCTCGTCAAACCTCTTGTTCTCTGGGAGAAAGTAAGAAATTGGCTCGACGACTGTGCATCGAACCATGGGGATTGCGCGGCTTCAGCTGACGTAGGCCACCTTCCTCAAGGATTCCGTGTCATTGACGTCGAAGACAAGTGCCTCGTATCTGGATTCCCGGGTTGTCGATATGTGGCTCTCTCTTACGTCTGGGGCTACCCAGGAGAAGACGAATTGAAGGCGACTTCATCCACCATCCAGAAGCTTCTGCAGAAGGGGAGTTTGACGTCCCGGCTGCCCCAAACTATTACAGATGCCATGCAAGTGTGCAGAGAACTTGGCAAAAGATATCTGTGGGCGGACAGGCTCTGTATTATCCAAGACGATGCTCGCGATAAGCAGAACCAAATTGGGGCTATGGACAGCATCTACCGACTGGCCGATTTTTCTGTTATTGCATCAGACGGTGTTGACATGAATGCTGGCATCCCCGGGGTCAAGCGTCCACGCGTGGATTTTCCTCAGATAACCACACAGTTCAGTGGACTGAGCTGCACGCTCAAGCTTCCGGGGTTCTCAGATGCGATCCCATACTCAATCTGGTCATCTCGCGGGTGGACCTACCAAGAAGCTGTGCTCTGCCGACGAAAACTTTATTTCTCCAACTTTCAGGCATACTACGTGTGCGAGGAAATGAGAGCGAAGGAAGATCTACTTGCTTCAGAAGGCGAGAGCATGCGTCTATGGCGGAATTTGAACTCGGAGCCGAAGCTATTGATGAGCGATGCTGAGAAAGCGGCTCCCTTTCTCTACAAGAACTACAGCCGCCACCTCGGATTATACACACAACGTCACCTGACATATGACTCTGATATCTACAACGCTTTTCTTGGAATTTCCTCTGCGCTTTTCGGATCAAACGACGCCCTGTTTTGTGGCTTGCCCAAGAAATATTTTGACAGGGCTTTGCTATGGTATCCAGACACATATGAGAAGGATCAGGTAGCTGTCCGAGATTCAGCTGATGTTCCTGTTCCAAGCTGGTCATGGTCCTCCAGAACCGGTATGATTTATGCACCGATTCCTGGTTACACTGCGCCCCTTGTGAGATGGGCCGTTGGTCCTGACTTCACACTCTCACCCAACGGGCAACAGCTCACAAAGTGGAACTGCGCCGAGCTCGCGCCAACAGACGGGTATGAGCAGCCGACAGACCTTGATGGCGGGGAAATGAGCTTTGCTGCGGCTATCGCCTGGAATAAAGGGTGCTTCGAAAAGAAGTGGCCGCTGCAAATCTCTCTAGAGCACAGCACCATGGAAGAGTACCGGGAGGTACTCCTCTCCAGATGGCCAAGTCAGCGAGACCTGTGGTCGGAGCTCTGGGCGGAGCCGCCCGACTCGAGCAGTAACGACAACTCTTCCACCATCATGTCCGGTATTCCACCTCATGTGCAAGAAGGCACCCTAAAGACACGAGCACAATCCGGAAAATTTAGGCTTAAACACCATGACCACCATGGCTTCTGCTATGATCCACTGCTGGAAATTCTAGACGAGGACGGAACGTGCATTGGACTCCTGCGCGCAAACGACCCCAGATTTCGCGCCGAAATTGAGCCTCGCATGCGTTTGCGCAACGCCAGGTTTGAGCTCGTTGCCATTTCGCTGCAGAACAGCTATATGGACGTGGAGCTCGCATGCCTCTTCTCCAATCGGATGGAGCTTTCAGGTGCAGACGAATTGGAGAATCTGGAGAGGCGGAGGAGGCTCGGCGTCACGTTTGCTGATAGAGAAGGAACATGTTTTGAGCTAGTGACAACAGTGAGTGTCATGCTTATCGGAAGGCGAGGTCCGCTCGCCTATCGGATCACAATTGGTTGGGTTCTCTTGACGAAATGGGTGGAGTCGAATACTACATTCAAAACACTGTATCTCGTCTGAGTTAATCTTCACGAAGAGGGTTACGGTTGAGTATGTGGGATTGAAAGACATTCGATCACAGTACTTACTGACTGAGTCTTTTCTTGCCTTCGAGGTTGATTAGGGGCGGTTTGTCGTCGAGACGACTTAAAGGCAGAAAATTGTGAAAGCGCCATGTTTAGGATCGGGCAGAAAAAGGACATGATAAATCAAGAGAAGCGCGGAGTAGCAGCTGGCATTCAAAAAAAGACATGCACACTTAATTGTGCTACCAATTTATTAGCAGCGTGCACTGGGGGGTCACCCGTATTATCTAACACTGTTCTGTAGGTTCATCGAATATATATGACCATCTTCATAGCCGATCCAAATAATTAAGTCGTGTTGCGTTATTGGACGCGGAGTCTGACCGCTCGGGAGAGACGACGGTTAAATGACTGATCGACAGGCGGGGCTGCTCCACACAACTCTAGCATTGGACGTAGGAAGGGAGGGCGGTAGGCATCACGAGCTATATTCAGTGGGGGCGATCACACGTTTCATTTCAAATTGCACAGACAGCTGAGAGCGGCAGTCAGCAAGTGGATGACGTCAAGTGGGGGCGAAGAGAGCAGGTGCGGAATTTTGGGTGAATGGTGATGGCGGAGGCGCCACGGGCAGAAATGGAAACTTGGAGCAGGAATTTCAACGTGATTACCTATAAGACCCATTGGCAAAGGAATCTGAATTAGTAGGCGTGTAAAAGGGGATGACTCGGGCGGAATGGTGATGAAAACGTGGCCGGCCGTGGGGGTGGAGACGTAATCTTGTTTCAGCCTTGCACTCGGCTTGGCTTCTCCACAGCATCTATGGGACATCGCCAACCTGATTCCATCACAGCCGACTACGAACGCCCTCCATCTTGTATCGATAACGTGAATCAGAAGCGACTCCTGTTCCGGTTTGGGTACCACTATAGTCCACATGAATCACCTGATTCATGTGCAGAGCCCTTTTCGGGTCCCGTATCTCTGCCGCGCCCTTCCACCATGCAGGAGCAACACATTCATGAGCTATCCCGAGGCTTGTGCCATCGACATAAGCCGCATGCGAAATGGTGACCTGCAGGGTAAATCTGAAGAAGAGGTTGCTGCCTTCCTACAAGCGTGGCTTTTCTTTGGCGTCATGGAGGCTCATTTCGGTCTCTGGGGAATCCCCGTCGATGCTGATGACTTTCGACAAACCAGCGAGGACACTGCCGGCAATCGCGAGTGGATCACACTGGAGCCGAACCTGAAATTATTGCTCATGTATCTCACCGCCCGCACAACAGAGACGGAGCTTTTAGAAAACGACGATTTGCGAGTAAGAATATGGACAGAGCACAAGAGCATGTATGCATTTGTGAGCTCACTACTGAACGACATTATTGTCTGGAGGAGTAGTTTGTTCCCTAATGGACCTCACAATAAGCTCAACATCCCGGATTTTGACTCAATTGTATTATGCATCATGATCACTCTGGAATACTTAGCGAATGCGAGCGTCAAGATCTATGCAAATGGCGAACAACCGGTTTCACTACACTGGAAATTGGACAAAGCGTCGCAATATCTTCTTCTTTACGCAGGCTGGTGTCCTGGCGAGGTACGCCCGTATTCCTTGAAGAGATCTTGACATAGAATAACAGCAACATGGTCAATCATATCTAATAATATATAGATTTCCTTCCTCTATCAGCGACTTGAGCATGCGACATCCCTCTATCTGATCAGTTCGTTTGATCGCCACGGTTTGCGAAAGGACCATAGCAAATGCACCAGACAATCCTGCCAGGCAAACCAAATAGACGCGCACTCCTACAAAACACGACACACAACCGAAGGATGCATATGCGAACACGTCGTTGAGCAAAACGGCGGCAAGTCTCAGGTTGTGGAAATCTTACATTCTGGTGAGATCCCAATAATCAAAGTTGTCGAGAATGCAGCCAAGAACTTCGATATTGTGGTGGAGAGGAGTCGATGCAATTCTGATGGAAAGCCAAGGCCATACGTAGCGCTATCGCACGTCTGGTCAGACGGCCTTGGTAATCCGCACAACAACTCCTTGCCGCGATGTCAGCTAAGAAGGCTGCAGAGTTTTGTAAACGAACTCTACGATGAGAGCTTGAGGCCGGTATCTTTCTGGATAGATACGATCTGCGTCCCGTTGGAGCGAGAGAGCCGGAATCAAGCTATTCGACGCATGGGAAAAACCTACCAAGAGGCCGACAACGTCCTTGTGCTTGACTCGTGGCTCATGAGATCCCCTTGTAACGAATATGGAGAGTTGAACATGCTTCAGGTGAAATGCTGCACGTGGACCCAGAGACTTTGGACGCTTCAGGAATGCATGATTGCCCGAACCGGCGCCTTGTACTTCCGCACAGCGAAAGGAAATGTCCACACACGGGACATGTATGAGCCTGAGAGGCTTGGAGTCAAAGAAGTCATAGAATCCATTATTGGGACCCAGCAAGACTCGCTCAAAGCAGGGTTTGAGAAAGAAGCGGACCTGCTTCTCCGCCTGGCTACTCTACTTGGTACAAATGACTTGGACGATGTCAGCTTCGGAAAAGACAGTCCCACAGACCCAAAATTGCGTCGCTTATCTATAGGCCTCCGCGGGTGGACGATGAGCAGTTTCATCTGGACTGAAGGTTCCCGCTTCTTCCACAACCTCCATCACCCCAGAACGAGATATGACCGCTCCGGCCGCCGGACCGCCAGCAGGCCTTACTTAGTCACAAACGATCTAATATTAATCGGATATAGCATGCGCAACCGCTCCACCAGCAGGCTGGAAGATGAGCCTGTGTGTCTGGCCACACTGCTCGGCCAGGACGTGGGCGCCATTCTGGATGAGTCTGATGTGCGCGAGCGCATGAAGATTGTCGTATCAAGGCTTGGATTGGCTGCCAAGGATATTTTGTTTTTCCATGCGCAACGCATCGACGAGGACGGCTTTCGGTGGGCGCCAGCATCGTTCCTCGCACATGGCAGAGAGTACTCTCCAGCTACGGTGGTCCATCCAAGCAGTGTGGGAACTGTAACACCAGCAGGCCTGAAGTTAAAGCTTGATGCTCTTGCTGTGAAAGAGGTCGCAGCTGCTCAGTTTCTGCGCCCCGCTGGATTCGTGATCAAACTTGAGGACTCGGACGTGCGAGTAACGGTGCCGGCTTCCGGGACGATGGCGGCGGACTCTGAAATTTGTCGGTTTGGGGAAGGCTTTGTGATTCTCTTGTATAATTCGCGAGCAAGGATGGCGGCCTCAGTTGCAAGAAACGATGCGGTTCTTATTCGGGCGGAGAAAATGGAAAATGGGGTTCGGGCTGCCAAATTCGTTGGAAATCTGGTTGCGACATTGTTACAACAAGAGGAAATCCTGGCCGATGATCTCATCATCCCTGGAAGAGTCATAAAAGGTAAAGAATGGTGTATTGGATAGTAGGAAATGTGTTAAGCATTCTATCAGTACCCGCCTCAAAACACAACAAATCCTCTCGGTATTCTCGACGCCGCCAGAGATTTCTGGAAATTCGTGACTAGTGGTCGCCAGTCTAGTCTTTAGAAGCACCTTTAGATTTTCCATTGAGATGGTCCAGCCTGGCCGTGTCAACTCCTGGTTCTTTGATGCCCTTCCACTGCCACGTTCTATACGGACTCCATGTTGGTGTCAGATTCCTGAGCTTCCTTCTCTGAAGATCGAGAGGTTCCATTCTTGCGGAAATAACGGAACTCGCAGATGGCAACGACAGCTGTTTGGAATGCGAGCATGCTATACCATGACTCACAGTTAGTCAATGATCTTCAACAGTCATATTGGGGATGACAAAAAAGAAACGTACTGGAGGATCGCTGAAAGCACGACCACAGCCCAACTCAGCCCACAGCTAACCCCTGAGCAAGAATTCAAGTTCGCTCTGAAGACCAGGAACATCACCGCCGCCCAAAAAACCACCTCGAGAGAGTTGAGGATTGCGTTGGCCTTTAGGCTTTGCCATCTCCGGAATTTTGCAACGTGCTCAGTTAAGAGCTCATAGGTAATGATGACCAAAGATTTTGCGCCCTTTATTATTTCCTGATGTGAGTAGACTGGTCCACTAACGGTTCGAATGGAATACTAACCATGGATAGAGCCATCGTATTTGCCCTGGTCCTTGGCACATTCATCGTCATTCGTACAAAAGTAAGTACGACGGCCGTGATTATCAGCACAAGCTGAACGATGTGCACCGCCAGATTGTAGCGGGGGTTGAACATAGGAGAGCGGTAGAAGAAATCCTTGAGTGCCGGCATGTTGGATTGATTGAATTGCAGTTCAGAGAGGACTTGGTCGACGGGCCAAAGAAGTGAAGAGTAAGGTATGAAGCTGAGAGTGAGGATGATTCTATGAACAGTTACAAGAAAGTTGCTGCTTTTCTAATAGACACCTTCCCCAGCCTCAGCCTTGGCTTATCGCAGCGGAGCGCGTAGATCCCGTGGAGCATCTCGTTATTCGGATTCGGATCGGATTACTTAATCCTCACCACGCCCACGAATCCGAGACTCGCTTTTTGAATAGACCAATCAGAGGTTCTCAGCCCAGCCACAGAGTGTAACAGGCTGATTTACCATTCTGGATCAAGGCTACTGCAGTAGCTTATTTCTGCATACATGTGGGGCTCAAACACACCGGCCCTTCCAAAGCCCCCTCACGGGCGTGACTCCTTTGCGTCTCTACTGTTCACGGAAAAATCGACGTCTATTTCTGTAACTTCGTGTCTGTTCAGCACTCGTCTGTCCCCCGGTTATCCCTGCGCCTCAACATTCTCTATAATCCGATTCATGGCGGCCTTGGCATTTAGTTTCAACGGGACGCCAATTTTATTTTTATCTTTGCTATTAGGCCTTGCGAGAATTTCGCATTAAAAAAGTCGCGCACACAGCCTAATTATGACCACCGTCACCACTGTGCCTCTGCAACAATAATGATAGACCGACGTGTGCACCCAAAGGTCGAGGCGTGAGACTTTGCGAACAGGAGCGACCAAACATACGACGAGACGGAGAAAGGGAAGCACACTCGTATCATCGCATCCTTGCAGAATTACCAGTACATGGCTCTTGCAGTTCCAGCAACCAATTGGCCCACGCCAACAGACCCTTCACTGATGCAACGCAATATCCCACCCGTCGTCTTCGCAATCTTCCACCCTCGTCACCTTTATTAAGGATCCTGCACTGTCAAATCATGCATTCTATGGAGATTCTAGAAATGCTCATGTGATGACGTCTAACAAGGGGTTTACTTAAAAAAAATTGACCGGTGTTGCATCACCATTAGCCGTCTAGCCACACCACTGAGTCATAGTGATCTATAGCCGCAGAAATATATGTAAGCCGAGACGACGTTGAATTGCGTAGGATGTGTCGCATAAACAACGATACGGTTAGTCTGCTACTTCAGCTTGCGACACCATTTTTATAGCAGCTTTTGAATTTAGTTCTGTATCGTGAATCCGGTATATTTCGGCGCGAGGGAGTCTCAGAGGTGGAAAATAAATAATAAGACATAGAGGTACACGCAAAGCTGGAACGAACTAGCAAGCACGCGACTGGCTAACCATCGGAGGATCCCGTAGGAGCTCAGATGGCAGAGAGCACAAAGAGGGGGTAGGAGAGAGCGTGAGTCTAGATGATGGAGAATCTGGTGGCTCGCAAGTAGACGCAGCTACATAGTCAAAGTCGCGCAGTTCTCGCTCTTGCCATGGATTTGGACGACCATCAATCTGGCCATGCTGTCTCAAGGTATTGGGACGACTCCAGAGAGTTTCTTCCTGAATAGCATTTTCAATCAAAGCCCCCCGACTTTGACGTACTGATCCGCTCTCCGAAGCAGCTAGAGGATACAACAAATGATTGAAACTACTTCTCGGGCGCCATTACAAATGTGTGAGCAGGATGTTTGGGGAGGATTACTGCCCCCATGCGTCTCGAGACGTACTGGATATGGCCCTCTACTGGGCGCATCATACCATCTACAGAGGCAAGGTGAGAGCTGTCGCTACTCAAGACATAAGACAGCCAAAATTTGAAACGCAGCAACCCAAAGTTTCGGGCAGCCGGTGTTACAGAGCTGATATTGTTGTCACCTTCGTTGCCCCTGACCTTCTGTCTTTGCAACCTTCACTGTGCGTCTTGGTATGCATCTATTGCACTGTGTACTGTAGCAACTTCGTAGATGGCTTAGTCAGCTGTACAGTGTGTATAGCCAACTCCCGTTTGGTCACTTTCTCAGTCCTCATACTATTCGCTCGGTGCATCCGTACACCGACCATTCGTCCAAATTGTGCCACAGCATCTCATCTGATGCATCGCACTTGCTGTTCGAGTAGGGGGACGATACATGTGCGCTATTCGTCGCATCGAAGTCCTGGTAGATTTTCTCGAACGATTCCTGCTACAGTGTCGCACTATGTAGAAGCATGCTGCTCAAACATGGGAACTGATCGACATGTTAAGGTACCAGCGCAGCAGATTATACGGTGACTTCACCGACCGCGTCATCATTTAGGGCTGTGCGGTGACAAATGGGGGAAGCCCGAACGGCTGGTGGGTTGGCCTAAGCAAGGTTTGAGTTAGTGGCAGCCTGGAATACGAGAAGATCCGCATTTTCCCACGTATAATTCAACGCTTTGGTATCATAGCGAGCATGCGAATTGTATTTCATATGAAGCTTCGTTAAGCGAATAAGAGTACGCGGGTTTGGATCTATTGTCTTAAGTTCCGTTCCTCGCTTTCCAAGCTGTCCCTTCTTTTGCTTCGTCCAACTACCAAAATGCTTTCCAGAATGAGTCTTCTCCCGCAGATAAGCTTCCGCTTGAGGCAACTCAATCCTCGAGAACTTCATGACTCTGAAGAGTCCTCGTTGGGAAGCGATGGCTACATACCAAGTCCAAGACAGACGAAACGACGTCGAATAGCCAGGCCGGTGTTTCTTATAATTCTCATGTCGATATTTGGAGTTTTGTAAGTCTGTTCGATCGAACGGAGATGATACTATTTCTAACATGACCAGAATTTGGTTGTCATTCGCTTTCCTGAAAGTGAAAAGTCTGCTTCACCCTTATCCTCATTCAAGCGCGTACTCCAAAATTGCTTCGCTGTGGAAACAGCCCTTAGATGCAGTTCCCCTAATCACCTACTCTTCCTACTCGGAGTCCAACAACGACATTGCGCCTCTTCCTTGCCACTCTCATAACGACTACTGGCGGAAGGTCCCGCTTTTTGAGGCCTTATCCTACGGCTGCGCCAGCGTCGAAGCCGACATCTATCTCTCGGACGAACCGATCCACGATGGCATCAAGAATATCGACCTGTACGTCGGCCACGAGCGCAGCGCTCTCGATCCGGACCGAACGTTGACCAGCCTCTACCTCGCTCCGCTGTTCCGCATCCTCTACGAACAAACCTCGCCCGTCAACGATGCCCCGCAGGGAGTCTTCCAGTCATCCCCGTCGACCCCGCTCGTCCTTTTGGTAGACTTCAAACCCTCGGAGAACTCGTCTGCGGTCTGGCACGCGTTGGATCTACACATGACTACTTTTCGGGGCCTGGGTTGGCTGACCCGTTGGGATCGCGAGAAGAACAAGCGGGTTCCGGGGCTGCTGACCATCGTCGCGACTGGTGACGCGCCGTTTGAGGAAATTGCCGCGGCGCCGGATGGGGATGTGTTTTATGATGCGCCGTTGGAAAAGCTGGCTACAGATGATCGATACAACGCGTCAAACTCCTATTACGCAAGCGCTTCACTCAGCACTTTGGTGGGGAAAATCGGTCTGGGCCACAGCTTGAGTGACGCACAGATGGAAGAACTGAAGAGCGCTGTTGGTTTCGCGAAGGAGAAGGACTTGATGGTCAGAGCTTGGGATATACCAAATTGGCCAGTGGCAACAAGGAACAAGATCTGGGAACAATTGCTTGAGGCGGGTGTTGATGTTTTGAATCTGGATGACTTTGGGACCGCGACGAGTAAGGATTGGCGTTTGTGCAAGATCGGGGGTATTGAATTGTGCACATAAGAAATATGAACATCCAGCATAAGGATGAGAATCAACAAGCTAAACGAGAACAATGACATCTGCCTCCGATTTTTCCCATGTCCTGGCTTCACCAAACATAATACCTTCAATGTAGGTGTCGCCGACAACCCGATACTTGCTCGTGCCATCTTCTCTCAAAACAATAGGAACACATAGTCCATGAAGGATGGCGATGACATCGCCTGTCTCAGACTGCTCCGGAACGAGGCCAAACCTTCCTGATCTGGTCTCAGCGAGGCGGTGATACATCCAACCAACGCAAACGTAGCGTACAAAATCCGAAAAGGTATCCTCCCCAACCCCAAACCTGAGGGAACTGGTCGAATCGGTTGAGGCGCTTACACTGTCATCATTGCTCTGAGAATCCCTTCCCACAAAATATCGTTTAAAGAGCATCACACACTCATCAACCGTAAAGCGAGGTTCCAGCTTCTTATTACCTCCATAGAAAGAGGGAAGCAGTATTCTGAAAAGGTCTTCCAGCTCCATTGAGCTCCAAGGATTACTGCCGTCCTTGCCAACCATAAACTCCTGCCAGTTGAATGGGCTCTTTGATGAAAAGGATTCGCCCAATATTTCGACATACGTCCTGGAAAGCTTCGCAATCACGTCTAGGATATTACCACGTGCCCGCAGTTGTTTACAATCAGGGCTGTTCTCTACCGTATGATTGAGTCCTTTTGCTGCATCCCAAAGCATGTCCTTCCTCGTTGGCGTGAAATACGAAATTGATTCCAGTAGCGTAGTGCTCCATTCGGGCACCCAGGATGGTATTCCGGCAAATTTTGGTTTTCGAACGCCACAACCGGCGGCGAGAATGTCTAGAGACTTAGTGGTGGAGATGATGTGGTGTGCAAATGATGTGAGGTTATCGGCCATGGGAATGGTAGAGTTAGGGCTGAATGTTGGTAGGCTGACGAGACCGAGAAACCCAAAAATGCGGTCGTGTGGCTCGCTTGTTGATACCTTGTGGGGAAAATTGACATGGACGAGGATGCGACAAAATGTGGGAATATCGAAAGTCCACATGTTGTTATTTCGTTCGTTATCCAGGTATGTTGTCCGGATTATGACGCGCAGTATAAGCGGATAGGCCTTGAAGTTCTTGTAGTCAGGTTGCAGACTCAAAAAGCTGAAAAGCGCTGATATGTGCATCAACGACTCCCATCTAAAAGCGAAGCGGCCGATCAGGATGTGCAGCTCCTGCGACAAGACCCATTCCTGAAAGGTCCATGCTCGTGTGAACAATGGCCGCCCTAATATACTGTCCACAGCCTCCATACAAGCGTTGAACCGCTGTACGGTGAATGATCCTTCGGCCTTTATGTCCCTCAAGTACTTCCAAGTATTGTTCCGAAGAAGCAAGATATCTGTTGTATTTATGTGGCGGTCGATGATAGCCATGGCGTCAAGGAGACGTTGGGTTGGTGGCCCGTGATGGTCAATGTACTGGTCATCAGGCAGCTCTGGCCCTAGCCAGATAATTGTACGCCTCGTAAACCGGTAGATTTCGCCCATTAGCGGAATCTGGCTATCTTTTTCTACACGGTCTGCCTGATTGATGCATATCGCATCAATCGAGAGAAATCCCGTTTCCAAAGTAGCATTTTCTACGAGGTAGGGCAGTGCTTCGTTCAGGTTGTGCGCAATTCCAAGCCGTTCTGAGGAGGAGAGGCACAGTGTACTGGTGGGTACCGGATCACCCCAAGCATATGAGACGGTTTCGTAAGGTGGAGCATGATCGAGACGCACGTGCACGAGATCGAGCTGTGGGTTTTTGCACCCTCCATTGCGGTCAGGGTCGAGAATCTGTAGGAGTCGAATGTTCCAATCGCCTTGAAGCGGTCGATATCCATATGGCTGTGAAAGAATAACGTTCATTGCTTGTGGAGGTATGTTGGCCGAGAAACGAGAGTAGATTTGACTTCGACGCAAGAGAGAAAGGGGATCTGCTCCGCTGTGGTAAAGTATTGGGGTTTCGGTGGAGAATAATTGGTTGGCAAAACGCGGTCGCATAGGGAAATAGGGTCTGGAGTAGAATTGAAAAGAGGCAGCACTTGGTGCTGCGTATAGCCCCCAATATCAAGATTCATCCAAAAGGCTCATTACTGTCATGTGAAGTAAGCGGGGTAAGCGATCCGTATATGCGAGTCGTTATAGCAAATATAGAACTTGGCATAGACAAGCAACACCAGTCATGACGTTCTCTCGATGCTACTTTCCAACACTGCTTATCCAATCGCATATGCGGGCGGTGAATAATAGAAGAAGGCCAGTTGGCAGAAATTATATTAGTTCCTCACCAATTACACAGCAGCGTTTCCCCCAACATCAGCGAAAAGTCTGTTACACTGACTTTGGGCTGGTGCGTTGTTTTGAAGTCAGGCGGAGGTGAAGATAGCACTCTCAGGAGATGTATGCGCAAGGAGTTTAGCGCCACACTGCGTAATCGATGATCTCCAGTCGTCATCACAGACGCGTAAAACAGATTTCCTTGCCGATTATGGCAGAGGGTCCGGCTGACATAAGCCTGTCGGTATCCCGCCCAACGCCGTTGTAAGCGAAGGAAAACATAAGCGATATGAAAGCCTCCCCACATTGACAGGTGTACTTTGTAGTATACTCTTTTTCACAGACTGTAAAATTGATAAACAGCAATGGAAGATGGGCAATATTGTGAAATTTCATCAATGGATGTTGGATGGAAGTCTGGATGGTGGCGGCTTTACGGTCACATAGCGTAAGAGCTGAAACCCCATCAAGTCGTACATGTCTAAATTCGAGAGAAGAAGCGCTATTTCAGGTACAGTTTGAAACTAACAGGTGCCGGATTGGTAAGCTAATGGAGATTTTCCTGATAAGCGCTTGTTGCGGCTATTACCCCACCGCGAATCCTCCCGCTTCCGACGGTATTTAGGGACCCTGATCCGTCCAACGTTCAATCCACAACTTCCCCTCAGTACCAATCTACACCATGGGATCTTACGATCTGGTCAGCGAGCTCCGCACTGCGCTCAAGGATGTTGAAGTTGTCACTCCGCAGTCGCCAAACTACAAGAAGAGCATCGAGCGGTGGTCGGATGCATCGGTCAAGGAAGCGGTAAGCACATCCGATCACGTGCCCGGCCACCAAAGTAACAACAACAACACCAACAGGCAATCGTCGTCTACCCCACGACAGCAGAAGAAGTCTCGACGACACTGAAGCTCGCCACCAAGCACGGCATGCCGCTGGTCGTTTGCGGCGGGCAGCACTCGACCAGCGGCGACTCGTCCATCAAAGACGGCCTGGTCCTCGACCTGGCCAAAATGCGCAAAACCACCGTCGACCCCGTCGCCAAAACCATCACGGCCGAGGGCGGCTGCAACTGGAAAGAGGTCGACGAGGCCGGGGCGCCGCACGGCCTCGCCACCGTCGGCGGCACCGTCAACCACACGGGCATCGGCGGGCTGACGCTGGGCGGCGGCTTCGGCTTCCTGTCGGGCCTGTACGGGCTGACGGTCGACAACCTGCTGGCCGTCGAATTCGTCCTCGCCGACGGCTCCGTCGTCACGGCTTCGGAGACGTCGCATCCGGACCTCTTCTGGGCCGCGCGCGGCGCGGGGGCTAGCTTCGGCGTCGCGACGGCGTTTACGTTCCGCGCGTACGAGATCGCGCACCCCGTCTTCATGGGTATGCTGGTGTGGCCGAAGGCCTTCGCGCCGACGCTCGTCGAGTTCATCAACGGCAGCTGCGTCGCGCCGGGAACGGACGGCAAGACGGTCATCCACGCCGCGCTGATGGCCCCGCCGGATCTGCCGCCGGGGGAGATTGCCGTCGGCGCCGTCGTGTTCCACTGCGGGCCAGAGGCGGAGGCGCGCAAAGTGCTGAAGCCGCTGCTCGACGCGAACCCGCTGGTCAATACGACCGGCGAGATGCCGTATGCGGCTGTCAACGGCGTGCTGGCGGCGCTGGCGCCGCGTGGGGGGAGGAAGAGCATCAAGGGCGCGTCGTATCCGCGGCCGTTGAGCGTTGAGAAGTTTACGCGCACGATGGATGCGTTTCAGGCGTTTATTCGGGCTGTGCCGTCGGCGTCGCGCAGCTTGGTCAATTTTGAGAATATGAATCCGGATAAGATCTGCGAGCGCGGGGTGGACGAGATGGCCATGCCGCACCGTAGCGGGAGGCTGCAGTGTGCCGTCATGTGTGTTTGGGAGAGCGAAGAGGATGATGCGGTTGTGAGGCAGTGGGGTCGGGAGATCGCGGCTATCATCAGTGAGCCTGGCGAGGCTGATGAAGGGAAGGAGAATTTCGAATACGTCAATTATGATGGTAAGTGGCAGGAGCCTGCTACATTCACTCATGTGCTGACTTTTCCAGGAATGGGTTCTGGTCCGGAGAAGGTGTACGGTCCAAACTACAAGCGGCTTACCCAGCTGAAGGCCAAATACGATCCCACCAATGTTTTCAAAAAGAACGTCGAGATCAAGCCTGCGGTTTGAGTTGATTTTGCAGCCTTTGAGCATGCGTAAAGGGTCCAGTAAGCTGGAAGACCAAGCGAATCCATTTCGAGATGATATCATAGAGCTTTGGAGCCTTTTCACACTCCATATCTGGATTGGGGAATCCACATGAGATCTTTGTTGCGAATTGTTCTGTTGTACCGACAGTGATCCTTTCAGGGCTTGAACGGCGACACCGGCGTTAACGATGTGTAAATCCGTCGCCCTTCTCCCCACGTCCCTACCAGTAAGCTGACCGGATCAATCGAACACCACAGATGTTAAGCTTCACCGGATTTACATGACTACCGGGAACGGAAGGACCGTGAGCTCCGTCAATGTACTAAGCTCCTGCATCGGAGTTCTGACGTTATCTCCGGAAATGCATCCCGTACACCACCTCTTTATATCTACCTCCAATGAGCAGCACTGTTTCTCTCAACAACAGGCCCCAACCAATCTTCCAAGAAAAGACAAAAGAGAGAGAAAGACCGCATCATGGAGTCCCTCCTCCCACCCACCCACCGCGCCCTCCTCCTCCCCTCCCGCTCCGCCCCGCTCCACATCTCAACCACCCAACCCACACCCACGCCCACCCCCGGCAGCGCCATCATCCGCATCCTCGCCGCCGGCATCCTCAGCTACTCCGGCCAAATCTACACCGCGGGTGGCGGCCGTGACTACGCCTTCCCCACCCCGCTCGTCCCGGGCGCCAGCGCCATCGGCCGCATCGCCGCCGTCGGGCCCGACGCCACCCTCCTCGCGCCCGGCGCGCTCGTCCTGCTCGACGTGACTATCCGCGCACGCGACGACCCAGACGGCGCCATCATGCTCTCCGGCATCGTCGAGGGCTCCGCGCCGAAGCTGATGCGCGGCGAGTGGCGCGATTCGACGTATGCGGAGTTCGTAAGGATGCCGCTTGAGAACTGCATTGCGGTTGATGAGGCGCGGTTGTGCGGGGAGCTGGGGTACGCGGTGGAAGAGCTGCTGGCCGTGTCGACGATGGCGGTGGCGTTTGGCGGGCTCGATGATGTTGGGGTGAGGCCGGGCGAGACGGTGGTCGTGGCGCCGGCGACGGGGAAGTTTGGGGGCGCGGCGGTGAGGGTGGCGCTGGCGATGGGGGCGAGGGTCGTGGCGATGGGGAGGAATGGGGGGCTGTTGGAGGAGTTGAGGGGGTTGGGGGGTCCCGGGGGTAGGGTGGAGGTGGTGAGGATTTCGGGGGATGTGGAGGGGGAGACGGAGGCGTTGAAGAAGCTCGGGCCGATCGATGTGTGGTTCGATATATCGCCGCCGATGGCGGCGGGGTCGAGTCATTTGAGGAGCGTGATGGGTGCGCTGAGGAGGGGCGGTAGAGTGAGCTTGATGGGTGGGGTGCCGGCGGACTTCTCGTTCAACTATCGTGGCCTGATGAGGCAGAATATCACTATCAAGGGGACCTGGATGTATACGAGAGAGCAGTATGTGAGACTGCTACAGATAGTCACTGCGGGAATTTTGCCTCTGGGGAAGAAGAACGGATTGAATATCGTTGGCAAATTTGGACTTGAGCAGTGGAAGGAGGCATTTGATGCAGCAGCTGAACGTTCGGGGCCGGGAGAATCTGTTATATTCGTGCCTTGAGGTTATCAGATGGCGGAGTGCTACTTTTGACTTATAGGAATGAGATATTCATTATGCAGTGAGAAACGGAAATATACACTCACTCTCGAAAAGCAGCCGAAAATGAATAGAATTCTCTTTAGCATCACTTGACGGCAACTATTCATTCATGCGTCTAGCCACCTTTTCTGACTGCACCTAAACCAATACACTTCTCGAACTGTGGGTCTTCCTGTTTTACGGAGTAGCTAGCTATGGGATACTCTCAACGCTCATTCTCGCCTGAGTAGGGCCAATCGTTGTAGTTCTCATTCACATCTTGGTATGGTCCGTAGTAAACATGTCCGCCACGGTCATTTGTTGCAAATGGGATTCCCCTCTTGATCCTGGTGATAACGTCCTAGTATTGTCATCGTTAGAAACATAATGATCTGCAAGTTGGAACAGGTAGCCGCCTTACCGGGTTGTAGATGAAAGGGCGACCAAACGTGACCAAGTCGATCTTGCCCTCTTTCACAAGCGCATCAGCCTCGGCGACCGTGTACTCGTGATTGACCATGAGCATCGTTCGACTGCCTGGGTACTTGATCAAATCACCAAACCTGTGCAAAGGCTCGAATCCACATGGCAGCTCATTTGCAGTAGACCTTGGTGTGTAGCTGTTCTTGTCTAAAGACATGAACAAGTCCTCATCTTTGCCGAGAGCGCAGCCGCGGCGGGAAAGGTTGATATATCCCACTTCTCGAGACACTAGGTGTTTGATTAAGTAATCATACGTCTCGCACAGCTCATCGTAGGACACTGCTGAATCGTTGGCGTCATCTGTTGGGCAAATCTTGATGCCGATGGCGCTGTGGCCCCAGATCTCGCTTATGGCATCAACAACCTCCAATGCAAATCGGCATCGGTTCGGAACTGAGCCTCCGTAGGCGTCCGTACGCTTATTGGCATGCCTTATTACTGTGGTGAGCCGTAGTCATGTGAGAAACGAGGAGCATCCGCTTACGAGCATAGGAAGTTGTGGATGAGGTACCCTCTAGTATAAATAGGTGGTAAGTAAATGCTATTATGGAGCATGTCTAGTTTAACTTACCCTTGCGCAAGTATTTCGATTCCATCAAAGCCAGCATCCCGAGCGAGCTCTGCTGCTGCTTTGAACTGCTGGACAACAGTCTTGGGGTCGTTGATTTCTGTGATGTTTGTCGTATGGCCCTTTATTTAGGTAGAGGTGTAAGGTCAGACAGGGTCGTCTCGAAGTCTTCACACCACACAGAAAACTCACCGGCGTGCCTTTCAAGAACCGGTATTTACCAGCAGCCGCCGGAACCTGCGACGGTGCTAGGACAGGAAAATTCTTTTCTTTGAGCATCGGCACTTCATCATGTTGGCAGCGGCCTGCAAGGGTCAAATGAGCTGAGGCAAAGAATGACGTAGAAGCAACCACATACCTGCATGCCATGCTTGAAAGAATATCTTTCCACCTTCTTGATGGACCGCGGTTGTTACCTTTTTCCAAGCTTGTGCGTGACTCTGATCCCACATCACAGGCGGATGCTGATACTCTGAGCCTGTCGGACAAATGAACGTGCCTTCTGAGACGATCAATCCAGCTCCATCTCGAGCTCTATCTGCGTAATGCTTCACGGAAGCATCAGTAGGTTTGTTATCGTCAACACAGCGGTTCCGGGTCATAGCACCCATGCAGACCCGGTTCCGCAGCTCGATGGTGTGGCCGAGAGTGATTGGCTGCAGTAGGCTCGACATTTTTGATAACGGCTGGGTGAGTAACAATGAAGTCGAGGAGATGAGGCTGATTGGGAGAAGGAGACACTGGGGATTAAACGATTCTTATACACCTTATGCTAAAGATACTGTGGAGGATGGCTCACCATGTTCGACTCCTTAGCCGCAACGACATGTGCCTGCCAACACGGGAATTTGTCAGCGTCAGAGTTGCGAGAAGCACTGCAACCAATGACGAGGGATCATGGCAAAAGAGACGTAATAGCTCTCGGATTGAGGAAGCGGAACGCTGTCCAAACACGGTAGATTAGACGCTAAATTTGTAATTCAAGCTACCAGGCAATGGCATGAAGAAGGGGTTACATCCCACCAATCGGGATAAACCTACAACTAGCGCACGATCATTGGAAAAGTTTTACAAACGTACTCCATGGAATCATTCCTGGCAGCCCCACTTAAAGCTCGCTCTTGAGAGTTGCTGGCGTAACTTTGCTACATGCGGCGGAGCAGGCTGAACTGGCGGGCTGCGAAACCTTCCCGCTATACACAACAAAGTATGTTGAGTAGTAATACGTCGTGATTCTATATGCAGGTATGTTTTATGTGAAAGTTCTCTGCAGCTATATAGCATGAAGGTGAGGTTCTTGAATGACTTTTGTAAACGAGCGAAGCAATTTCTTGTCATACCTTGTCATAGCAATTTTCGTTACCGAATGAGCAACTGTGCCAAGTTAGAGGCGTCCGTCCCTACCAGTACAGCCTCACTGATCGTCAAGAAACATGCCGGGAGCGTTTTTCTCACCGCCTCAGCTAGCTGGGAGTACTGCTACATCTCGCACTGAATGCTGCTTAGTTTGAAATAGGAGAGGAGAAGGCATACCGGAATAAATCCTTCAGGAAGGCGGTGCTGGGCTCGGCTGCGTGACACCGTATATGTAGCTCTCAATCTCCACCCCACACCTTAATTTACATGGACTTGAAAGTTTTATCATTCTAGAATGCAGAACCTCAATATTTGCTGTCTGCTTGACTAATGTTTCAACTTCTGAGGTCTGCCACGTATGCAGCCCATGTCAAAGATGTTCCCAACCAATAAATTCTCAATAAGAGACTCCGCATCGGTGGATCTCTTAATTTGCAACTGGGAAAGTCAAGGGGATGTCATCAGGGCTTGCACTGAGCATCTGCTCGAATACTGCACTCGTGGTAGCCCCGATTTCCGTCGCTCCTGGCGCCCAACCCAGCGTAACCGGAAAGCGCTCGTTTCCTACACAAGCCTGTAAGTCCAATGCTCAAAATTTTGTCAGATACAGAAGCATAAAATATGACTCACGGAAGAAGTATTCGAAAAACGTTCTGTTTGCGCCGGGCTGCTCCACGCTTCCCCATACAAACATCATCATCAAGTTCTCGCCCACAGCAACTGGGAAAGCTTCTTCAGTAAGGGTGAAGTTCGGGTTGATCTTGCTCATGTCGTATGCGTGCCGCGCTCGCGCATCGGCGGTCTCGTTGACGCCTAGGATTGACGCGTTCCCGAAGTAACTGAGGAAATTGTCGAACGTCTCTTCATCGAAACGATTGGAAGGATCAAAGTACGCGTCGCGGCGGGACAGGCTTCCATCGTGTTCGATGAGATTATGGGTGTGTAGCATTTCGAGGTCGAACCACTAAATAATTGTCCATTTGTTAGCAGCAACCTTCTTCAACAAAGACACAGGCATGATTATAAATATATCACTTCTACCAGAGTCTGCTCCTCGCTCCGGTGAATACGGAAGTAACACATGATCTTGTACTCACAGTCGCATTGGGTGTTGGATTGGCCGTAATGGCTGTATCAAAAGTCCCTGAAGCTAAGTCTGGAGAAATGTTCAGACCGTCTTTGAAAGCCCTGACAATCATGTCGCGGGTGATATTGCGACCGTTGTGGGGGAGAAATCCATGATTTGCCAGTGTGTTGAGCATGGGACATGGAGCACGAACTGATAGTGTTTTAGTAAACATATCTCAGGCTGCAAAAGAGGCGGCTGTACCATCCTGCTCCCCAGGGGGACTCCAGGTGAAGTGGTTCGGCTTCAGTGTGCTGTTTGTAATGCCATGAGGTCTTCCTGGCTGGTGGTTATCGGCCAGAACCCTGTCCCCGTACGGAGAGAGGTGAGGGAAGCCCGCAGCAGACTGTAGAAGCCCAAAGCAGAGAGCGAGGGAGAAATGCATGTCGTACTTCGTAGTGAGGGTTTGGATCAAAAATTCGTGCAGGTCAATGGAGATGGGGATAGAGAGACCAGGAAGTATCAGGATGGATGAGAGTGTGTTGTCTGGTGTGTTGGAGAGCCAGAAGGCAGCTTTTATAGAAGTATCAGCAGTCCCCCACTTGGCAGAGCGTCTTTAGATCCCTCTTCCGCCTAGGTAGTCACTAGGAGACGATGTCAACGAAATGTCACTCCAGCCTTTGCGGTACAGCGGCCAAAGATCGTGGTTGCAAGGCGCTCCATGCGTGAGACAGGGCTGTGTCGATGTTTCGAGGGGCGAAGCTGTTGTTAGTTACTTAATAAAAGCATCATGTTCATTGGTAGTTCCTAGATTTGAAGTGGAGTCAACACTTGCTTTGTAAAGGACAATGCGCCGAATCGAGTAAAAAGGTCGACCATCTGTTGCTGTTGGCATCAGCCAAGAAGTTGATCGAGGACAGCAATGCGCGCCGAGACTACTGCGCCCCTCAGACCTGTCTTGGTAATACACTCGGGTTCGTCGGCGGATTCGTTTCGCGTAGCTCGCATTCTCATTGAAGTGCTGTTGATTGGCGGGTTCCCGGAGCTTGGACCCGCCATACATATTCTCGAGTCAAGCATCACGTAGAACATCCAAGCAAGGCAGACAAAGGGTAGTTTGTCCATTTCATTCTTTCTGAGAAACGGAAATAATGAATTCGGCAGAATATGTTTCCATAGAGGGGTGTGAGTTTGGATTAATGACACGCGAGACATCCTTAGAGCTTAGGAGCAAGAGAGATGCTTGAGTGTAATAGAATGGGGCTATCCCTTAAAGAATGTATACTTCAGACCGCTATATACTATTATTCTCCACAATTTCTAAGACCATGACCCAAGAGGCTCAAGCTCTGGGCAGTCCTGATTGTAATTTTGAGTGAAACTTTCAGCCTTTCCAAACTCACTTGATCACTCATCCACGCGCCAAAGGTCCCCGGGGGTTAAAAAGAAAAGGTCCAGTAAAAACTCGACTGCGGCGGGTTTGAGACTGCATGATCTGGTGAAGGTGGCAGTCCATTGGCTCGAATTATCGCCGACGATGCCGGCTGGCGTGCGCATGTCACGGATCAAAGCGGGATGTGCACGAGCAGAAAGTAGCCTGAATCGTTGCTGACATTTTGGTTATTAAGGTTTCTGTTAGTAGTGAAGTGGGAGAGGAAGATGGGCCGCACACACATAATTTCAAAAGTATATTGAACGGTATCCTCATTATTCGGCTGGGGTAGAAGCCTTCAGGATTGAAAGCAAGCATAGGAATGAATTGACTGCATCATAATAGCTCTTGGCTGTAGAGCCATCAGTTCACCCCATATCTTCGGACCTTTCGTCGTTCTGCCCCCTTTTCCCAGTACTACCAATCATTACGAAACGCACTGGGTGAGCCAATAGCATTCAGTAGGATTGATGTTCCATTGTACTCGATGCACTACTGCTGGTCGGCACCGAAGAGAGCTTCTTCCAGGGTGTTGACGGCCTCACGTTTATCATTGCTGCCACAGCGGACATGAGGGTTGTCGCAAAGGATACAGCAACGTTTGGTAAGCCAGGACGGTGCGGCCTCGTCACGCTTGACTGGCCCAAATAGAGCTTCATCCAGGCTGTCCACAGGCTCACGCTTGTCCTTCCCGCCGCATCGGGCGTAGGGGTTGTCGCAAAGGATGCAGCAGCGCTTGCTCAGCCAGAAAAGCTGTGGTCCAGTGTCAGCGATTCGGTCCCGAATTGATCTCGGCGGTTTGGGTCCTGGTGTGGGTTGAGAGATGGGGCAGAAGCACTCCAGCCGTTCTGAGCATTGAATATCCCCCCTGTTCTGGCTCAAGCCGGGTCGTTCCAGGAAGAGTTGATCTTACATCGTTGCTAACGTTCCGAGACTGAGGCTGGACGGGTGAGGCCTGGCCAAGCGTAGCGGCCAGAAGGAAGCAGGCGCCTACAAGAGAGAAGTGCATGGTTTCGAATGTGATGCTGGCTCGACTGGGAAATGAACAAAGCTCGGGTGAGTGGTTTGTAGTGCAAACGAATACACTGGCAATGGGTTTACAATTTTTAAGTGAGAACATTCTACCGATATCGGCAACATCATCTATTCCATCTTTGTTCGGGTATTTCGGAGGACTTGTGTTGAGTGTTTGGAGGGCCTGAGTGCGCTCTTTTAAGCATCGATGGAGCCTCTATGGCCTGCGCTTGACGACTTCATAGACAAATTACATTTGTGGGGACCTGGTGTGAGTCCGATTGGTCGAGATGCTGACGTATAAGAAAGTAGAGTATTTTGAGAGGACGGCGTCTTTGTGCCACCCCATGATTATATCTCCCTGGATATCTCCGTATAGGCAAGAGAACCCGCATGCGACATCGGCAGCATGACGTGGTGGCGTTATAAGCCGAACCCGTAGCAGACAAACTAGAACAGACTACTGGAAGGGCATGGAGCAACAGGAGAACCTCGGATACACGGTTCATAAACTCCATGATGCGTCTTTTAAATTACTTACAGGAAGAAACTGTAAGCAACGTACATGTGCGCTTTTTTAAGGAAATTATCTGCTTGTGAGAGGGTATGTCAAGAGCTGCAGCATCGACTGTCGTGTTGTACGTTTGTTACAGACGTACGTATAGCGGCAGATGATACTCTGCGGTGCTGGTCGATTAAAGTCGATCACAGACCGGCATTCTCCGCCTAATTCCAGGAACAAGGCCCGTACCGGCTACTGTACGCAGTACACCTACCGAGGTCCGAAGAGGTCAGAGCGCGAGGCACATTTTATCAGAATTAGCAGAGCGTGATTGGTGCCGAGTAATGGAACTGGTTGCTTACCCTAAACAAGCCTTGCACAAGCACCGCTTAGACCAGCATAAGATTTTATTTGTAGTGGGGACTAGAGCAACGGGGACACTAGTCTGTAAAGCGGAGTCCTGCAGGATGATCGGGTGGTGTGAGCTGCGGCAAGCTGACGCTTGTAACTGGGGTACGCATTTTGCACGAAGACGGCCGGGAACAGTAGCTTCGTGATTGATACTTGAGTATGCATTGATTACACAGCCTTTTTTCTGGGTTTAATTTCAAGGACGGATCACGCTCTTCCACCGCAGATCGAGCAGCTCATGGATCGCGTGGCAAGCGCTGGTGTAGGCTTGGAGCGCGATATATTGGACAGCTGCTGGCGTTTGCGGGATGAGGCATGGATAGTAGCAGAACACTTAAAATGGATAGTTGAAGCGCCCATGGGTATCTGGGAATAAAATTCTTCGGAGACCAGACAAATCGACCTCGTATCGAAGGTGCCGTCATCGGCGCGCCGTGAGACATTTGGGCGGGTGCACAGGCGGTGAACAATTCGAACTCCGCGGAAACTCCGCGGGGCTGCGAGCTGTCAATGGCATGAATTTGAGCAGTGGAAGTAGTAAGTAAAGTATGACGTGGAAACTCGCGACAACCTGGAGACCGGGGCTCGGGAAATTGGACGCCCGAGTGGCCGAGGGCTGGTCAGGTTGCGTTGTTACAGTACCCCACCCTCGCAGTCTGCGCCATGCTCTCCCCGCCAGTCTATCATCGAGCCTTGAAGCCGTCGCTCCGGCTGCATTGACAAGATGCTCAAGCGCCTGGACTTGCTGTAGCCGCTTCGTTCGCAAACTCCCGTCGTCCAGAGGCCGACCGATCGTTCCCTTGTTACCTCCGCCTGCCTGGATCGCCAACCGTCCATATCGTCCGAGCCTGAAGCCATCTCGCCCTTCGAATCCGTCGCGTCGTTGCCGTAATGGTGTACTATACAGACAAGCACAGCGGGAGGCTGGCATTGTGTTTGGGAACTGGGCTGCTGCTCTCGCCCTGATGCCGCTGGATGATGTTCACTCATTGAAGGCGCGCGATACGAGAGGAGGAGGGCTGAGCGAGATGGCGTCGCAATTTCGTGCCTCGCACTCGCGAGCTGGCCAATTAAAGCTGCCTGGCGCCCCCGTGTGTACACAACAGTGGATTAGAAGGTGGATATGGACCCGAGTGTCAAGCTTTCTTGGGATGTGACTGCTTCCACAAAGTGGAGTTCAACTCTTGTATTGAAATGGCTTCTTGGTTCTTTGCTCGTAATTACTGATTCTACAACGAAGTCTTCTGTAGGAATCTTTAAAATTGACCTCAGTGGCAGACTCCGAGCTTGAGCTGTCATACGCCACACTCGCTTTATCTTGCTTACCTAGAGCCTTCTGTACTAAGCATTCTACGTGCTCGCCCATTTTGCTTTCTCACACTGATTTCGATACTTGTGTTTGCACGGACAAGCTTACAATTGGATGACTATCCTTCTCCCGCGCGGTCATTGCCCGCAAATCTACATTTGCCATAGCATTAATGAGGCGAAAGAAATGTCGATTTCGAGCGGGCACGATGCCGTCGGCCAGTTGCGGGAATAGCGGGCCGCTCGTGTTGTCAAAGCCACGCTATCCGAATCTGGAAATCGGGCAGCCAGCCAACGGAAGAGGCGGCCTGCTATGATTGTCTTCGAGCAAGGCGGCACCGTGCTGACACGGAAACCATCATATGTCCTTGAGGCTTGCTCGTAGGGAGCGCATCGACATACCCCAAGAAGAAAGCGGGGCCACGAATGGGTGCATTGCTGATAGCGGACATGTTTACCGCCAGGCGGGGTCCATGACACTTGATTGAGAGAATATATGACGCTGAGTATCAAATAAAGGTTTGCCAGTCCGGATCAGAAACTTGAATTTTCAAAAATCAAACCTGTTTCCACCAACTGATCGATCCGAAGTAATGACCAAGCCCCTCTCCGGCAAACTTGCCACTGTCACCGGCGGTTCCAAAGGTTCTTCATCTTTCCTCCCACACCACCACATCTTTTCAAGCCCCTCCCTAACCCCTCTCCCAGGTATCAGCACCGCCATCGCAAGAAATCTGGCCTCGAAAGGAGCCAACATCCTCCCCAAGTCCTCGACGCCGCTGGCAACCTCGCTCTGCCTCTCCCTCACCAAGAAATACACCAAATCCGCTGCCACGCCGTGCGCGCCGTGGCCTCAGCACCCCCGGCCGCCGCCCAGCACCATCACTTCGCCAGCGGCGACGCACAACCCCTGCGCATCAACATCCCGATCAACAACGCCGGCATCGGCGGCAACTACGTGCTCGGGTGAAGTACCTGAAGCCGCTTTCCACGCGCGCAGTTACGCGGTCAACGTGCGGGCGCGCCGTTCCTTGCCGCGTCGACAACCTGTCGTCCTGTATCACGCGGCTGGAGAGACGTTCTCGAGGCAGATGGAGAGTTGAACATCCCGCAGCAGGGGAATCCCGCATCTGTCCATATCAAGCTGACTTGTCTAAGATGGTCCTGCTTTCGCCTCCTTCTCCAGCCTTCTCCAACTCTTCGGGTATCCTCTTGCAATCCTGAACTCTTCTGCATCGGCCTGCACTCTCTTCATCAGCCCTTCTCGCCAACCTCCTTTGGTATCATCCACCCATTCGGGAATATCTCCATATGTCCAAGACAAAAATTCCTCTGCTCTGGCTCCGTCCGGTGCCTCCAGCAGGCCAATGGCGAGGTCCGCAATTTGCGGTCTATCGTCGCAAATGTAGAAAGCGGACGTGGAGCAAGTCTTGCAGAAATACCGGTGTACACCTGGCGACGATTGATAGTAGGCCAGCGTTCCGACTGCGGGGTCGCCCGCATCCACTGCTGCCTTGAGCTCTGCCATTGTCCTTGGGAACGCACCGCCATCGACTTGAGATATGTTGGACAAGTCTAGAAACGTCCAGTTGACGATGTCGTTTCCGAACTGTAGACGGCAAGAGTCGCACACATCGAAACTGGCGAGCTGCTTGTATGTCCTTGGATCGATGAACCACGGGAGCTCCTCTCTCTTTTTGCCGGCATAGTCTCCACGATGCATGAGTAGATTGATCCCTTTGCAGTGACACCAGACAGGAAGAGACTTCAGTTCTTGCTTTCCTTCGATCTTCGTTGAGTTTGCTTTCTTTGGCCAGTCCCACGGGAGCTCTTCAAAACGCTCTCGGTGCCGCGAAATCTCTTTGCCGTCGGCGTTTGGCTTTCTGAGCCAGACGGAAGCCCCGCCGTCAATAGTGTCCTCGACCCAGATGTGCCTGGCGAGTTTGACGAGATCGACATTGATGTTCTGCAGTGGCCCCGAAAAAGTGCCCAGCTTGCTGGGAAACTTTTGCGACTCGTAGAACATCAGAGTTGAGCACGTGCCGCAGAACCGATACGTGATGTTGTCGGAAAATTGGTAGCTGTTGAGTCCGCTGATGTCGACGTCCTCGCGCGGTTGAGGCCATGTGGTTTCAACTACGTACAGGGCGCCGGTTGAGTGGCGGCAGGAATCGCAGTGGCAGACATTGGCTTCCAGCGGGAGCTTGGACGTGGGGATCTCGGTGCTGAACGTGTGTGCTTTGCAGAGGCATTCAGCCGTGATTACGACGGTATTTGGTTGAGGGTCCATGGTGTTGAAAGTGACGACTCGCTTCACAGAGAACTATACCAGACGGCTCGATGACGAGATCAGATGGAGGTACCTGCCTGGAAGAATAAGGAGATGAAAGGGTTTAGTGTTCTGCGAAGCTTCCCCGCATCTTTATCTTACCCCTCGATTTACTGGTCTGTGCGGGCGGCAAGATAAGTATCTTACACCAATGAGCGCGAACTCACACCAGCATCATACCCGCCGAGTCACCAGAGCGAGGTTTCTTGCCGCCGACGTCACTCGGCCGTACTATACAGAGGGGTGCTGCAGCCGATTGCTAGCGCGAAGAATAGCAGAGCTCTAGAACATAGCGTAACTATGCCCCAGCTCTACCTTAGAAAAATTAACATATGTAGGTAGTTGAAGCTATCGTCCGGACGATAGCTTCAACTACCTACATATGTTATTTCGCGCCAGCCGTCGGCTGCAATACCCTCTGTAAATAAGCCGTAGGTTAACGAGTGGCCCGCCGCAACA